TGAGTTGGACTACAACTTCCATTGACCATGCTGGTTGGGCATAATGGAAATTATAGTCCTGGCTGCCACCCCGGTTCCGAGGGAGCGGGAGGCCGAAGAGGTGAGCACAGGGTGGCTCCCCCGGCTGGGAGAGGGCTGCGAGGAGGGAGATAAGGTCTTTCCAAGACGAGGGGAGCCAAGGGATGGGGATGAATCTCAAATATATTCTGAAAATTAGCTTTAGGAGGCAAGTCAGAGCATATTTCTTTAGAAGTAGACTCCACTAGAATCACTGGGGTTGAGCAAGCATGAGTAGGCTTGACTGTTAACCTTTTCTGATTTAGCTGATTATTATAACTAAAAGTTAGCTGTAACTACAAAACATTGCAAATGTTTTAGAGCTCAACAAAGCACACTTACTCAATTGGAACCTTACTTAATAGATTTGCAGCCTGATCTTATGCATGATTACACAAAAGTCAGTCCACAGAACTAAATGTAATCTTATGCATGTTGACTCAGAAGTAAAATCTGCTAAATTCTGTAAAACTTGCTTCCAAATAAGTGCGTATAAGCTAAAATAGCAGCAATACAGGCTATCAGTGTTACCCATAGAAGAACAGGGCAAATAAACAGTTTATAACTGAAGCTCAGATCCCAAGTGTTGGCCTAAATAAGAGAGCCTTATATTTTTGCCTGAAAGTTAATAAAGAGATTCATTGCTTCTCTTCCTCTGAGATCTCATTCAAAAGTCTAGGTCTATTACAGAAAAGAAGTGGGTGTGGACATAAACATAGTTCAGTATTATATAGCATCCCACAACTGCTCTTTGATATCTTTCATGTAGCTTATTGATTACTTCTTTACAGTTCCTCTGTTATCAGCAAATCTATGTCCAGTTGGCCTTCTACTGAAATGAGAAATAATTGCTGCTGCTTACATACTCTGTTTTCTTCTCTCTTTGCCTATCTTGGTTTCTTAACACTACTGTTAGATTTTTCTTTGACTGCTGCCAAGAAAATCTCTCAGAAAAAGCTACTTCCTCTGTCCAGCGGTAGCTTCGTGCAGAAAGACTAAGGCCTTCTGCTGTATTTGATCAGTAACAGTTGTAAAAATTATATGATAACGGATATCAAAAATGGCATTTCCAGTTCAAAAAACTTCACCAAAAGCAGTTTACAATTTGTACCTACATATCGTATTGATACCAAGATTTAGGATTTGTTCACTTTTCCTAACTGTAGCAGGAGGGTAAGACCCTTACTATATCAGATAAAAGCCTTAACTAGTATTCTGTTTCTCATAGTAGCCAGCCAAATACCGTTGGAAAGTTTCAAACCCAGGAAATGTTGAAGGCCAGTTTATGCCTTCAACTCACTTCTGCTAAGAACTGCTGGTCAAAGGCATGCTGCCACTGAACCTGGAGGTACCATATAGCCATCATTACTGGGAGCTATTGATTGACTGGTCCTCCATAAATTCGTATGATCTCCCCTTGGAGCTGTCTGCCTTGCTTGTCATCACCACATGTTGTGGTAGTGAACTCCTTAGCATGTTCTTTGTTCAATTTACTAAATACAACAACAGTAGATCTAGTTGTTGGTCTTCAACATTTTTAAGGCTGTACTTCAATCATGTATTACACAAAATAAAATAGTATAACCAAGTTAGCCTACTGTTAATAAATTCAAGGGTTAAATGTAGTACACAGATATGCTGTATTGGTTGCTCAGATATATTAATAAATGAGTATGAGTTTTCATGAATTATAGCCCATTTTAGCAGAAGCTGAGAGTAAAACTGAAGGTTTTGAATCCCCAAAGATAGTCAAGTAGATGTACAACAAACATTGAATTCTCTTTAAAAAAACAATTAAGGATGTGCTAACAGTACAATCTTATGTATGTTTGGACAGAAAAAAATGTCCTTTAACTCCTAGCATTCTCAGCTAGTCATTGCTGTAGTTGTCAGACTTTTTTTCTGCTTAAATACATAGGATTACATCTTAAGAGCTTTCATAATGTGCATAAAACCACAGTCCCTATTGACTTCCTGATTAAGTTATAGTCCCTGTTGACTTCCTGATTTCTTTATGCTCATGTTCTGTAATCTCAAGTTCCCAGTGGGCCTCTGATTTCACTTTCTTTAGAACTGCTACACTAAAAGCCAGAGAAGTTAAAGTGTCCACTAATGGAAGAGCCAGTGTAGTGTAGTGGTTAGAGTGGTGGACTCAGGATTTTGGAGCTCCAGGTTCTATTCCCTGCTCAGCCATGGAGCTCACTGGGTTACAGCCTCTCAGACTAATCCACCTTACAGGTTTGTTGTTGTGAAGACAAAATTGAGAGGAGGAAAAGGATTATGTAGTTGTTTGTATTTCTTATAAGGAAAAAAGACAAGATATAAATAAAATAATAAATACTTACATTGATCTTGTATGCTCAATACCTGTTTAGCCCGATTGTCTTTGTCTTAAAGGTTACATGGTCTATGTAACTGTTGGTTCATTTGTTTTTTTACTGTATATAGTGCACAGATGTATTTGGAATTTCCTTGACTCCACATGGCATTTTGAACTCATTTGCCCCTTTGGTAAAAGGTTTGATTCTTGAGTTCTTGTGCTGTTTCCTAATGGGAAGAACATCTCAGAACAGAACCATTAATCTGCATAATACGGCTATTTCAACATTGAGTCTAATTTAGTTTATATTTCAGAGAAATGGGAGGAGGGTGAAAACTATGGAGATGTGCATCGAACCTCTTGAAGCACCTCTTGTTTATCTATTGAACTTTAGGCCTCAAGATTTTCATTTCTCATGTTTGAACATTTCCTTCCTTTAAGGTGGCCTTCCCCAACTTGGAGCCCTCCAGATATATTGGGCTACAACTCCAAGTATTCCTCACCACTGACCTTGCTGGCTGAGTCTGAGAACCCAAGGTTGAGAAAGGCTGCTGTGGAACAATGCTTCCTAGCTTCTGATGTTTAAAACATTTTTTGAGTGATAAAATTGGAGACATGTTTCAGACTTAACAATTGGAAAGGATTCTGCTTCATATTTTGCATAGGCTTTCTGGTTGAAAGAAGGCAAGACCCACTGTTCATATCTGCATCAAGCCTGATTGATTTAATTACATAAATTGCACAGGCATGTCAAACTTACTCTCCAACTGAGGCAAAGCCAGAGCCATTAATCATACAGGTGTCATGGTCATCCTTTTCTGTGGATGAGTTCTTATGGCAAGATTGACTTTAAGAAGCTTGGGACTCTTAAGATGAAATGCAGCCTCCTGCTACCTAATCCACTGCCTTCTCTTGTTCAATTCCAATTTTACATTTGCAGGGTACTTCTGATATACCTTTCAGGATGGTCTTTTCTCAATATGTAAAGTATGTGCATGCTGTAAACCAAATTAATGGGCCAAATAGCAGCTCTCTACTGCTTCAGTTTTGGAGGAAATGCACAACATCAGAGTGGCAGCAGTAGCAATTCCCTGACCTATGGTTAACAGATTTTCTGTACCGTAGAGCATTATATTGGAATTCTGAACAATAACTGTGGGCCAATTACTTTTGTTCTGCTTGTCACTTGGAAGGATGAATATTGTAGAATGTTTGACCAGCAGTACCAGTGTGCAGAGTGTTTGAAGTTGGCTGTGCTTTCTGCTTTCCCATAACTCCTGTCATGTTTTGAAAAAGTTTACTTGTATTTGGGAAGGACAACTGAATCCCCCTGTTTACACATTGCGTATTTAAGGCACTAGTACCTTTTGGGAAATAACTGTTTAACTATGACATGGCTTTCCTTAAATGTTGGGGATGGATGGGGATTCATTCTTTGGCAGTACATGTATCAGTACTCTTGCACACCTTGGGGTGGTCTGAAGGGTGGAATTAGCTTCATGAATTGTATTTTGAGTCATTTCCTCTGTTTACTTTTGTGATATGCATTGTCATTGCAGACCTAGTAGACATGAGATTTCTAGTGAGTATTGGTGTTTCAAACCCTAGCACGAGAAACTCATGGCCTGGGATCTAGGGATGAATGAATCTGTTTTATCTTCTGTAACATTTCACCATTCACTTTTTTCAGCACAAGTTCATTCTGTCTCATTTCCTCATCGATATGTGGGCTTGGTTTGCTTTTTTTTTAAAGTCATTTAAATACATACACATTTTCATATATGCCTTGAAAAATTGTATGCATTTTCTAATACAGTTTTCCTAAATTGCACATTTCTTTTCATTTTAGGCACTTTTGCCTAATATACTCCATTGTATGCTGTTTTCCCTAATACATGCCTTTTTTAATAGAATATTCAATTGTGCCTTGCAAAATTTGGAGAAGTCTAAAAAGTGGTGGTTAGTTTCAGCTTGCATATTCATTCAGGAAGCGCAAATCAAGTCAGTTCATACCAACGTATGAACCATACGAATGTAATCTTTAGACCTATGAGAACACATGTTATCTCCCTGTTCCCTGTTTTGTTAGCCTTGGAAAATCTGAAAAGATTAGATTTTTGGAACATATTAGATATTTTTTCTTAGGTTTATTAAAAAATAGAGATTCCAACCAAAAAAGGTAAGTGTACAATGGCTACTGACATGTACAAGTTAAGCTCTTTCAATACCATTCAGCCTGTTTCTGTTACCTATTTTCATCCTTTGAGTCTTGTCCCACATTATTTGCATTCACTTACAGTAGAAATTCATTAAGTATGTCTTTTCCTTGGATATATGTCAAACTACTCTTATTTGGAGGTTTAAAAAATACAAATTGCAGGGCAATGGTAAACATTGTATTTACCTTTACATATAACATTTTATGCTGTGGTTCCTTAAGCATACAGTGCATGATACAGTTTGTGAATGTATAATTCCAGGGTTTAGTTTGCATGGTAAACTTATGAATTTGGCTTAAGTTTGAGTTCAGGCTATCAGTACACTGCTTTTAGCTGAGTCAGATTTTCCTTGGTGACTTTCAGCAGAATTAGCATTTATTTAATTTATTTATTTTTAATTTCAGCAATCCTAAAGAAACCAATCAAAGAGTTAATAAAAAAGTCAACAATGATGCATCACTTCGAATTCAAAATTTGTCTATTTTGGTGAGGCAAATTAAATCATACTATCAGGTTAGTAATGTTTCTCTTCCTAAGGAAAAAAAAGCTTAAAATGTCAGTGTTGTAAGAAATAATAAAAGGAAGCAAAATCAATTATACATACAACTGTCAATGTTGGGGAGGATTTAATGTTGAATTAAAGTTGCTTTCTAAATATCACCTGAAGAATCAGAAAATATTTAATACTGCATAACTAAAATTAATGTTGATATTATCACTTAGACACATGGAATAATCAGAAATTGGCTGATAATTGATAAGTGGTTTGAACAAAACCTTGCTGCTTCACATAGGGCTATTATATATATATCAATGGCAGTAAACGATCACACCTTCTGTCCATCTGTCCTTTCTTCCTGTCAAACCTGAATAAGATGAGAATAGAAATGGGTACTTAATATCAGTACTTTCAGCCCCATTCCTGTGCTTTTTTCCGCACAACTAGAATATCACCACTGAAAAAGCCATTTTATCAGTAGCCACCTGCCTTTACTTACTGGGTGGAGGCACCCAAAGAAGGGCTTCTGAGGAAAAACTTGGGGTCCAGGCAGGCATTTATGGAAAGTGATGATACTTCAGGTAACCTGTCCTCAAACTGTGTAGGAATTTTCAAATTAATCCCACCTCTTCAAATTGGGCATAAGAATAGACTTGCAGCCAGTGTAGATCAGAAAGTATTATTCTAATATGATAATGCTGGACTCCCCTCATTAACAGTCCTAGAGGCCTGTTCTAAACCAGGTGAAACTTCTAGACTGTTTTCAAATGCAGCCCCATATATAGTACATTGAAGTAATCCAAACTAGAGGTTAGTAGATCATGAATAACCATTCCCAGGCCATCTCTGTCCAGATAGGTGCATAGTTGGTGTATCAGCCTAAACTGATGAAAGGTGCTCTGTGCCCCTGAGGCCACTCTGCTTTCAGTGATGGTGTTGGATCTAAGGCTCCCTGAAACTATGAACCAGATCCTTGTGAAAGAAATGCAGTCTCTTGCAGAATGGGTTGAATATCATTCCTCAAGACAGAATGGCTTATTAATATTCTCTCTGTCTTCTTTGGATTAAGTTCCAGTTTTTGATCCTCATCTAGTCCATTGTTGTGCCCAGGCATTGGTTCAGAATGTGCACTACCTCACCTGCATTTGATGAGAATTCTGTCTTCTTAAATAATTCTAATTTTACCTTCCTGTCCACTTGTGCACCAATTTTGAGTGTTTTATGTTGCTTTCTAGGACAGAATAGGAATTTGCCTAAGGTGTTCATTATTCTACCCAGTTTTGTATTGTCTGATTATCTTTCCATGTACTTACCTAAATCATTAATAAAGATGTTGAAGAGCACTGGGCCCTGGACTGAACGCTGTGGCAGCCCACTAATTACTTCTATCCAGTTGGAGAAGGTGTCACTGATGTGCATTCTTTGTGTCTGATTTAGCAGCCAGTTTTGGGTCCACCTAATAGTTTTCCTATCTAGTTCACTTTTTGCTAATTTGCTTATCAGAATATCATGGGGCACTATGTTGAAAGCTTTGCTAAAGTTGAGGAAGATTATGTCCACAGTGTTTCCTCTGTCCATCTGGGAGGTTAACCAGTCAAAAAATGAGATTATATTAGTCTGATAGGATTTATTTTTGATAAATCCATGTTGGTTTTTACTAATTACTGCATTTTCTTTGAGGTGCTTGCAGACTGATTTTTTTTTATACTTTGTTCCCGAATTTTTCCATGGATAGATTTCAGACTAACTGGTCTGTAGTTCCCAGGTTCATCTCTCCCCCTTCCTTTTTTTGGATGTTGCGAACAATGTTAGCCCTTCTCCAGTTATCTGGCACTTCACCTGTTTTTCAAGAGTTATCTAAAATAATAAACAATGGTTCTGAGAGTTCTCTGCTAGCTCTTTTAAGACTTTAGAATGGAGTTCATCAGGCCCTGGAGATTTGAACACATGGGGGAGCAGGACCCTACTGATTCTTTTGGCCCTCTCACTGGCTTTTGATACTGTCAAACATGGTGACTTTCCGGATAGCCTATCTGGGCTGAGAGCTGAAGGTACTGCATTGCAGTATTTCCACTCTTTAATTTAAAGGGAGTGCTGAAGAATTATTTCTCTGTCCCCTGGCAATTATACCAAGGGATCTATTTTATCCTTCATGCTGTTCAACATCTACATGAAGCTACTGGGAGAGGTTCTCTGGAGAGCAATATGCAGATGACACCCAGATAACCCTCCTTCCTGTTGACCAGCAGTTCAGCCCTCTTACTCACAATTAAATTTTAGATGAGGGAGATTTTGGTTTGGACATAAATAGTATTTAGCAGCAGCAGCAGCAAGCTAGTAAGACAATCAGAAGCCATCTGGTTGGTGGGTAAGTGGAAGATGGGAGTGGACATAAGGTTTCTATAGTCCCCCCAGTTCCTTCTGTCAGAGCACCTAGGCTGCATCCTCTTTGTATTCAGCTCTTGAAAGATAGGTTGCTTCAGGTTGCCCTGAGCAAGCTATAGCCCAAATTGAATCTTATGTACCAATATAAAATTGTCTGTTCTCCCTCCCAACAGCTTCCAAGTCAGCTCTTACAGGTCTATCATGTACTTAGACATTATCCATTAGGCCTCTGAGAAATCCATAACGTTGCAAACAATGATCAGCATTATGTGTATTATTTCAGGAACTGTTCAAACTGAAGTAGATGCTTTGATTTCTGGAAACCTTTCTCAGTTGGTAAATTTGCAATTATTATACGGAAGTAAGCTTCATTGATTTCCATGGCTGAAATGCTGTGATTAAAGGGCCTGGAACACATTACCGCTTTGGTGTCAGTTTGTTGGCCCTCATCTGTCCATTGTTGTATTTTCTAGTTGAGCTATAAAATTTCATTATAATATGTTAGAAAAGCTGTTTGACTGTAGCCAATAATGGTTCGATCAGTTCATGTCTTTTGATGTAGAATTTTGTTATATTGTGTGCTTAATTTTAAATTAAAGTCAGTCTGTAGAAACATCACTTGGGTTTCACTCAAAGAAATGACTTTATGGGTATAGAAAATTTAAATTTATTGTATTAAGTTCTTTGGTTCCTTTATTTGAATCTGATATTTCATTTTATTATATCATTCTTTTATGTCAAGTTAAAACCTTGTCTGGCTTTTAGAAATAGTTTTAATTTCTCTGTGTGTAGATAACAGCTGCAGGAGGACAGCCCTCCTAATCACACAGAACATAAATAAAATTGGAAATTTGTTCTGAGCATACTGCCTGTTGTATAGGGAACAGACTTGTGCTGTCAGTTCTGTGTATGTGTTAGCATCTGCTGCGATATGTAGCCAGATGTTTGAAAGAATATACACCAACTTTAATGAATTAGGTTCTGTCTAGACTGAGGATTTTTCAGATTACAGCCATCAGTGGCCAGCAGTATAATTCCAACAGGACAACTTTCATGAGTCTATTCATTGAATACTTCATGTTATAGCTGTTTTCCAAAAACATATTTTCTGACCAGGACAGTGCTTTATAGCAAAATCACAGCCATTTTATGCTCTATCTATAGACCTCAGTGTTGTCTATATTGTGGTATGTGTTTGCTGCATGCCATTGTATTCTTGAAATTCTCAAATCTAAATCAGTGTTGAAAATTACTTTGGAAAACAATACATTGAATAGGCTTGAATATACTATATTTATTAGCTTCATAGTGATTGCTGATCTTTTCATTGTGTATCAATCTTATGTGCGTATTGAAATCAATAAATATGCATTCTTATGTTTATTGTGCACTGACTGTACTGGTAAGAGAACTTGAATTTTCTGTTTATAAGGCAAGAAATGGCGTGGTATTGAGAGAGTCAGCATGTTTACTACATAGCTTTGCAATTCAAAGCTTGCTAGGGAATTGAATTGCAAAAATCAAATTAGAAATTAAAAATTTCAAAAATTTGCCAAAAATTCTTGACCTCTTTGGGACCCATAGAATCGTAGAATATAGGAGTTGGAAGGGGCCATGAAGGCCAACCCCCTGCTGTTGCAGGACACTACATTACACCATCCCACTCAGATGGCTGTCCAGGTTCTTTTTAAATGTCTCTAGTGTGGGAGTGCTCACCACCTCTCCAGGCAGCTGGTTCCACTGTTGTATTGCTCTGATTGTGAGGAAGCTTTTCCTGATGTCCAGCCTGAAACTGGGTTGCCTAACCCTAACCCATATATAACAGAGAAACCCGGTAAAACTTATGAGGAAGAGTAATCCCTTAAGTTCTTCACTGTACCCTAGCTATTAGGCAGGTGAGGAATAGTAGGGTGAAAATTCAAGAAAGAATGTATTCTTGAAGTAACACCATCTTGTCTTTTTCTTTTACCCATGTGCAAGGAAGGTAATCTGTGAAAGTGCTGAACTATGATATTACAATGCAGTGGGGGTACAGAAAATATTAAGGAGCCAGTCTGGAGAAAGGGGAAGATTTGGGTGCAAGGAATATAGTAGCATTTATTTGACTTATACCTTACAACTCAGAATAGGGTAGTGACTCAGGATAAGGTCTTCTTAATGACAGCAACTAATGTGGAACTTCCTCACTGAGGGAAATGCAAGCATCAGGCCCACACATGATTACATTTTAGACAATAATTAGGGATTTACTCTGGCTCTGGGATGTTATGGGTTGAGTTTATATTTGTTGTGCTATTATTTATTTATTATATTTTTAGGCCTCCCCATTAGCCACACAGCTCCCATATTTACGTTGTATGGTTGGAGTTATTGTTTCTGTATAATTGTGTATTATCTATGTTGCATTCTGTTTGGGGAGAAAACATGGCATATAAATAAAAACAAAACCCAGCTAAATTACTGCATTTGCTGTTCAAAAAATTCCTCTGTGTGCTTGATGATTTAGTTAAAGCAGAAAATAAGGATCAGTAGGATTAATGGAAAATGTCTTCTAACTTTTTAAGCATTAATATTAGAAAATGTTTGAAATGAGAAGCAAGTTTAAATTAATGCTTTACTTTAAAGCTATTTTATATATTTAGCTACATATGGAAAGTGTGGTCAGTCTTCTCATGTATCTTGTAAATATTTACATCTGTTTCCATAGGAGACACTGCAGCAGCTTATTATGATGCCTTTGCCAAATGTCTTAATAATTGGCAAAAATCCCTTTTCAGGTAAGTCTTGTGCTGATTTATAGTAGGTATACTATCATTCTAAATAGTTAATAATCCTGTACAGTGCTTTCAAATTTTTGAAAGGTTCATATGCATTAATTAGTTGGTGTTATAGCAACTTTGTAAGGCAGGTCAGTATTATCCCATTATTGTAGATTTGAGGTTGAGGCAGAGAGCCAGTTGCCAACCAAAATCTACCTTTGTGAGTTCTTTTTTACTTAGTAGAGAATTGAATCTAGCTATTCAGGAAAGTGCCATAAAATTAGTAGGCAACACTCCCTAGAATGAATAATTTCATTGTTTACTGCTGTCCTAGTTTTTGTTATGTATAGGGGGCTTTTACTACTGTACTCAATACTTCTAATTATATATTGATTAATTGATTTGTCTTTTTAGCACACATGAAATGAAGACGGGAGGAAAAAGAAACATAGATGTAGGGTTTTTATTAAATGCTTAGATTTTCAGAAAAGTCTTTGAATGAATTGCTCACTGTTAAAAATATTCAGTGTAATAAATAATAATAAAGAAGATTAAACCTTTATCAGTCCCAAATATCTGCACTTAGGACATTCAAAAAGAATTTGGGTTCAATAGCATAGGTCTCACAAATTGTTGCAGGTAGCTAACCATAAACTGAATTTATCACTGCCAGACATTTTCTCCTCTCTACTTAACCTTGCACTTAAGCTTTTTGAACAATGTATGTGCCCATATTCTGCTTCATTCTGGTCATATACAGCTCCCTCATCTCACTGGTCTGTGCATGTGTTCCGAACAGATTTAGGGCAGTTAGAGATGCATGAGCGCAGGCTACAGAACAGATTAGTTGCCTTTTGGCAGAAGGCAAATAGACTGAATTGTAATGTCGAGGAAGCTGAGGACCAACAGGACTTGATGGCCTGCCTGAGCAGCTAGCTGTCTAGATAAAGGGAAAGCAGCAGATAATGGGACTTTTTATGAACTAGAAGCATCAGATTAGACCTCAGGGGTATCTGACTTTCCAGACAAGGCAGCACATGGACTGTGGTAGGAGTATTTTTATTTCTGTCTTCCAGCCATCTTTCCTAGAAATGTAAGGAACGGAAGGAAGAATCTGCCTAGTAGTATCTCTTAACAGTTACTGGTGGTGTACTAGAATCTGCTAAATGCACTGTGCCCAACTAAAGCCAGTCAGCAGAAAACAGCCTTTCTGCATTCTGGACAGCAATGGAAGATGTAGCTGCCCCTTGGTGTCCCCACAATTAAATTTATGGTCATCGTTGATGACTTTGTGATTGTAGGCAGTGTTCCATACTGTAAGCAGTGAGTGTAGGCAGTGCCCCAGTGAGCTCCTGCTGATTGCATTGCACTTGCAGGACTTGCCACTAGGGCAACAGGAAGCTGTTTGGACCCTTAAGCAAACCCAGAAATGAGCAGAAATGGAAATAATCAACAGAACCTCCCTTCCGTGAATTCCACTGGTCTGCCTTATTCCATAAATTAGGTTTTCCACTCTTTTCCCTGTTCATAAGGATCTACTAGCTAGTGTACAGACAATGTAGGATATTACTTCATATCATGGAAGAGTTGGACATTAGCATAGTTCTGCTGCTTTATATTCCCTTGTATTCTTGGGTTACTCTCCTGGGAAGTGGATTCTGAGCAACATGTATGGCTCATTTTGTATCTCAAACATATTCTGTTGCATTTCACTTATGTTTGGTACTATGAATACTGAGAAACTGTTTTTTTTTAAAGGGAAATTGATATGAGAGAAAGATGACCTTGGAAAGGAACCCTGTGTAGCTCAAAAGAGAAAAGACTATACTCCAGCAGTGACCATGTGCCCTTTAAACCACTGCAACTAGGGCAAAGATTTATTCATTGGTTTGTAGCATCTGGATGCACATAGGAATAGAAATGGTTTAATACTTACCTAAAATTCTCTCTCCCTCTCTCTCAATTTTTTTACAATTGTTTTAAGAACAAGGCACTGAGGAAGTGAAAAAGCTACTTCTACTCTTGCTTGGCTGTGCAGTTCAGGTATGTTCATGCAAGAATTGATAATATTCACTTGACTAGACTTAATTGTGCTTACTTGTAGCCTTCTTCATGTTTCTCATGCAAAATCAAGCAGCTTTTGTGACTAAACACTTGAGCTAAACCCTGGCTAACATACCTTCTGTCATGGGCCTGATTTTTCCTTGCGTGTGTTACCTAAAGTCACAGTAGACAGTGATACTCTGGCAGACCACTTTCAGGAAGCATAAACCTCCAAATATTGGCTTTTCTAAGGAGATGACTTTAAAAGAAGCAGTAGCAGGGATGAGTTTGGAATTGAAGTTAAATAAAATGGAAACCCAACTCTTCCCCTAGCATTGGAGCTGAACACTAAACTGGACCCCATCTCAGTCTAGTTCAGGGTAGGTCAGAAAGCAGAGGATGTTGTCACTTGTCAGTTATCTACCAAAATATCATGTCTTTCCATAACATGCTGGTTAGAGTAGAGACAGTTTCTCAATCATTGTCAGACTGTACACTATATGGATTGAGTTGATTAGCCCTTGCAGGTACCCAGCATAACTGAGAAAAAAGTGGAGGTATTTTTGAGCTGTTCAGTTAATTAAAACATACTCTATATTGTGTTTGTTTTAGTGTCAGAAGAAAGAAGAATTCATTGAAAGAATCCAAAGTTTAGACTTTGATACAAGAGCAGCTGTTGCCGCGCATATACAAGAGGTATTAATCTTGTTTACTACTATAGAATCTCCATTCATTCAAAGGATTTTGGAGGTAACCAAATGTCTTGATCGAAGAATGTGCATGATAGTTGCAGAGGGTAAAGCAGACAGGATGTTACACAGAACACAGTGTAAGTCACTGCCTGGGTAGGTTTAGACTATGATTCTATCACCCCTAGCTTTAGCAGGGGTGATAGAATCATTAGAATAGTTCATGTATTTGAAAGGTCTCCTTATGTTTCTGTGAATTTTCCCTGATGATGTGGTGACCAGTCCTGTAACTGTCCTGGGAGATTTCTAGAATTTAGAAGACCAGGAACATTGACATATTTGTACCTAGACACTTTCTGGTGTCTCATGCAGCCAAATTTGCTCTTTGGCTTTTGGAGTGTAATGAGGCAAGCAAGAGGGAAACAAATGAAGTGTGGACTGGACTGGTCTGTGATCTTCAGAAACAACAGGATATTGGCTGGGAAGACAGAACTTCTCTATTTCTCCTGGTGACTGTAGGACAATGAGTTCAACAGGATACACAAAAGCAGTTCCATCTACACAGTGAGATGTGTCTTCACTGTGTGCATGGAGGTGAGAAAACTGAGAAGCCAAGAATAAAATAATTTCAGGAAATAACTAACAGATGTTTCAGCATTACATGACATTCTTCACTCTGTTCTAGGAACAGAGGGCAGCTCACACTGTTTTGAAGGACTTCAGATCGAACAAATACAATAGAATTCTTCTGAAATAAAATGTGCTCATCCTTTGCTACCATCTAGATAAGACTTGAATTGCCTTGAGGAAAACAGGGCATGGGCTTCCATAATTCTTCAGGAAAAGGGAATCTGAAAGCTGGAGAGCATCCAACAGAGTTTGAGGGTTTAATTATAATAGGAAAGGATAATGGGGGAAAGATTGAAGTTGTGCTGGGAAAAACGGTTGAATGATGGAGATAGCAGTCAGCATGTAGATCACTAGAGCAAATTTTTAAAATGGGAAGAAGAACAGGGCTTTGGATTCAGTGGAGAACTGACTGGCTTGCAAGATCAAGTGGGTTAATGTAGAAGAATAGCGGACAAAAATGAAAGTAACAGAGATGGAGAAAGTTTCATGAAGTTATACCACAATTATCCTCAAAAAGCTATGATCACCTGTGGGGTGAGAAGAGTGGTACATAGAATGGTAGAAAAATAAATGTCTATAAAGGTACACATAAAAAATACATGTGTAAGAAATGGTTTATTCCATAATGAGAATTGAGAGATCATGCCTTTTGCATTTTACTAAAATGGTGCCTGTCATATGCTTTGCTATATTTCTTAATACAGTTGAGGAATATTTCATTTTTAAATGTAGTTGATTAACTATGCATAGTATTTGACTTTAATTGTAAACATATGTGATTTTCATGCATTAACCAACAATATTATTTAAAAGGAAGATAGGGTACTGAGGTTAAAATGATACTACAGCTACTCAAGTTAGCCCAGCAGAAAATACCCTCAAGTGATAATTTTTCTTGGTGTACTCTGGAATAAGTTATAACATATTCATAAAATGTGTTAAGAGTTATGAAGTTTGTTTTTTAAAGCAGACATGGACTCCATACTGTCATGTCATATTAGGTCACACTCAGTTCATACTCATTTCTGTATTCTTGCACCATTTAAACAGAATGCTGTTTCCTTCATTGTGATTTTATCCTCTGCAGGTAACTCATAACCAAGAAAACGTGTTTGATCTTCAGTGGATGGATGATAATGCTATGTCACAAGACTATATTGAACCTCTCCTTAAAAATATGGCATTGCATTTGAAAAGACTTATAGATGAGCGAGATGAGCATTCTGAGGTATGTGTCTTGCAAGTTTTTCCATTCTGGGTTTGGTTGGTTGGTTTGTTTTAAGATATGACTAACCAACTATTTGCAAATACTGAAACTGGGAATTATAATGTTGACTCACTTGTAGATTTTGTCAGGGTGTGTAGGTATGGACAATCCCTCTCCAGTTTGTTTGTTGGTTTGTTTGTTCGTTTGTTTAAAATATTTATACCCCGCCCAGGGCGGCTTACAAAAATCAAAAACAGATAATTAAACAAGTTAACAATAATTAAATATACACATAAAACCAGTAACAATTCACAAATGAAAGAAAAAACAAAATCAAAACAAGAATAAAAAAATCAAAACCAAAAAGTGATTGTGAAGTTAAAACCTGATGAAAATTCCTAACAGTTAAAATGATGGGCAAATAAAAAGGTTTTCATCTGGCGCAGAAAGGAATATAGAGTCAGTGCCAGATGAACCTCTCTGGGGAGTGCATTCCATAGTCTGGGCACCACCACAGAAAAGACTTTCCTCTGGGTAGAGAGCATTCTCACTTCTTCACAGTTGTAAAGTGATGAAAAGGATTACAATCTTAAGTAACTTGAAGCATGCTGTCTTTCCTTTTTTAAAAATAAAAACACTTTCCTCATAGTGTTGAGAATATTTAGCTGAATGCATTGATATACATTGCAGATGGAGAATCCCTGCTGTCAAGATGCAAGAATGTGATTATTCATTTTCTTAGTGTTTAAGAGAATTGGAAATATCAGTGGATGACAGTTGAACTTGAGAAATAGGGATACAAATATATGTACATTCATAAGCAGCTCTTGCATCTTGAAGTGTGGGATTTTTTTTAGTGACTTCCTCTTTTCCTGTTCTGTATTAAATGGTTTACTTTTTAAAATATTATGGGGTCTTTCTTTATTGCTCTCTGTTTTCATCCTTTCATTCCTTGAAAAGTGAACCTTCACTCCCTTGAGCTTTCCCTTATGTTTGCACCTCTTCTTTTGCTTTCTCTGTAGGTCAGGGGTGGAAAACCTGTTGCCCTCATGTGTTTTGGCCTACTACTTTCTACAACTTAGCCCTAAGCTAGCATAGCTAATGGTGAAGGTGAAGAGAGTTATGTGTCACATGGTGCAAGCTCTGCTATATGTGGAACTTGTTTCTGGTGAAAAGCTGCTGGCTATTTTCTCTAACTAGCTTTAAATCATTATTAGAGACTATCCATTTTACATGTTTCCTTCATGCAATTCTGCCATCTTTTTTTTCTGCTTTCTTCATACTTTTTCATTAAGCTTTGTCTAGGTATATAAAATTTTCTTTTGCATATTATTTCCTGTTATATTTCAAGTAGCAATGTAAACAAAACCCTCAGGCTGGACTCATTTATCTTTTTATTTATTTAATAATTAGTGTGTTGTAAATCCTTTAGAAGCATTAATTAGGAAGAGAAATGACAAATTTCTTGCTTGGGAGTTGGGAGAACAAATGAAAAGATGGGAGCAGAGGAAAGGAGAATAAACCTGGCCTCAGCAGAGGAGCAGGAGTACTGAAGGAACCTGCAGCCAAAATCAGTTTACTTGCTTGAAGATTAGCTCCCCAAAAGCACGTAGCATGAAGATGTGTTTGTTCAAGTTTTCACCTTACAGATAAACTACATTTTACAGAGGAAAACCATGCTGGGCTTTTGCTTGGCACCCACCATGGACTATAAATTCAGTCATAATGGGCTGTGGGAAAGAGTTCTTAATACTTCCACCATGCTGTTTTCCCTATCTAAATTCCACAAACACCCATCTCTTGGGCTGGTTTGCTTGATGATGGGTTGCAGAACATCCTGACAGTGATTTTTAATATTTAACATATGATGGGGGGTTACCATGGATTGCTGTGTCACCTGAGCCTGGGCAGTTGGGGTTTTCTGAATGTTAAACAGCCCTCACAAAACACTGTAGTAGACCATGTGTAATTTGACCGTGTGTCATTGAACGCTTGAACAACCTGCGTCCTGGGTTTGGATGTGACAAGGTGTGGCTTGAATAGACAGAGTAAGCCAGGGTAGTCTGCGGTGATAGCACAAATCAGGTCAATGAGTAGATTCTAATCTGTTCAAATAAAAATATTGGTATCATGGGAGGATTCCTTTGGTCTACATACTGACTATATTGAATCTTACCGTGTTGCACCAGTACTGATACAATTAAGGTTTACAATTAAGCAACTAACTTTCAAAGTATAAGCCATTGTACAATATATACTATATTTTGTTGGCTTGTTTGGGTATTTTTACCCCGTCCAGTACTTTGCAGGTCTCTGGACAGCTTGTATAAGGTTTACCAGGCTTCACTGAGGTCCAGTTTTGAAATGGAAACCACTTTGATTGCTCTGTAGGTGACCTATATTGGGACAGGGAGAGTGAGGATTATGATTCTGTGGATTATCTTGAACTTGCCAGTGACTTTTGATATTGTTGGCCACGGTGTCCTTCTGGATAAGCCATCTGGGCTGGGAGTTGGAGGTATTGCACTGCTGTGGTTCTGCTCCTTTTTGGATGGCCAATTCTAGAAGGTAGTGCTGGGGGATTATTTCTCTTTCCCCTGGCAGTTATACCAAGGGATCTGTTTTATTTCAAATGCTCCCCTGCTGCTCAGAAGACCATCCAAATATAGGGACTGAGGAGTCATCAACACACAAATGACATCCAAGTCTGTCACAGCTTTTCATCCAATCAAAGTGAGTCAGTGGGCATTCTGAACAAATGCCTGACTATAGTAATCAGTTGGATGAAGGCCAGTAAACTCAATCCAGAAAAGAGTGCAGTGTTGTCAAAGAAGTTTCATCAACTTGCTCAATCTAATTGTTCTGAGGATTCTGCTTCCTCTAAAGGATCCATTTCTGGGCCTACTTCAAAGTGCTTCTGTTAACCTGGCCGCAAGCCATTTAGGGTTTCCTTTTGTTGTCTGAAATTTTGTTTTCTCCCTTGTACACCTGATAGCACACCATGATTATCTAAAACAGTTGTTCTCCAGGAACCCCCACCAAAGGAAATGAGGTGGGTGACCACTAAAAAGACGGTTTTTTCTGTTGTGGCACCCCACTTGCCTGCTGCCTAAATTGGGAAGAGGGAGGTTGAGCCAAATGAAGACCTTTCCAGGCATTTTAGTTTTTCATTTCCTGTTTTACATCTGGTGCTGTATTTTAGATCTTAGGTTTCATTTGGTGCTTATTTTATACTGTACTTTTAAACATTTATCATTTACCTTCCAGAGAGCTTCAGCTATTGGACAATATTGAAATGTAATAAATAACCAATGAATGATTTAGGGCAAATAATAATTAAGCATTTTCCAGGTCATTCCTATGGCCAGGAGACAAATTCCTTGTTTGAAAATCTTTTGTGCTGACTGGATCATGCCCCTAATAATTATTTTTGCATCTTGAGCTATTTTAGACTATAAATTCAAGAGAGAATTCTTTCAGCCTCTTCTATTGAAATCTGTTTGATATCAAAGATTCCTAACTTTTGGCTGAATGATATGCTAAGATTCTTCTTGTTGCCTTTGAACTCTTGATGTATTACAATTTTGTCTTCCCATAAAAACTTGTATGCTCCTGTCTGCATTTTTTTTCTGCCTTAGACTATCATAGAACTCTCTGAAGAACGAGATTCGCTTCATTTTTTACCTCATGCATCAGCAGCACAGTCACCTTGTGGTTCTCCAGGAATGAAACGCACTGAAAGCAGACAACACTTGTCTGTGGAGCTAGCAGATGCCAAAGCAAAAATCAGGAGGCTTAGGCAAGAGCTGTAAGTACACAGTGAAGACCAGGAGGTTACACTAATGAACTCAATGGGCCTTCAGGGGAAGCAGAGCCATCCTAGGATGGAAGAAAACCCTTTCTATGATCCCCTTAGGTTAAGTTATTAGTACATGTCTTGTATACAGTGCATAGGCTTATATGCATTGCTATATACGTTTTATTAATTGATTTCTGTTGTTGTCAGTTTGTACCCAGCCATATCCATGTATGTTAACTGTTTTATGCTGTTTTATGCTCATACACTTGGATTTTTATCCCGTAAGATCAGCCTTATGGTTATTAATGCCTATGCTAGCCTTGAACTGATCATGGTATATCTATAAAAGCTTCTAGGAAAGGCACCCTTATCTGATGGGTGGTAGAAATAATTTTTTGCAGTGTGACCTGCAGAGCTGTTGTTCCCATTTCAGCCCAACAACAAACTTTCAGAATTTGTGTAATATTGCTACTTGTTCTAGGCTGAAGAGACCCATTTGAAATCTCAGTTGGTTCTGACCCACAGTCCTACACATTAAGTGCTTTGAACACTAGAAGCTATGAAGGATTATTATGTATTACCAATTTCAAGACTTACTCAGCCATCATGGTGCCTATTATTCAGCAGTGTTGCAAATGAACCAGCAGAAGCACCAACATACACTGGAGTGCCAATGCTGTGAGGAAAAAAATCAGTATTGAGTTAGACACTGAATTACTCAGTAGACTAAGGTATTATGAGTCTTCTACTGCAGCCCCCAGTTAAAGGCTTAACTGTATGCCATGTACCTACCTGGAACATCCTGGACAAATGATGGTATGCATAACCTCTCCAGTCATGCTTAAAATTCAGAGGCTTCACTTTGGCTAATGGGTTTCATTGTTGGTCTTGTATTCAACAGCAGCAATGACCATCTGGGTAAGCTCTGACAGTCTTCATCACATACTGAGACAGGATAGAGAAGCATGATCAAGGAGTATTTATGGTATACCTGTGATGAACAGCAAGAACAGTGTATTCCTTACAAGATAGTTTTGACTAAATCATCTAAAACTAGTAGAGATAATTGTTGGCTCTATTCAGCTACCTTTCTGACCCAGGACTGCACACAAAGTAATAAATTTTAGTCATCATGAGCACTGGAATACAATAAGAGAAACAGATCTTATTTTCTGATGACTATATTATTACATGTCTATTGAAATGAGTCTGCTCAAGAAATTCTGTAAACAGCTGCACTAGGAAAATTAATTCAAATTGCTGTTATTAATTTGACTGACAGTTAATAGCTTAAACAGTGAACATGGGTGCATTCTGTGCAATTAAAGCAATCCCATTACAGTTCAGCTGAACAGCACATTTGGAAGTATGTATAATGTTGAGAACATTTTACAATGCATTCAATTTATTTACTTTTTTTTTTGTTAGGCATTAAGTGACAAATATCTTTTAAAGATTAGCAGTATAGTCTTATCCATAACTATTCCATAGTAATTCCCATTGAGTTCTATGACTCTTGCTTCTGGCAAGTGCATATAAATTTTCAGCCTTAGTTACTGGTATCTGTTAATTCTATACACATAAATTATGCTTCACTTAAAATTGCTGACAAGAGACTAAGTAGATAGAAATAAAAATCAACACTTTTTGTATAGTGGCATTCACATTTTAAGATAGATGTTTTAATTAACTCAAGCTTCAGTATAATGTACATTTTACAATAACTGAGTGAAACAGTTTAACTGTTGACTATTTCACTGCTTTATGCCACTTTTTTGCTACTGAAAAATAAAAGCAATTTTGACTGAAATTTCCCACATTCCTTTTCAGATTCAAATGAGATCATTAAAATCTCTTGCATAAACCTATGATCTTAGTTGTTGTGAACATCTTTCTGGTTCATTAGTTCTAGCTCCATAATTCAGTCTATAATCTTGAAAGTTGGTCAATGTGTGGGTGAGACAGTTGTATTTAAATCACTTTATCACAATATTAATTTTGGAAGACAATACTGTTGCTCTTAATACTAACATGCAGTTGTAGATCCTACTGTTTTTGTGTTTCAGGCTCAGTGAGGAATGATGCTTTTTCCTTTTAATTTCTAGCTTTGCTCATTGTGGCTCACATTTATGAAAGGGGAAGGGCTAGTTTGATTAGTCCAGTATTATTGCCTTTTGTGACTGGGAGTAGAGAGAAATCACAGGGTCCAAGTACAACACCTTAAAAAAAGCAACCCCAGGGATGCAATCCCAATTCCTCAGGAGTTAATACCTTTATTTCAGATGATTTAGGTGTGCTTCAGTAATTTTCTCCCATGAGATCAGGGATAACAAGAAAGAAGCAGAGAACCTGTAATAATAAATGCAATGGGATTCTCCTACCATTTTCTTTCCCATTGCATCCCCCTGCACTCCCTTAAAAGGAACTGTAAGAAAGGCCTAGGATATAATTGAGAAACTGTTGTGAGAGGAGACTATTGCCAAGAATCAGGCACAGTCAGATTATTCAAATTGCCAGTACCTTCTCTTGGGCCATTCTCCCACCTCACCCCTGGTATCTCACTATATTTCCCCTGCCTTTTGGGCATTCCCTGACTCTTAAATTCTTGTGATGGGTAATTCAGGAGAGTGGTGAAGAGGCAGTGAAAAAAATCGCACTGCATGAGCAGCTCTACTTGTGTGAATTCTGAATGCAACCAAATGTGCCTCATTGCTTTTTAACTTACGAGGATTCTTGAAGTACTTCAGTGATATTTGTTTCATGAAAACAAAAGGGTTGAGTTAAGACACAATTATTTTGTATTCTGAAACTTCTGTTGTGCAATTTGCATCTGTGTATATGCTTTCTTAATTTGATTGTGATATGCAATTTAAATGTGATTTTCTCATCTTGGATGGTTGAGGTACTACATTTTAATTATGATGTACTGTTACTGAATTTACTATATAAATGCTCATAATAAACTGGATTGTTATTGGGTGATATTAAAACTGATGTCCACATAGAAACAGAATATTTCTTTACCCATCCTTCGATGTTAATTATGGTGGATGAGAGTCTACATCATGTGTATGATCAGTAGGCAAAGGAAAGCATATATAATATGATCTTGGTCTGCAGTTGCCAACATTTTAATCAACCTCTATGCTTGCAGTTTGTTCTGCAGGAATCAGAGGAAATGTCTGATTGCATGCAGGGTGTATATATTATATTACCTTTAATTCTTGAAGATTATAGGCAAAACAAAAACAAAACAAAACTGTATCATGTAGGAGTCTTTGAACACTTGGTACGGAGAATGTCTGAATCTATAAAGAAGATTCAATGAGACCAGGCAGATTCTGCTTAAATGGTAGTACACCTGTAGGGGGAATTGTCCAGAGTGCTGAACTTAAAGGTGAATTGACAAGAAAGCTGATGTACACTGTACTTCTGAACCAAAACACTTGGTCAGCCTGTAGGACTATAACTTTTGTGTGAGGAACTAACTATACCATCTGTAAATTCATGAGCTTCATTACCATGTAAAAGGTGGGGGAGGGAAACAGCTGCCCTTTACGAGGACAATGATAGGGGAGCAGAGATGTGGGCAGTGCATAAGCTTTTCACCTGTTGTTCGCTCTAATTATCTCTGCCCCTAGTTGAACACCAAATTCCAAATTTTTCTGACCTGGTGGGAAAAGGGCAGGAACTATGGGAGCAGACCAGGGACTATTGGAGGCACTAGTTTAGAGTAGGGAGACTTAAGCACTCTTTTATAACTTGCTAGTTCATGGTTATCACTTCCAAAAGCCTTTTGCCTTTCTTTTAAGATGATATAGGTATGCAAAGTTTATTCACCTCTGAGCAATGAAGGGTATATTATTTCTTGTAGTTCTGTCATTGCTATTTTTGTTTTGTAATATAAAATAGTTTTATGTTTTTAAATTTCTTTCTCTTTAAGTGAGGAGAAGACTGAACAGTTGCTGGACTGTAAACAAGAACTGGAACAAATTGAAATTGAATTCAAGAGACTACAGCAAGAGGTTTGCAAATACGAGATCACTTCTCAGGCTTTATACTTAGAGCAAGTGTACCTGTCCATATCTAATCAGTTTAAACATGATATTTACTCCAAACAAGGACTAAAAGTTTGCAACTAAATATTGGCCAGAGAATCTTTCTGAAGTGTCTCTTCAACATAATGGAAACAACCAACCAAATTCACTCAGGGGCTTCTTCTGATAAATGCAATTTAAGAGTCAGTAGACAAGGGTCTGTGCTGATTCTCTCCACATGCAAATCACTTTCCACATTCTACCCATCTTTTTGTGTTATAATTGATACAATATGTGTAGTATAATTTATAATGGTCCAAAGATTTGAACCACAGAGAGGCAGTTCAAAACATTTAAAGGAAATATTTATTCAGGAAAATACATTATTGCATGTATCTGCATTTACTCTAGCAACATTTACTCTAATTCTCTCTAGATGGTAAATAGGAATTAGGGGGTCTTTCTATGTTCATTTTGTATAGAACAAAATCAGACCTAATAATATCTGTCACAAAACAGAACATATCTATGAAACTGGGCAGTACAGACAACCCAGACATCTCTCTTATTGAGGGAAGAATTATTTCAATCGTGGACATAACTTTGAATTTTATCATATTTGCATAAATATAAAAGAGATGTCCATAGCTAAAATCAAATATTTATCTTAATTTTCTGTTACGTTGTCAGGAAATGAATGCATCAGAAACATAATGTAGAGATGAGGTGAGACCCTTCAGACACATATGAAACAAAACCAACAGTAATAGTTGTTTATATGGAGGTTTTTACAGAGACATTTACAAGAACATGCTGTTGTGTTGCTGTCAGTGAGATTTCATACAGGGCTTCACATAATCTTTTATTGCTTCTTTTGCTATTCAGGATAATTTATATATTTTAATCCTTCCATTAATTTCCCCAACTTCCATGAACACTTAACCCTAGAGTTACTCGATGTTGACATAAGGTGCCTTATTTCTGCAGAATCTTAACTTAAAATGCAATTCTGATTTGTTTCCTAGAACATGAATTTGCTTTCAGATGCCCGTTCTGCTAGGGTTTATCGGGATGAACTTGACGCTCTTAGAGAGAAGGCAATCCGAGTGGACAAACTTGAAAGTGAAGTCAACCGATATAAAGAGAGGCTACATGATATCGAATTCTACAAGGCTAGAGTAGAGGTGAGTAGGAATTTAAACATCAGTTCCATACAGAGCATATTAGGGGGGTTTGGATGAGTTTGCTGCTGTTGGGATAGAATTATGCGCTTGTGTTGCTCTTGTTCTATCATTTAAAAACATATGTAACAGAAGAAGAAATACATTTGGCATTGTGAAGATTCTTTGTTTCACCTTAAGATATTCCAAAATAAATAACACTTGAGCTATAATCATCTGCTTAAAAGCAAATATGAGAGATCTGATAACTGACTCTGTTGACTGGGATCAGATGTCTGTTTCCACCCCTCAACAGGGATTGTGCAGTCAAAAATTGTTTGCTTCAGTTCATTAAACTTGATCTTTTAACATGTTCTAGAGCAAATAAACTTTCACGTTGTTGTCACTATTCAAATATACTAGCTGCTTTCCTTTGAATATCTGAAATCAACAAGGAGAATTCCTTGTATCATGGATTCCTCACTTAAATTACATAGAAGAACACAACTGGGACAGGCTGGAGTGGGTCTAAAAATTGTGTATCAAACTAACAATGGCAACAGATCATAAGTTCCAACACTCCAGCAAGTATATATTTGCTCCACTGCTTGACATCATTGTCAGGTCCTATCTTCCTGCAATACAGCCGATGTTCTTACCATTAGGGATTTTAGTTCTTAAATTTAAAATATACTTCTGTAGGATGCAAAGTGGTTTCTGGGGGTTATATCTAGTGAGGATGATCTGCTAGCAGGAAGGAGGTCAACAAATTTCCCTTACTCCTGCAGCCACCAAATGTTGGAGGACTCTGTGGGGCAGATTTGGGGACTGCAGGGGGGAGAAGAGAATGGGCATGGCCTGTTTCATGAGTAGAATTTCTACCCCATAAGTGTTAAGTTCCAGTCCTTAAATCAGTTTGATGTAGCTAGTATTTCATACATTGCCATAATTTTTGTAACCTAACTCTGTTAAAATTTATATAGAACACAACCATGTTTTTCTTTATTCTTTTTGTTCAGTGCATGTTCTGTTGATCATCAATTTCATATTTCTTTCTGGTTCTTGTAGGAGCTAAAAGAAGATAATCAAGTATTGTTGGAAACTAAGACAATGTTGGAAGATCAGTTGGAAGGAACCCGAGCCCGTTCTGATAAATTACATGAATTGGAAAAGGAGAATCTACAGTTAAAGGCTAAACTGCATGATATGGAGATGGTGAGCATACAGGATGAGACCTCAGATGTGTAGGTTTATAAAACAGAATTCATTATTGTGAATTTGCTAATCTGGCTGCTGTTGATTTAAATTTGTATATTCATATTCTTTGAATTGAATGACTTTCACTGTAAGCAGCTTTGGATATTTTAATAGAGATGTGGCACATGCATATTTTAAATATTGATATTTACAATATTCCTCTGTTACACGTTGAAAGTATGGTCATTGCAAAATTCACTATTTGATAGAACAAAGTTTTGTTTTTGTTTTGTTACTTCTGAAATTGACTGGCTTTCAAATTGGGAGGGCTCTGCCCCAAGCTATATTTTATTGGGTGAAAATGCAATATAAAGCAGAAAAAATAAAGCTGCTATATATTACATAATATGTCAAATGCATTTAAAAAATATTTTATTGGAAACTGAACAAGTTTCCATTTGGCTTATATGTTTTAATTTCAATTTAATTCTTTCTTTTCAAATAGCAAATAATGAGCCAGGAAGCTTTTCTGTATCCATCTAGCACTGAACTGACTGGCCACAGTTCTCAAGGGATTCAAAGAAGTTTTTTCCCCATACTTGGAAATGCCAGGAATTGAACATGGCATTTTTGGATGAAAAAGATGTGTTCTAGCAGTGAGCAATGGCAATCCCCCTAAACTCACCTTCACATAATTGTTAAAATAGTCGGTTTTATGATTTTCAAGAGCAATATAGTGGCATAAGTATTTACATTTGATAATTGGATTGTATGTACGTTAAGTTTAGATAAATCATTTTGTGATGCTGACACTAGTCACCAATCACTAACAGATTTGAAGATGGAGTCGGTAAAATTTTGCAAAACATTGGTTACTGAAATCTGTTTGGGCTTCTTTGAGAAGTTATAAAGAAAAGTTTTGTGTACACAATATTTAAGGAACGTGATATGGATCGGAAGAAAATTGAAGAACTTATGGAGGAAAATATGACACTAGAAATGGCTCAGAAACAGAGCATGGATGAATCGCTGCATCTGGGCTGGGAACTTGAACAAATAAATAGATCATCTGAAATTTCAGAAGGTAAATAAAGTTTTACTACTACACTATTTGGTTGGGAAAGAGGCAGCTGAGTGATTCAGATACTCCATGAGATTTTTCAAATGTATATAAATTGTTGTTGGAGCACCCAACCTCATTCATAGGTAGAGCTCCTACTCCCATGTAACCATTAATAGTAGCATATTTTTCAAGTATGGAAATAGCATTGAATGTGTCTGTAGCTGATCTCATGGGTTTTGATCTTGTTGCAATTCTAGACCTCCCCAGTGTCATGAGGCAGAGTTCTGCTCTGGAGTAAGCACACTACTCCAGGACTCCTTTACCAATAGACTTCATTGTTACATGCCTCTGAGTTCACCCAGAGTGACATGTTGAGCCCTCTTTATTATCAATCATTCCCTTGCTTTTTATAACCCCTTTTGCATCTCACTCCTGAGGGCAGAGCACTGTGAAATTGTGCCTGCCTTCATTCTTCCCATTTTTCATTCAGTTGAACCTCCTGTCAGTGCTGTCGCCTGGCAACTGGTGTCACCTCTTCATGAGGAAGGGCTTCCATGTCTGACAAACTACCAATTTCCCTTTTCTACTCCCCTGCTGTGAGTTGTGTCCAGCCTTCAGCTCCACCTCCCTTCCACAAATTGGTAGACAGGCTCCCATCAGCCCAGACTGTCAACCCCTTGACTTCTGCGTATTCTTTGTCTTAACCATGCTAGATTTTGTTCCTGTTTGCAGTTTGAAACCTCAGGACTAAAGTTTAAAGTAGGTTGATTGCACTACATTAAGATCACTAATATTTGTGACTTGAGAGCTGTTTGAATTTCTGGACTTTTTTTTTTTTTTTTTTTTTTTTTTTTTTTTTTTTGCTAATCACAAAATTGTGCTTTTGTTCTTCTTGGTCAACATGGTTAGTGCCAAATGCTGTGAATTTTTGGAACTAGGCCAGCTGTCTGTCAAAGTAATTATTCTAGAGTTTTTGGTATTTATAGCCACCTTTTTATTCAATAGTGTATTACAGGAACCTAAAGAATTAGGCTTGGTCTGGCCCTATTAGAAATTATCCATAGGGCACAGGTTAAATCTAAATCATAAAAAATTCCTACAGATGTGAGTAGTAAACTTTTACATTTTTTTCCCTTTTATTCTGATAGTGCCACGAAAATCACTTGGTCATGAAGTGAATGAACTGACATCAAGTCGGTTACTGAAACTAGAAATGGAAAACCAAAGTTTGTTAAAGACTGTGGAAGAACTGCAAAATGCAATGGAATCTGCAGAAGGCAGTAATTCAAAAATACTGAAAATGGAAAAGGAAAACCAAAGACTAAGTAAAAAGGTATCCATGATTACACATTTTTAAATTAAGATGTTATATGCTAGTGCATAATTCACAAATGGAAATTTTCTGAAACAACTTTAAAATTGCTACATGCTTTTAATTGTAAATTTCATTTTGCCCTCACTGTCTTATCCTCCAGTGCAAAAAATCTAACATGTATGATGCTGCAGAAATTCATTTGCTTATTCAATTGTCAAGCAATGTTTGAGATAAAGCAAATGTGACTGTTCACATTCACAAACACACACACTTTCTCAAACACGTTGCATCTTACAGGTTCTGACAAATTTCAGTCCATCTTTCAGTCCAATATAATGTAATAGCAATAGGAGTTCTAATACAAAGAGTTGGTCTACTCTTTGAGATATCTTCAATAAAAGCATTTGAGAGCTCTTGTAAGATTTGCCTGATTAGTGTTTAATTGAAACCTTCCTTCCTTCCTTTCTTCCTATACTGCCCTGTAGCCAAAGCGCTCTGAGTGTTTTTCATTAGCATCAACATATATTTGCATGAGTAAATATAATGGAACCTTTAAAACTCAGCCTCATTGACACTTCAGTGTGCTGTTCTTAACTCTGTAAATTCTATTGTTACATTATTTCAGATGGAAGTTTGAGTAAAAGAACAAGTAACCAAACCTCCTCTCTAAGTGAACTATGTACACTCAAATGTAAAATATGATTAATTATTTTTAGTTTGTGTTTCTCTCTAGGTGGAAGGACTTGAGAATGAACTTGCTGAAGAGAAGCAAAGTCTTCAGAACAGTCAGAATCTTAGCAAAGATCTGATGAAAGAAAAAGCACAGCTTGAAAAAACAATTGAGACTCTGAGAGAAAATTCGGAGAGACAGGTAATACAAAGACCTTTGTAGAGATGGTCAAGACTCACATTTTAGAATTTAATTTGTGTGGGTTGTATCAAATTGTGTTACCCTACTGACAGAAGACTCTTTGATGCAGCAGAGATTTCCTTGAGAGCGTGTGTATGTGGTGTGCAGTGGTGGGGATTTTCATGTATGCCTATTGCAGGCTTCTGTGTCACCTCCAATACTATTTTAAGGGTCTCTGAGTCTAGATTTAGTGGAGGCCTGTGGCTGCAGAGGGAGATAAGATTCAACAAAAATCCTTTGCACTCACAGGGGTCTGTGGAATCAGAAAGTCTTTCATTGGGGGTGGAATGAAAGACTGTTTTGATGGTCTCTACTATGGTAATGATGGCCCATTTTTCCCATTGCCATTTTCATATGAAGTTTAAATTTCATCTGTATGTGTTTCTTTATGCTTTCTTTTCTAAAATTGTCTAAGTATCATGTGGATGGGTCACATCTATGCTTTTGGAAGGATCTAACCAGACAGGAAAGCAATATATATACCCAGTGTAAAAAAATTCCCATCCTTTAAATCTCATGTAGTGTGTTTTTCTGCCCACCACACATTCTTCCTCAGTAAGTGCACAAAATATTCAATATTTAGTAAACAAAATTAAAAATGTAATCCAGTTCAACCTTATATGTAGATTAAATATATCATAAGTTTCCCCAATAGCTGCAAAATATTGGAAATGAACTATTTGTTTAGGAGGAAATTAAATTAACCACACATTGTATTTTAAGTACTATAATGACTTTCAAACACATTGAAAGCTTTATGTGGAAATTATTTTACTGGAATATTTGTGAAACAACAGCAGATGCTTCTTTGTGGTGTTTGTTTATATTTAACAAAAAACAATTACACCTGAAAGAACATACTGTTTTTAGGTTATATACTCACTGAAGTAACTTGTACCTGTAGCAGTTGCAGTTTAGAATCAAAAATTGTAGAGCTGGAAAGGACCACAAGGCCAGTTAGTCCATCTCTCTGCTCAGTGTAGGAGTCCAGGTAAAAGGATCCATAACAGATGGCTGTCCAGCTGCATTTTGAATGCCTCCAGTGTGGGAGAGCCCACATTCTCCCTAGGCAATTGGGTCAATAGTTGTATTGCTCTAAAAGTTTCCTGATTGCTCTAACAATCAGGAAACTTTTCCTGAAGTTCAACTGGAATGTGGCTTTCTGAAACCTGAGTCCATTATGCCATGTTCTGCATCCTGGGATGATCGAGAATTGATCCTAGCCCCCTTCTGCCAATGTCTCAGGTTCTTTAAGTGTCCTATCATATCTCCTCTCAGTCTTCTCAAGGCTAAACATGCCTAATTATTTCAGTTTCTTCTCATAGGGCTTTGTTTCCCATCCCCTAATTTTATTCGTTGGTCTTCTCAGAATCTTTTCTCATTGTGTTGTAAGCCGCCCCGAGGCTTCGGCAAGGGGCGGCATATAAATATTATTATTATTATTATTATTATTATTATTATTATTATTATTGTTATTAATCTCCCTCTTTCTTAAACTGTGGTGCCCAGAACTGAATGCTGCAGTTCAAGATGAGGCCTAGCTAGTGCTTAAGAGAGGAGAGCTGCTACTACTAATAAAATCTGCAAAATTAATGTCAAAAATCCATGGTTGCCCTTAAGCTGTGGAGCCTCTTTGCTTGGAGCATTGTTGAGCCAAGTAGCCCACATCTTATAACTATGAATTTGGTTTCTATTTCCTTGGTGCATAGCTTGGCATGTGTCCCAAATTTGATAAGCATTCCCTGCATTTTTTCATCCAGATCATTAATTAAAATGTTAACGAGCGCTGGGCCCAGGACTGAACTCTTTGGTGCCGCCTTTGTTACCTCTCTACAGTTTGAGAAGTGTCCATTGATAAGCACTCTGTGAGTCCAATCCTGAGTCCAATCCAATCCTGTAGCTAACTGCAGATCCACCTAATAATTGTTCCATCTAGCCCACTGTTAGCTAGTTTTCTAATCAGGATATCATGACTTTCTTGTGCTGAGATAACTATACCACCTTTTTTGCACTGATTCCATTTCAGCTTCAGAAAAATCTAATTCAGAACAAGTTGAACATTATGTTTCACTAAAGGATGAATCTTTGTCTTTGGGCATAGGATGGGGAACTTGGGCAGGAGGGTTCTGCTTCTTAGGATCCCATGGTTAGCTATCAGGTTGGCCACTGTGCGAACAGACTGCTAGACCATGTGACCCCTTGGTTTGATCCAGGGTGGCTCTTCTTATGTTCAAATAGTAATCACTGTCTTGGTAGCAGTTTTCCCTCAGTGTATTACACAATGTTAGCAATAGAGGGCAAATATATCATGTATAAGTTTGACCCAGAGCATGCCAGACACCCTGCATTGTACCCAGGAACCTTATTTTTCCAGTCCCCCAGAGTCAACTGAGCACTAGGGTTTGTTAGTGCTTGCCTTAGAAGAATAAATTAAAGAAGATTATATCCTATATTTAGCTCATCTAATATGATTGATTGTGGTAGAACAATGCAATCAACTACAGATAAAGGGCATGGAAAAATTTTGTATAGAAAAATACAATGCTGAAAAAATTTATTTTTGGAAAAGTTTCTGTCCTATATCATTGTATGTACTTTATTTAGCCTTCTTCATGAGCAAACAGATACCCTCATTAGGATTTTGTTTTCCTGGAGGAGACAATGGTTTTGGAAGGGGAAGAAAAGACTAACTTTACTTAGTAGAATGAGCCACTCTGTTCAGGAAAATTGTTGGCGGACTCACCTAGAGACTTCACTAGAGCTGTGCCCTAGGTTTGTAAGAATAGGCCTTCTCTATAACCTAGGGTAGCTTGATTTCTTTCTCTAGGGGGAAACTTTTGTTTCACTTGGTGCTATAAAATGTTGGGTAACACAAATAATTCTTAGCCGTGCAGCCATGTGGTTCACTTGCCAGCAGTTTAGCCTTCCAAACTTAGCGGTTCTTCAAAAGCATCCCTGTGTGGTGGTATAAGTACTCAGATGAGAACTTCCGTATTTTCTGGAATGCCTGCCCACCCAGTTTTTGAAAGTGGGCTAAAATTTGGATTGAATCTGTGATGAGACAGATCTGTGATAACTTAATCAGGTATCAAAGACTCAGTTTTACAGTTCAGATGTGCATACTATTGTACCTTTTAGTTAACTCTTACAAGATGTTTGGTGTCTAAATAGGTCTGATAGTGATTTAAACTTTGCTTTCTATTTTCAATTAATTAGGTTAAAATACTGGAACAGGAGAATGAACACTTGAATCAAACAGTAGCTTCCCTCAGGCAGCGGTCACAAATCAGTGCTGAAGCAAGAGTTAAAGATATTGAAAAGGAAAATAAAATTCTTCATGAATCTATCAAAGAGACAAGCAGTAAATTAAATAAGCTAGAATTTGAAAAGAAGCAAATGAAAAAAGAGTTAGAACTTCATAAAGAGAAGGGAGAAAGAGCAGATGAACTGGAGAAAGAAGTTCATCATCTTGAAAAAGAAAATGAACTATTACAGAAAAAAATTACCAACTTAAAGATTACATGTGAAAAAATAGATGCTTTGGAACAAGAGAACTCTAGTCTAGATGTTGAAAACAGAAAGCTGAAAAAAGCTTTAGACAGCCTGAAAAATCTCAGCTTTCAACTGGAGTCCTTAGAAAAAGAGAATGCACAACTTGATGAAGAAAATTTAGAGCTCAGAAGAACAGTTGAATCTTTGAAGAGTAACAATATCAAGGTAGCTCAGTTAGAGTTAGAAAATAAAGAACTGGAAAGTGAGAAAGGTCAGCTTCAGAAGAGTCTGGAGCTTATGAAAACATCTTTTAAGAAGACTGAACGCTTAGAAGTGAGTTATCAGGGTTTGGATACTGAAAACCAAAGGCTACAGAAAGCCCTAGAAAACAGCAACAGAAAGATCCAGCATCTGGAAAGTGAACTACAAGATCTAGAGACGGAAAACCAAGCTCTGCAAAAAAATTTGGAACAACTCAAAATCTCTAGTAAACGCTTGGAAAAATTAGAAAAGGAGAATAAGCTTTTGGAGCAAGAAACCTCTCAGTTGGAAAAAGACAAGAAGCAGCTAGAAAAAGAAAACAAGAGGCTTCGACAACAAGCAGATATTAAGGATAGCACGTTAGAAGAAAATAATGTAAAAATTGGTCACCTGGAAAATGAGAACAAGTCACTCATTAAGGAAATTGCTATATGTAAAGAAGCTTCTGTTCGACTGAAAGAAATTGAAAAGGAGAATAAAGAGCTTGTAAAAAGAGCCACCATTGACAAGAAAACACTTGTTACGTTGAGAGAGGTAATGTTCCCTATAGTATAATGCTCTATTATTATCTAACTGAAATATATAGATAATTTATCAGTTGCAGAAAATAATAGAGGGTGAAATCCAATGTTCTTTGTTGTTGTCTCTGTGCATCACGCGTATGGGTGTGGCGCCTGCATAGTGCCTCATTTGGGAAGATTTCTTTAGCCTAGCCTAGAACATTCCACAGGAGCCCCACCCCCTTCCCCTCATATAAATAGGTGGGCTTCCACCATTCTCTCAGTTCACTTTCAACTGCTGTTTGCGAGTGCATTGGATTCTCAAGCATTCATTGTTCCCCTTTTTTACTTCAGAACTTTTTGAAATTTTATTTCCTACTCTCACAATCTACCCTTACTATCGACCTTTTACCAATCTCTCAATCTTCTCAAGCCTTCCTTTCAGCCTCTATCTATAATCTTCAAATCCCCTTCCCCCCACCTTCTTATCTCCTCACATGTTTTTAAAGCCGCTATCATCTTTCCTTCTCTTCAGTCTCCTTTTTTCTTCTTGCTTGATGTCTCTTAGCCAGCCGGCCTTTAGAAGGTGCAACAGTTGTGGCCTCCGAATGCCTTCTACTGACAGCCACTCATTATGCCTATTTCGTTTAGGCAAGGAGCTCCATGTCAATAAATGCCAACATAGTCAGGCATTTACAAAGCAGGCTCACATAAATAGAGCTGGCAGATTAAGGATGGAGATGTGGGAACACGCTCTCAGAACCATGTGTGATGTGGCAGATGAAAGAGGGCAGGGCACTTCCTCCTTGAAAGAGGTATCAAAGAAACACCCTTCCACCAGAACTTCAGCCAAAGCCAAACCAACTGCTGCCCATTCCAAGCATCCTACAGATCTGGAGTTCCCCAAGAAGCGAAAGGAAAAAAGGAAGCACCTTGAACCTGAGAGTGCAGGAACGGTAAAAAAGCTGTGCAAAGTCAAAAAACATACCAGTCAGAACAGTGCTCTCCAACCATCCTGGAACATCTTAGACTTCCATCCAAATAGGTGTCTCCAGTACCATAATCAGTACCAAGATTCTCTCCAATCTGTGAGTCTCTGATTCAAAGATCTCCAACTCCAATCAGATTGGAACATAGCCTCCAACCCAAATGACCAGCTACAGCCTCATTGTCTGACAGTGAGTTCTGTAACTTGCTGGTTTAATCTCCAAAATCAACACTGCACCATCAAGAACTGCCTGAACCAATCCCACATACATCATGTCTGTTTTATGGTCCGTCATCCTCTCATCCTTCTACAGTGTCTACACACTGGTCCATTTCAGGCACTGAACCAACATCACAACCATTTGGGGGACAGCTGTATTAGTACCTCTTTCTGGGACACTATTTTCAGGGCTACCTCTGGGATCCTTCGACAGACTCATAGGTATGGTTGGCATCTAGCTACACCTCACAGTGCACCTCAATATTGGTCACCTCCAAGACCTCTTTCTTAGCCTGAGCAGGAACCAAGCACGCCCCAACCCTGTGAGCCTCAGGAAGACACTTGAAGGCTGCTTTCTCTGTCTTCTGGGTCCGCTTGTTCCTGGGGAGGAAAGCTATGGCAAATCTAGACATACTACTAAAAAGCAGAGACATCACCTTGCCAACAAATAGTCAAGGCTATGGTTTTCCCAGTTGCAATGTATGGCTGTGAAAGCTGGACCATAAGGAAGGCTGAGCGCCAAAGGATTGAGGCCTTTGAATTGTGGTGCTGGAGGAGACTTCTGCGAGTCCCTTGGATGGCAAGGCGATCAAACCGGTCAGTCCTAGAGGAGATCAACCCTGACTGCTCTTTAGAAGGCCAGATCCTGAGGATGAAGCTCAAATACTTTGGCCACCTAATGAGAAGGAAGGACTCACTGGAGAAGAGCCTGATGCTGGGAACAATAGATGGCAAAAGAAGAAGGGGACGACAGAGGATGAGGTGGCTGGATGGAGTCACTGAAGCAGTTGGTGTGAGCTTAAGTGGACTCCAGGGGATGGTGGAGGACAGGAAGGCCTGGAGGAATGTTGTCCAAGGGATATCACGATGGGTCAGACACAACTTTGCGACTAACAACAACATGGCCAGATTGAAGGTTACCTACATCAACAGGATGGTGCTCAAACCTAGTCACCTAAGAAATACCCTGAAGCGAATAAGGGGCAGTGCTGATGGCCAGCATGAAGCAGTCCCTTGGGTAATTCCATCTGCCTGTTTGGGGACCTTCTAAGCCGTTATACACCCACTTGGGAATCTGTCACATCTGACTGGTGGGTGCTTTCCATTGTATGTTACAGCTATAAAATCAAATGTGAGACCTTACCACCTCTCGAATTGGTCCGCATTACTCTTCCCTTTTCAACCCTAACAGAGGAAGTTGCTGGTTTACTAGCAAAAGGGTCAATCCATCTGGTAGACCAATCTGAGGCAAAGCACAGTTTCTATTTGCAGTATTTTACCATTCCTAAGAAAGATGGCGGCCAGCAATCAATATTAGATCTGTGAGGAGTAAACTGATTTATCCAGTCCATAATACCGCTACTGAAAAAACAGGATTGGTTTGCCTCTATTGATTTAAAGGATGCTTATTTCCACATAAGCATCTATCACAACTACAGTCATTTCCTGAGTTTCCAGATTGGCACCAAAGCCTATGAATGTAAAGTCCTACGGTTTGGTCTCTCCATGGCACCAAGAGTATTTACCAAATATATGGCTCCGGTGTGTGCTTTTTTACTATTACAAGGAATCCACCTTTGCCCATAGCTGGGCAATTGGCTTCTTGTAGCGGATACCAAAAAGAACATTATACAGGCCATTGAAACCACTTGCACTGTCCTTAATGGATTGGGACTATGCATTAACTTGGAAAAATCTATCCTCATCCCTGCACAGATTATCCTGTACATCAGAGCGGTTCTTCACCCAGTCTCGGCTCGAGGATACCTGCCCAGAGACCATATGGACAATCTCATAGCTGTACTTCGAATATCAGAACCAAACCGAAGGTGTCTGCTCAGAAGATTTAACAGCTCCTAGGGCACATGGCATCAACTGTTTCAATGGTCCAGTTAGCCGGATTGCCGATGTGGCCACTTCAGCTATGGTTCAACAAAACATGTTTGAGGCTTCAGCAAGGGGTGGCATAGAAATGTTATAATAATAATAATAAAATAATAATAATGTTGACCTGGATATAATTTGCTGAGGAAAACATTGGTTTTACCACTCCAAGTACGTATGAGTCTTGCTTGGTGGACATACAAGCTCAACCTCTCAGGAGGTTTACCATTCTGACTGAGGGAACCAATGGCCATGTTGACCACCAACGTATCCCTCATCAGTTGGGGTGCCCATTCCAACAATTACCAGATACAGGGTGTTTTGGACTGGCCAAGAGAAGAAGCTCCATATCAATCACCTGCAGCTCCTAGCAATCTATAAAGGTCTCCTGGCATACTAAAAACTCTTAATCAGTAGGCATGTACAAGTTGTCTCCGACAATACCGGTGCTATGTTCTACAGAAATAAATAAGGTGGAACAAAGTTGACATCTCTGACATGATTGACTCTCCGCATTTGGGAATGGTGCATCCAATATAGTATCACACTGGTCACTATTCACATGGCGAAAATGGACAATGTGACTCCAGATGCTTTGAGCCGGATGTAATACCAAACACAGAAGTGGGAGCTCAAGCCTTGGGTTTGTAAAGACATCTTCTCAACATGGGGCACTCCTTTGGTGGACCTATTTGTCACACAAATGAACACGGCTTGCAAAACCTAACCACTCCAGAGCCGGAATCAGACAGTTCTTGAAGGGAGGTGCCTTTCTTCTACATTTGACGGGAGCCTTGTTTTATGCCTCCCCACTGTTTCCTCTCATCATGGGGACTATAGCAAAGATGAGAACCGAACGGACACAGACCATCTTAATCATGTTCTGGTGGCCAAGGCAGCCTTTGTTCACATCTATTCTGAAGCTTTCCAACAGGACTTTCAAACATTTACCACTTATACCTGACCTGCTATCTCAGACTCAGGGAAAGATACTCCATCCCAATATCCAAACACTCTGACAGCCTGGTGGATATTGTAATGGTCTCGCCTACCATACCAACTCAACCTCCTGAACTCACCATTTCAACAGAACATTTACCTCGATCTGGTGCACCCATTTCCATTCCAATTGATTGCTTACCTTGGATCCATACCCCCGCCTCTGTTCCAAACCCCATCTCCATTCCAACTTCCACCTCCATTCCAGTGGATTCCCTACTTTGGAGCCATGTTTCCACTTCTTTTCTGACAGAACCAACCTGCCCACCTTAATCCTCAGCTTCTACACTCAAAAGGATTCAGCATGATACTGAATGACCAGAGCAGCAGATTTGAATCCTAGAATCCAGGATATTTTGACAGTGGCTCTACATCCCACAACCACATGGTCTTATGCAACAAAGTTGGCAAAATTCAGCAACTATGCAAGAATTCACTCATTTGATCCATCCCCTGCCACCATTCAGAGGATTCTCGAATTCCTACACTCCATCTATGAGGATTGAAGCCATAAAAATATATTTATCAGCAATCTCCATCTTCCATGAATCTGTGGAGGACACTCCATTTTTTCCATCCTCTTTCACAGCATTTTATAAAAGGTCTAAAGAACCTGCACCCTCCCATCTGACCCATCATTCTTGCCTGGAGTCTCTCCCTCATACTGTATGCATTAAGAAACCACCCTTTGATCCACTCGCAGCTATTGATTTAGGGCTTGTATTCTAGAAGGTTTCCTTCCTTGTGGCCAACACTTCAGCCCACCAAGCAAGTGAACTCTGTGCACTGCAAGTAGACCTACTTTATTTAATTTTCTGTAGAGAAGAAGTTGTTCTCTGTAGTGATCCTTTGTTCCTACCTAAAGTGTCTTCATCTTTTCACATCAATCAAGAAATTGTTCTTCCAGCCTTCTACCCGTATCTTTCTACAGACATTGAAAGAGCGTGCCATAACCTCAACATCCATTGTGCATTAACGTTCTGTTGGTACTGAACTGAGTTCTTCTGTCAGACAAAGCGGCTCTTTGTGAAGTACATTACTGTTCCAAGGGAGGTCTGGTTGGCCTCTAGCATTTGGCACACTGGATCGTCGAAACCATCAAATTAGCGTACCAACTGTCTGCCTTGGACTTGCCAGATAGACTGAAGGCTCACTCCACCAGCACTGTCTCAACATGGATGGCCCTCCATGCAAGACTTCCTCTAGATGCTCTCTGTAGAGCAGCAGTGTGAGCGTCACTGTCCACATTTGTTCAGTGCTATAGACTGGATTTCAGAGCAAGACAGGACTGCTCCTTTGGACGGGCTGAATTATCCTCCATTTCATATTAATGACTGAACATTGGGTCAAATTTTACTGTTTTAAATTAAGCAGTAATGAGTGGATGTTTATATAACAATGACTGAAAGGTGGGACATGAAATTCCTTATTCTTTGACTGTGCTGACTTATAAATTGGTGTGACGACACCTCTCACCACCATCTAAGTTATGCTTGCCAGTCACCCATATGTGTGACGCACAGAAAGGCTGGTTGCATCCCTGTAACTGTCATTCTTTGAGTGGTCAGCTGTGCGTTCACACAACCCACTCGCCGGCCCTATGTCAGTGCCAGTGGACCTATATAGACACATATCTATAATTATTTATTTATTGATATTATTTTATACATCTTCAATTATTTACCTCCATTTTGCATAACAATAGGTGGGGTAGGGACATTCCACTAGGGCAAATGTCGGTCCCAAGTGGGATTGAGAAAATGGCAGGAGCCCACCTATTTATATAGGGCTGGAGTGGGGGCAGGGCTCCTGCAGCAAGTTCTAGACAAGGCTAGAGAAATCTTTCCAAACGCACTGTGCAGGCACAGCACCCATATGTGTGGATTCACAGATGACCACTTGAAGAATGACACTTGCAGGTACGCAACCTGCCTTTATGCTTCCAAATGATTGCTTGCGTGATGGAACTTTCTCCTCTGCCTTGCACCTCCTGTGCTACCCCAAAACATGCTCCAGAGGGTCCCCCAGGGAAGTGACATACCTTTTTGTTTTTGTTCTTAATTCAGTTGTCTTAATTCTCACTTCCTGAATGTCTTGAACTGGAATGCAATTATTCTTTTGTTTTGGCACTTCTCTGAATTTTCATTGCTGTTTTCTGATTTTTTTAAAAATGTAAGTTAGGGGAGATTGCATACCAAACTGCATGTAAATTCTGGTGTAGACTTCTTTTTAAAAAACCCTGCAGACTGATTGAAAGCATTTCTGTTGGAAACAAACGCGAACTTTATACAAAGTGGAACTGACATTTGTGCATCTGACTACAACACAGAAAACACTAGAATGCATCCATTTGGCAATGTAAAGAGATGTTCCATAAAAAGTGATGGAACAAGGGACTGTGAAAAGGAATTTTCCATTCCTGTGGAAACAATATAGCAATTAGAGGCAATGTTAATTCAGGGTCATATCAGCTGAGTGTTAAATCTACCTTGCTGGAAATAATTAACATCTGTAAGTTCTATCAGTAGTGGTTTGTTTTCATAAGGAACACTTCTGCTTTTCTTTAGGCTTCCCACCCACTTAGCCCCCTTCCCCCCTCCCCATTGCTGTTTCTCAGGCTTGTGAGACTGTCTGGAACAGAAAAGGGTGAAGTGTATTAGGTCAGGTTCAGTGAAAACCATGTGCATTTGTGTCGCAAATGAAAGTGTTTTCCACTAAGGCAGAGCCATTTGAGATAGCTCAATAGACATAAAATAACCAGCAGGAATAAAGGAGTCTGACATAAATTTTGATTTATTTTATAAAGAATTGTATGGCACTTCTCAGCCCAAAAAAGACTTGCAAAGACTCACCTGTTACACCAGTTCACTGTCTACTAGTGTGTTGCTAGGCACAATTTAAAGTGCTGGTTATGAAATATGAAGTCCTGTGTGGCTTGGGGCCAGGCTATCTGAAGGAGTTTCTCCTTTTGGTCCCACCACCACTAGACACATGTTTGATGGAGAGGTAAGAGAGGGTCATCTCAGTGTCCACTTCAGCCCTGAATACCAATATCCTTGTCTTTCTGTTGGCAAGAAAACTTTTTTTCAAGCAGAATTTTTTCACATAACCTGGTCTAACCCTTGTTTAATGGTCTGGGTATCTTTTGCTATTTTGTGATTAATTGTGTTTTAATCTATTTGTTCGATACTATGTTTTAATGGGATTTTTAAGTTCTTGATTTTATTATTGACAGTTACCTTGAGATCTATTTTTGTAGAAAGGTGGGATATAAAGGGAAGCCTTACTCAAAACTGCTTTCCATTCTAAAACTATGTTCCTTCTGCTATAGTCTCCAAGTAGACGTTTTTATAAGACTGTCATATGTTTAATACATAATTATTCATTTCAGGATTTGGTGAATGAAAAACTGAAGACACAGCAAATGAATAATGATTTAGAAAAGCTCACACATGAACTTGAAAAGATAGGATTGAATAAGGAGCGCCTCTTGCATGATGAGCAGAGTAGTGATGACAGGTATAAGCCTACAAGGCCTCTTGAGAATAAATTGAGGGTATGTGGTTGAATGCATTTTGGACAGCTGGTGCAACACATACTTTTTCTGCACTCCAGGTTATCTATCCCTTACTAAAAGAATGACCTTCCTTCCTTGTGCAATGTTTTTCAGTGCTTATGAGAGACAAGCTTGCTAAAACTAGAGTTGTTAAAGTACAGGATTTATCATTTTCTGCCATAATAGATTCCTGAGCCTAACAGCAGAAAAAGAGATTGTTTCTTATCCTGTATCAGACAGAGAAACATTACTAGTCTCTCTCTAAGTGCTTTTTGCTCTTTAGCTTACTGCATCTGCCTGTATAAAACTGTCAGCACACAAACATGTTTTTTTGTTTACTTGGTGGTGTGTTTCATCCAGCTCTTTGTAAAATCCAGGAAAAGACATGTTAAGAAAAAAAGCTTCTGATCAGCCCTCTTGTCAGGGTACCACTCATTTGAAGAATGGCTTGTGGTGTAGTCTGTTATTAGCAGTGATTGGCATAATGGTGGTGGCAGATTCAGAACCTTCCATCTCAAGAGGTAGCCAGCTTCATGATTTTATGTATGTAGTCTCATTTTCAGTTGGGGGCAGTGCAAGCTTCTCAAAGTGATTATTAGGGCTATTACTTTGAAATTGCCTTGTTTTCTCTCCCCACCCCCAACCTTGAGGTTTACTTCCTGCTCAGATTTTCATTGTTAGCTCTGGCAAACTGCTTAAATAGTCTAGTTATTTGGTACCTTAAGAAAGTTGAGATGGTGCTACTGTAGGTTGAAATGAAACAATGGGGTTAGATAACTGATAGGATTAGAGAGCTATATGTTGAGAAGGGAGGCAGATAGTGTTGATGACAGGGTTGAATTAGCAAGGAGGTTTTTTTAGGTTTCCATAGAAGGACTAGTATGAGAAAGGAATGGTTTTAGGAGCCTACATTTTTTCAGAATGCAATCATATTGTTTAAAAAAAAAAAGCTTCCTAATGCTTCAGTGGGGTTCCGATGGAATAAGAAGATAGAGGGATTTGCTTGACTGCTTTTCTTAAATGTAACCAATCCTGTACCTATGGCATATAAATATTTATTATTAAGCTTAAGTACTTATATACAATATTAGATAATGGCTATGTTCATGCCTAACAAAGCAGAAGCTGACTTAATCCTGGTTTAATTTTGTGTGAACATTCATTTCTACTTTATGTAAAGAGCTAAAACAGATCAGGAATTAAAGTTTCGTGTGGCACCCAAATTCAAATTTGCTTTAGTTTGCTGCTTCTAAAAAAGCCAGGCTTATTAAGGCAGCACCAAACTACTGGTATAATCTGGGCTGGCAGCCTGGCTTGTTTGAGAGCAGCAAGCTTTTCATTTCTGGTTTGCTTATTCACTCTTGTGAAAGAAGGAAACAAGTGGGAGCAAATGAGCTACATGCACCAGCATATTGCTTATTGTAATTAACTAAGTTAAACTGCAATTCCAGATTTCACTGTATGAACATTCTCAGTTTTTAAGAAGACTTTGAGCGCAGTGAAATGTCCTCTGTGCTTGAGGCTTTTTTGTAGCTACAACGTGGAGTGAGGCAAGGTGGTAGAGATCTTCTCCACCCTACTCCTCACTCTATCTATTTCATCTAGATGTCATTTTTGGCCATCTAGATGATATTGCACAAGGAAGGAGGAAGCAGAGTCACTTTCTGGAATGGTTTAAGCCATGGGTCCTCAAACTAAGGCCCGGGGGCCAGATCTGGCCCACCATGCCCATTTATCCGGTCCGCCATGCCCAAATTTCCGGCCTGCCATGCCCATTTGGACCCACCACGCGCGTGCACGCGCCCACACACCACTGCCCACTTCACCCCGCGTGTGCTTTTTTTGCTCGGAGAAAACGAGCGGTTTGCTCGCTCGGAGAAAACGATTTCCAAGCGAGGAAGCCGCTGGCTCGTGTGCCCACTTCGCGGCGCGTGCCTGCCCACGCCTCACCTCGCCTTGCCTCGTTGCACACCTTGCCCCCACCTCAGTGCCCGCATGCGCCACCCCCACGCCAGCCCGCGTGCGCTGCCGGCACCGCCACCTTTCCGGCCCGTGCCCAGGACCGGCAGCTTTCAACTGGCCCCCTGGTGGAAAAGTTTGAGGACCCACGGTTTAAGCCATCAACCCCAGCCTCTTCGCCTCCTTGCTACAACCCTTGTCTTCTTCTCTGAGACCAATTTTCACCCCTTGAGAGGCAGGTGGCACATTTTCTTTGGGCAAGCTGTGAAGGAGGCAAAAGTTCCTCATTTAGCATCCCATCGCTGAGTGTGCAAGGCCTTGGAGCTGGGCCTCAAAATAAATCCTATGACTACCCACACCCCCCAGAGTATGTTGAACAACCATAGGATTGTGACCTTAGTGATCCATATAATATGCATCTTACTAAGAAGAGATAAGTATATGCTTGTGCAGTTCTATGTATGTCTTCTTTCTCCTTTGTGACATAATCCATGATTGCAATTTTTCTATTTGTTTACTTCTCTACCACTTGATTAGACTGATTTTCACAAAGTAGTAGAAATCTTGAGAAAATGACTTGGATAATTCCTTTTCTTTAGACTGTGATCTCCATAATTTGATTTTAAAAATTAGGTTAAAAGGGTACTTAAAAATATTCTTTGTACAATGTCAGGCTACTTTCTTTTTCGTATTTCACTTTACTTTGACATTATTATGACAGGAGAATGTGGGAGGACAAGTTGCCTTCTGACTCTGATGGCTTGATTCTTAGAATAGGTGTTGTTGTTATAACTCTATCCTCTAAATTTTGTTATGGCTGGGTCATAACTGTCTATTTTTCCACAAGTTTGTATCTGCACGGATGCACATTCGATCTGTGTGATGACCTTCTGTCATCCTCCCTAATGATTCATCTGAGTGCCATCTAGAGCATAGAGAAGAGTAGTATGTAGCATTTCCATTAATGTGATCCAAACATGTCATGCTTCCTTGGCACTATGCTATGCCTCTTTGAATATGTACAAAAAATTCCCACAGTCAGACATTCAGAAGGCCTATGGAAAAATTAGGTACAGATATTAACAGTTTGAAAAACTGAGCTTCTGTAGAATCATCCTTCACTATGTCTCAGAAAATAAACTGGAAATGGGTATGTTTGTTGCACCAAATAAAGAAAGTACCAGTTCTGAAATAGCAACTGTGTTAGATGTTGGGTTCACACATTGCAACCATATACATGAAATGCTCACATATCTGCATGATAGTTTATTCCTTTTCTTTTCAATTGCTATGTTTTGAACAAGCAAGAGATGGTAAGTGCAGGGTTGCTCTCTACAGGTTCTTTTTTTAATAAAGGATTGTAATCAAGCCATTTTGGAATGCAGCCAAAATATTAAGATTGCTCACTAGCAAGTCATTGTGTTTACATCCTGGATTGTGTATGTGCTAGTAAAATTATATTCATTTCCAGTTCTGTCAAGGAGCACAGACAAGAGCAGCAGTGACATATTATAGTTTTGTCCCCAGCTGTCACAGATAATATAAATTTCTTCAAATACATAAATTTGATGGAAAGGAGTCCAATAATATAAATGTTGGGAGTTCGATAATATAAATGTATTAGTTAAAAAGATGAGGGCTCCAGTAATTTGAACATGTTCCTACCAAGAAGGGCACTTTACTTCTTTCCAGATGAATTTAATAGATTAGGTTTTGCACCAAACATCAGGAAATGAAAATAACAGAGTATGGAATGAATTGTGTCACGCAATGAGAGTGATCAAAAAGTCACCATCTTTCAAATGTTACTAAGGTGTAAGGTAATCTGTGTATTACCTATTTGCTATTAGTCTTGTTTTGTCTTGATAATGAAAACTCTGCAATTATTTCATTATATAGCAAGTACAAACTGTTGGAGTCAAGGTTAGAGTCCACACTCAAGAAATCACTTGAAATAAAAGAAGAAAAAATAGCTGCTTTGGAAGCTCGATTAGAAGAATCAACAAATTTAAACCAACAGCTGCGCCAGGAGCTTAAAACAGTAAGGGAAAGCATGTTACTGTCTGTATCTTGGGTCATAAAATCTAAATGCAGTTCCTAGTTGGTGTTGTTACCAATTGATGTAAGCAAGGTACTCAGCATTGAAGATTCAAAATATGTTTACTGCTGCACAAAAGTTAAGTAAATGAGCTGGCACTTGTGGGTTGCACAAGTTTTCACCACTTTTCCTATGACTTGCCTAAATAAGCCATGGTGTAACCCCCTGCCTCCAGAAGTAACATATTGCAAGTCCTACCTCTTCTTCTGCCACATAATCTCAGATCAAATATACAGAAGCATCAAGCATGGTTGGGTTAGAAAAATACCCCAAACAGTGAATATCCCCAAGAGCACCATTAAAATCCATTATTACAAAAAAGAAAGAATGGCTAAGGAAGGCATTAGTCAGAGAAGCAGCCGGGCAGATCAAGATAACTCTGTAGTCACTGGAAAGATTGCAGCTGAGATGGGGGAAACTGTCTTTGGGAAGCCCAGATGCTTCACAAAGCTGAATTTTATGGAAGAGTGACGAAAGCAAGCAAGCAAGCAAGCTGTTGAGGAAACAAACCAAATTAAAGCCTAATTGAAGTTTGCAAAAAGTCATGTGGGAGGGAAAGTCATGTGAGAGGCATGAGTCTCTGGTCTGATAAATCCAACATTGAACTTTTGGGGCCTTGCTGCAAAATGCTGTGTGTGGCATAAAGCTAACAGTGCTCACTGCCCTGAGGCATTGTGCCTGCAGTAACACGTGGTGGTGGCGGCATGTCATGGGAATGCTCTGAAACTAATCAGGATGTGGGGAGGGGGCGGGTGAATGAAGCCAGAATCAGGGCAGTTCTAGAGGAAAACTGGCAAGGGGCCTGAGACTGGGGCAGAGGCTCACCTTCCAGCAGGAGAATGAACCTAAGCACACTGCCTAAGTAACACTGCAGTGATTTAGGAGCAAAAACCTGAATGTCTTAGAATGAATGGCCTGGTCAAACCCAGGGCTTGATTGAGAAACTCATGTTGGAGTTTACCAGCAGCCTCCAACCAGCCTGACAAAGCTGGAGCAGTATTGACAGGAGGAATGAGCTAATGTGGCAGGATCTAGTTGTGCACATCTGATAGAGGCTGACCAAGAAGACTGGCAGCTGTAATTGCTGCCAAAGGTGGTGCTTCTAAGACTTCACTCAGCAGTGAATACTGAGACAGCCAACAAGTGCCGGATCGTTATTGTTTACGTAATGTTTTTGCTACCATAAAAATAATTTGCACTTTACAAAGCTTATTATATTTATATCCTGCTTTTTTCCTGAAAGGAATTATGCAATTCTCCTCTCAGTCTTCTCACAACAGACCTGTGAGGTAGGTTGGGCTGAGAGTTTGTGACCAGCAAAAGTCACCCAGTTAGTTCTATGGCTAAGTGGGGGGCTAGAACTCAGATATCCTGAGCCCCAGCCCAGCTCTATAACCACAGGCTCCCCAGTGTTGAGTATTTCTATTCCAGGTTGTAATACAACAAAATTAGGAAAAATCAAAGCAGGTGGGTGAATGCTTCTACAAGGCACTGTATGAGTTTTGTTGGCTTTGAAAATCAAAATATTTGAAAAATAATTTTGTTCATAGTAAAGAAAGAAGGTTAAAATTATTACTAAAATTATTATGAAATATTAATGATGCAGTTTCATGTGAGTCTCCAAAGAATATTGGTTTAAAAGTAATTGATTTCCATTTTCCTTAGAAAAAAACATGCTATCATTCTGGTTTAGCAGAGCTTATACTGTTTTGCAAGCTATTCAGCTCCTGTGGCCCTTGCTTTATATGAATTCAGCATCACGTAAAGCAGACCATGCAGCAATTACATTTAGGTTGTTAACTCACCATTACAGTTGTAGCTGTCCATAGTGAAGAGAAAATAATGCAGAAGTATTTACGTCTATATTCACACACAGATAGTGTTGAATCTGCTGAACCACCATGCAAATAAGCTACCAGCAGATAATCAGGCATGCTGTGGTTTGTTCCCCAGCCCTTCTGCTTTGGTCTTCCTGCCAGCTCCAGTGTATATTTCTGGCACTTTTGCAGTGGTACTCCTAATTTCCTTTGCTCCTGTATCAGTTCCCTTTTTGCAAATGACCTGCTGGGTCTCTCTCTTCCAAGGCAAACATCTGCCACACCAGCATCAGATTGCCAAATAGAATCAATTTTCCAAGCAACCATGAACACAGGAATGTGCTCACCCGTTCTTTGGTAATTACTATTATTTGAGGGGGAATTGCCATTGCATAAGTGCATCCTTGGATTCTCCTTTCTAGTATTAACCCCAGCACACTGATATTCATCCTTTGTTAATGACCTTTGTCCACTTTTGGGGCTTGCTTTGCTAGTGAACTTTTTAAAAAGATATTATTATTAGAGCCTGTTTCTCATTACAAAGAAAGAAAAAACTCACCCACAGAGTACCTTGCCTTCTCAAATTGCTTTACTCTCTCTTCCCACCACTCCCCCGCATCAGGATCTCAAAAAGAAAACTTCTGTGGCCCATATGAACGCAAAATAGCTTTGCCAGCTTTTTCTGTTTTACAAATTTTCAGGGATTTTTTGCTGTTGCGAAAAAGCACAAGTCTGCCTCTCCAGTATTAGCCAAGCAAGTAAACCTCTCTTCTGCTTTGGCACTGCCATTGCTAGCTAGCCAATACCCTTTTTTAAAGGATGCTTGGTGTTATGCTAAAGTAAGCTTTCATTTAGCCTGAAGTGCCTGATCCTGCCTAATCGTGGAAGCTAAGCAGGGTCAGGCCTGGGCAGAAGTGGGATGGGTGACTTGAGTGTATGATTCTATGAATATTGCTGTCAACTGCCTAGAGAGCTTTGGCTATGGGCAGTATAAAAATGTAATAATAATAATAATAAAATAATAAAAATAAGCTTACCTGCTTCCAAGGTGAGAACACCCACTCTTAATGCACCTTCTCTCCTCCAGCTGCTTTCCGCTACCTCACCCTTTTCTGCTTGTCACTTCCCTCCATTGCGAGCTGTCACATCTTGATATAGGCTACAGAGCAGTGAAGAGGATCACTAAACATACACAACTGTCATGGCATAGCAGTATCTAAGAGAGAGGAAATTGTATACATCTGAAGCAGAGCAGTGAACAGAGAAGGGAAATTGCACAAATGTAAAAGCGGTTGTCATTTGTTCCTGTGCACTTGAGCATGACTGACTTTTTCAGTTCTGAGTGCTTTTGAGACACACTGTGGTATCCTTCATGATTTCTAGGGGGATGGGGTAGAAGATGCTGAGAAGGGATGAGGGAGGATGTTGGCAGCATATATTGGATTTTTGCTGCTCTGGCCAAGTGACTTTCTAGCCATTTCAATAAAATCACCCTGCAAGTGAATTCACAAATCACAGCAAGCTCTTATGGGTATCAACAACCTTCAAACAAGCAAGCGTTTTCTCAAGGTGGCTTGCTTGTGGAAAAAAAATAAGAAATCATACCAGGTTCATACGATACGACATCCCACTCATGGTGGATTGTTCTGTCGTGAAAACCCAAGTCACACTCTCTGGACAAAAGAGGACTGTAGAGATGTCATTGAGTACAATGGTGGTCAGCAAGGTATTTGTTCTCCAAGATGTAATGATGCCATGCGATTAGACCTCTTCTTCCAATAGTTCCCTTGGTTATGTTTCGCATAGATATCAAGCTGAATTTTAACCAGAAAACAAACAGGCTAAAAACATCAAATGTCCTAAATATTGTGACACCAGCAAATGGTAATGGCATTAATTTTTGCATCATACTATTCTCATTATTTTCCTTAGTTTGAGTATTGGTTGTTAAAATTCAGGAAGAAACTAAACTAGTGTAAAATGTGTACTAAAAACCTTCCGGGGTGTAAGACTATTCTTCATGGCTGGTTGACAGCACAGTCCTATGTGTCTAGCAGAATTAAATGCCATTGAGTTCAATGGGGATTAATCCTAGGTAAGTATTGAATTGAGTCATGAAGTATGTCAATATTAAATCTTTATGATAAATAATGAATTAACAGTGCAATTCTATTCATACTTCTTCTGAAGTAAATCCTATTATATTCAGTGGAGCTTACTCCCTATTTTATGTTCAGGACTACAAGGCTAAAATTAGCTAGAATTGTGTTTTACATATCTGAAATTGAATTAATTGATCATTAGGTGAAAAAGAATTATGAAGCCCTTAAGCAAAGACAAGAGGAGGAGAAAATGCTACAGAATTGTTCTTCAAGAAGTGGTGAAGAAACTCAGCCTGTCAATAAATGGGAGAGAGAGAGTCAGGAAACTACAAAAGAACTTCTGAAGGTTAAAGATAGATTAATTGAAGTTGAGAGAAACGTGAGTAATACTTGAGAATAATTGAACAGCTTTTACTCAAATTGTCAAGCTGCACTATATATATTCAGTTACATTCTGGTGCATCAAATATTATGCATAATATATTTTTAGTATTTAATGAATCTGTAATCCTGATGGGCTGAGAATATAATATTTCTAAAAATACCTATTTTCTTTGGAAAGTATATTGCCAGTTTATCTGGAAATTAGTTCTACTAAAAAGAACTTGCCATTGTAATTACATTATGTATATTACCTTTGGTATTCTTGTAATCAGGGAATACTGTATGAGAGGTTGGCTGCTTTTAGGCTTTGGAGCAGTAATAAAGAGCTGTTACACGACATATGAATAACTGGTGCGAGAAATCTTGCAAAATTCATTTTGGGAGTTGCCATTTGTTTTGCATTCTGGACCATAATTTTTGCATCTTGCAGACTTTCTTTTCACATGTGCTTCTGAAAGTTGTGGCAACCAGGAGTTTCCAATGGTGGCATACTGCCAGTAAGAGGGAACTGCTGCCAGAACACATTCCTTTCTGCACAAACCCCAAGTCTTTTCCAGAGAGTTGGGAGGCTCATTGGAGCAAATGTGTGGGGCATGGGGGTTGCTTGAAGGAGATGGGGAGGATGGGGAAGTCCCATCATGAAAGTTATATGTCCATCCTGTAAGAGATGGATCCAATCCGTGATGCCAATTCATAAAAGAAGTTTCTGGATGCTTCATGCATATGAATTGCATTTCCATCACTGTGAGCACAGCTGGTCTCCATATCTGGCTAAATTTGTTGCAGAAGAGGTTTGCGTGTATAAAACACATTTTATAACTCTGTGCAAGGGGGAGATATTTTTTGGTGTGCCTTCCTCAAATAGGCTATTCTGTAAGCTGCTGTCATTCATAGTGTTCATTTTCTGTTCTTTTTAGATAATATACTGCAAAATCTAATAGGATCTGTGTAGCTACCTTAATGCTTTTAGCTTTAATGTTGTCTGGTTTTTAAATAAGTTTCTGATAGAGAAATTTCAAAAATGTGTTGGGATCAAGTATAAAGCCCTAAAAGTCGGTCTTAAACTTTTTATTTATCCATTAGGTTCTGGAGACTACCCAGTCATAGCCCAATTTAACCTACCTACCATCCTCCCTTAGTGTTTTTCCCTGCTCCTTAACAAAAAAACTCCTTCTGAAACTTGCTTGCATACAGTTAGTAAATTCAAGATAGTCCTTGCCAAGTGCTCTTTCAGCAGGGCTGGTAGAATGTTCCTGTTCCTTTCTCATACATTTCTGCTGCAGCTGGATGGAATGACTCCTGCTGGGACAGTTCAGGAAGGACCCTGAAGAAAGTGCATAGCTTAAAAAGTTGTTGTCGTTCAGTCACAAAGCCATGCCGGATTTCTCACAACCCCATAGACCACAGCACACCAGGCCCTCCTGTCCTCCACTCTTTCCCGAAGTCCACCCAATTTAATGTTCATTGCATAGTGACACTAAGCATCAGGGGCTTTTCCAACGAGTCCTTCCTTCTCGTTATGTGGCCAAAGTATTTGAGCTTCAGCATCAGCATGTGCCCTTCTAAAGAGCAGTCAGGGTTGATTTCCTTTAGGATTGACTGATTTGACCTCTTTGCAGTTCAAGGGACTCTCCGTAGTCTTCACCACAATTCAAAAGCGTCAGTTCTTTGGCAGTCAGCCTTAAAATGTTATCTTGGCTTTAATCTTTTGCCAGTCACAAACATTCAGTCCATTCACACATCACACTAACTTACCTTGGCTATAATTCAATATACCTGTCCACCTCTCTGCCAAAATATTTTTTAAAAATCTTTTTATCTTTTCCAATTTTCACTTGAACAGTTGAGTTTTATATTTGACAGCTGTAAAATAGGGTGGCTCACGCCTTTGCATGTCCTCGGTACGCAACTAACAAGTGCAGATGTGAGGGCATTCCTGGAAACATGAGCCCCCAAAGCCCCCTGAAGATCTTGCTGTGAAGAGGTGAATAACACACTATCTGCTTTTCATGAACTAAGATCACTTGTGCCTTTGAAGGCTGTCAGATGCAACTAAAAAAAGAAATAAACTTACTTATGCTTATTCATTCCTTCTGTGAGGCAGTACTCAGGATAGGTACCTGCTGGACTTCACCAGCAGGCTCTCTGCAAATTGCCACCCAAGGCTTCCCATTCCCACATCTGTGCAAGTGCAGGCAAAAAATAAATTTTCACAAATACTTGCAAAAAATCAATGGGAAAGTAAAAGAAATGCTTAGCAATCATGGGCATCTCCTCCAAGGTGGCTCTGGAGCACTTTGAAAGGACTGGCTTTATCTGTCAAAATGAGGATGGCTTTAGCAATCTGAAATCACTGACCAGAGGATAAAGCGTCAGTGAGCCCAGAACAGTTTTGTGACTCCAGCCGGGATAGGGTAGGAGCCTGTGCCATCTGCTCTCAGGTGCTGTTTGAGCATTTTGGGAGCAACTGGTACTGGCAGTTGCCCAGAAGTTACTTGGCAAGAGCAACAACGTTTTTGTAATTGTTTTTTTGCCAGTTTCCCGTACTTACAACAAGGACAGTTGCCCAGGTTCAGAGAACACAGCAGCCATTGTGGGTGCAACAGCCAATGGGTTTTCAACTAGCTTGTTGTCCACAAGGAAATTGGTCTGGGTTCACATGACATGACATGACAGCTTAGCATGATAGTGAGCGTCATTAGAACAAGTTTTCCTTTCTGCTTGGAGCACTCTGCTGCTCCAGTGTGGGGCTAAAGCTCAATACAAATTAAGCCTTCATGGTCAGTCCGTAACGTGTGTAGTATAGATGATTAAGTGATACAAGCCTTCATACCTTTTCTTTGTGAGTTACTCTCAATTTTGGCATCCTCCCCCAAATACTGCCATCAAAACAAATAGTTTAACTTAGGACTTATGCAGGTAGTCTTGTCTTGTGTTATTTTATTTAAATGTAAGATTTGGGTTTTGCAGACTTTGAAATGTGTTTAGCATACAGTAGAACCCTGACTATAATCAATGTGTTGATGATTTAAATGCTGCAGATAATATATATGTGTATGTATTTATTATATATTTTTGTTTATTTGTAAAGAATGCAACTCTGCAGGCAGAGAAGCAAGCCCTGAAAACCCAACTAAAGCAACTTGAGACACAGAACAATAACTTGCAAGCTCAGATTTTGGCACTTCAGAGACAGACTGTTTCCTTACAGGAGCAAAATACAACCCTACAAACTCAGAATGCCAAGCTTCAGGTTCTCTTTTCATGAACATATATTTATCTCTCAATCCGTAGCATACAATTTGCAAGTGAAAGCCTTGCTGTTAACCACATAGGTGTGGCAGTTTTATTTGTTTGATTCTCATTCTCATTCATTCTCTCTCTCTCTCTGTGTGATGATGATGATGAAGTAGCTTCCAGGTGAACAAAGTACCATTATCTCCAGCCTCTTGTGAACCTGCCTATCCCCAGATTGCCATTACTTCCAAGAATAAGGAAATCATGCCTTTTAGTACTTTCCACTCACTTTGAATTTATTGTCCACCTTATTTTTTCAATTTCTTGGAAATAACATGCCCATGCTGTTCCTGTGTTTCCCTATTATGTAGTGTAAACAGGAGCGTTCATATTATTCTACACCCTATCGGCTCTCTTCAGGCCAGAGAAATGCCAGCTAATTTCTATCCTCAATTAGTTCTTGGTAGGAATAAAATGTTAATACTCTCTGTTTCTGTTATCTTTAGGAGGCTTTAAAAGCAACCAGAAACCATATAGGTACTCTGTCACTGAAGCCCCATTGTGGGATTCATTGAGGATGAAAAGGGAATCTACATTTAGAAATTATGTGAAGTCTTGACAATGTTTGAGAAAGAAAATTATTCTTTGTGTTTAACTTCAGTGGGTCTGATCTAATCCTCACTTTATTCCTGGGAAGTATCCAGGTAGATGGCATAAGAAGATGCTTTCTACCAGATCAGACTGTTAGTCCATCTACCATAGCACTGAGTACCCTGATGAAAAATTGCTTTTCTGAGTCTCTGACAGAGATCTTTTGCATTGGCTGCCACCTCATCCTTTTGCTGGGGACTGAGCTTGAAACGTCCTGTGTGGAAAATATGTGTTCTGAGTGCGAACTGGGAATACACTTGTATTGATCCTAATTTTTAAGGAGGCAGAAGACACTGTTCTGCTTGAGACACAGAGGAGTGGATGTTATGTTGGGAAGAAGTCTTCCCCAGTCTTCTGATGTTTTGGATTGCAATTTTCATAATCTCTGACAGTTAGCTTTGTTGACTGGGACTGAAACATATGAAGGGTGCACAGTTAAGAAAAGCTTCTCTATGTGAACCAATGGTCTAATCTGTATAAGGCTTAATTGGATTGTGTAGATAAAAATGACTTTGGATTATGGATAACAATGTCATTGTTGATCATTTTAGGTGGAAAACTCTGCTATCAATTCACAAAGTACATCTCTTATGAATCAGAATGCACAGCTGCTGATTCAGCAGTCTGCCTTAGAAAATGAAAATGAATCCATAATCAAGGAACGGGAAGATCTGAGAACATTATATGATTCGCTAATTAAAGATCATGAAAAACTGGAGCAGCTTCATGAACGACAAGCTGCTGAATACGAATCTCTGATTTCCAAGCACGGAAACCTTAAGTCTGCGCACAAGAATCTTGAGGTGGAACATAAGGACCTGGAAGACAGGTGATTACAGTGTGTTCAGTCTGATGTCTAAATTTGAAAATGCATCAAATACAATTAGTTTATATGGAATTCTGAAAGTAAAACCATTTTAACATGCTATCTTTTACATCATTTAAATTTTATCCTCAGTGGAAGAAAAATCTGTATTCTTAAATCATGTTTAATAAATGTCTAATCTTTTCTGTAATATCTTCACAGATACAATCAATTGCTCAAACAAAAAGTGCAATTAGAAGAATTGGAAAAAATTGTCAAAACAGAACAAGAAAAGATGTTGCAGCAAAACAAAAAGCATGAAACTGTAGCAGCAGAATACAAAAAGCTTTGTGAGGACAATGATAGGTAAGAAAGCAAAACAGACAAATGATTCTGTGAATGTAAATGTATTATTAAATCTTATTTATTTATTTATTCACATATTTATAGGCCATATATAACTGCCGAGGCCTTCCTAGGCAGCTAAATCTTCTAGTTATAGTATGCATTGTGAAGGTTGAGACTGACCTGATTGCAGTTGATATAATTGGGATGCCCAACTAAGCTAATAATAACAGATTTATGATCACAAAATGTGTAATACCAAAGTGGGAGCAGTAGCCTCAACTGAGGAGCAGGTGATCCAGATGGATCTGGACAGGCTGTAGAAGTGAACCCGGGGGGGGGGGGTGGAGCAACAGGGTGGCATTCACTGTGGATAAGTGCAAGGTCTTGCACTTGGGACACAGGCATAGGTGTCACAGGTAGACGATGGGGGACAATTGACTGGAGAGCAGCAGTTGTGAAGGGGATCTCAGGGTACTTGTCGACAGCAGGTTGAACATGAGCCAGCAATGTGACGTGCACTTAAAAAAGCAAACACCACCCTTGGATGTATAGCCAGAAGTGTGGCTTCCAGATCTGTGGATGTGTTGATACCACTCTACATGACTCTGGTGCGCCCACAACTGGAGTACTGTGTCCAGTTCTGGGCTTCATATTATAGGAGAGACATAGCTAGGTTAGAATCAGTTTGGTGCAGGGTCACAAGAATGGTAGCTGGGTGAGAGGGATGACATATGAGGACAGATTGAGGGAATTGGGTCTTTTCAGCCTGGAGGAGACTCCAAGAGAAGTCTCCTTTTAGCCACTTATGGGTATGTGAGGAGATGTCAAGTGGAGGAGGGTTATGACCTGTTCTTCCATTCAGTGGAGAGCAGGATGTGTTCCAAGGGGGCAAAGCTCAAGGAACCAGGCTTCAGGCTGGATGTCAGGAAGTACTTCCTGAGTGTTAAGACTCCTAGGATATGGAATGAGCTTTCAAGGGAGGTGATTGAGACCCCATCAGTGAGGATGTTCAAGGAAAGATTGGACAACCACATGTTGGGAATTACATGAGCAGAACTGGCTGGAGCTGGGGGTTAGACTAGATGGCCCAGGAGACCCCTTCTGACTCTCTTTTTTTCTATGTTTCTAGTCATGAATTTTTTTTTCTTGAATAAGAATGTAAATGTTTCATTAGTCAAATAGGAATATGCAAACACTGTCATTAATAAATTTACATCATGTAATGAAGTCAAATTCTAAATTGTTTCACTATAATTCTATGAAAAACTAATTTTAATGTTACTTTTTTATCATTTTTTATTACAGACTAAATCATATATACACCCAACTTTTAAAAGACAATGAAGTTCTCCAAGTGGATCATAAGAACTTGAAAACACTACTAAATAATTCTAAACTAGAACAAACACGATTGGAAGCTGAATTTTCAAAACTGAAAGAACAGTATCAGCAGCTGGATATCACATATACAAAACTGAATAATCAGTGTGAGGTAAGTAATTGGTTACTCCAGTTATGTTTTATTGTAGCTTTCTCAGTTCACAGGTTTGAAATCTGAGACTTCGTGTCTCCCACTGACTGTCATTAGAAACTATAAACTGGTTCAAGTTTTTTCTTTGTCAAAATTGTATAGGTGGTTTGCAAGCGTAGTAGCTCTTGAGGGGATTTTGCCTGCCAAGTATCAGAAAAATAGGTGGAGGATTTTTATTTGTTTATTTATTTAGAACTTTGCTAGACTGTCCCATTACTGAAGTTTCGGGACGGTTTAACAATACAAAATGTAGAAAATTTTAAAATACAGCATCCTAAAATTCAACTAATGATAAAACTCTACTTAAAACAGTCAGGTCTTAAAACATTGGGAAAATAAAAAGGTTTTGGCCTGACACCAAAAAGAATAAAGTGATGGCACCAGGTGAACCTCTCTGGGGATCGAATTCCACAATTGAGGTGCCACCACAGAGAAGGCCAGGTAGTCACCCTCCTAATCTCCTTCAGGGAGGGCACCCAGAGAAAGGAGTCTGCCCCAGATCTTAAGGGGTGGGCAGGCACATATGGAAGGAGACGCTCCTTAGGGAAACCAGGCCCTAAACCGTTTAGGGCTTTATAGATCATCACCAGCACCTTAAATTGGGCCCAGGCTTCAACTGGAAGCCAGTGTAGGTGGAAAAGGGCCGGCGTTATATGTTCATAAGTGCTGGTCCCTGTTAACAACCTGGCGGCTCTATTCTGGACCAGTTGAAGTATCCGGATCATCTTCAAGGGCAGCCGCATGTAGAGTGTGTTACAGTAGTCCAATCAGGAAGTTACCTGGGCATGGGTCACTGTTACCAGGCACTGCCCATCCAGATAGGGACGCAGTTGATGGATCATCCAATGCTGAAGGAAAGTGCTCCTTGCCACTGCCACCACCTGGGATTCAAGGGGCAGCTCTGGATCGAGGAGCACTCCCAAAATGCACACCTGTCCTTTAGGGGGAGTGCAACCCCATCCAGAAGAGGGTTAGAAGCACCTACCCAGGAGGCTAAACGTACATTTTGTGATGTGTGCATGTATATTTTCATTCTTTAAAATTCAAATTGCTAATTACATTTTATTTCTTAGTAGAATTGCATGGAATTTGCAGAGGAACTTACCAGTTGTGAGAGGAGAATCCATGGACTTCCTCTTGTGCTCATCCCAGTCCTACAAAATGAGCTGAGACAAGAGGAAGTTCACCAACACTTGACGTCCCCCAGTTGCAAAGTGGTAGCAGGATGCGGAAGAGGCATACTTTGAGTAGGCCCACCAAGCTCCATTCCCAGTGAGCAACCTTCATCCCTGCCTGCTGCTGCCAGCAGAGGTGGATGATGAAGAGGAGCTCTGTGAACAGGCATGCCAGGCCCCATTACCAGCAGTTTTTTCCCTACCTGGTGCTGTCAGGCCTCTGGGAGCACTTGCCAGGAAAGCAGACCGGCATCTGACAAGTCAAGCTCAAGGAATCCGATGGATTCCCACCTCCAACTGGATTCTTCACATCTCCAGATCAGACTTGCTAAGTTTGTGAAGCAAAGGTGATTTGTGCTAGAGCAGCATTTATATTTTGAGGGTTTGCAAATATAATGTACTTAATATCCCTATGTTCTTTGTGCACTGTTGTTCTCAAAATGACAGAGCTGACCCTAAGTATGAAACCTGCAAAGTTTGTGGTGCTTGAAACCAGCTTAAGGGTTTTTCATAGAGAAGTGGGGTTCTGGCATTGAAAGAATGGGCCTTGTCATAATGCCATTCTTGGCTCATTTCTTCTCATGTCTACTCACCATCCTGCCATACTATCACCTACACACTATAGTTCCACTGCCATTCCAGCTTCATAACAAGCTTTACTCCTTGTGTAGTCATGGGAGCCAGAGCAGCATAGGAATCCTCACAAAGGTAGTGGCAGATGGTTTACTAATATCAGTGCTTTATTTGAGCCAGGAACTGTTTGAAGGCAATGTAGAAAACATTTGTGAGCACTACCCAGTGATAGAAGTGCCATTGAGGTGGTAGTCGGCCGGTACCAATAGAGGAAGGCAGGCAGGTGCTGGTAGTGAAGGAAGCTGGCAGTCACAATGACAAGACTATGCTGAGCTAAGTACTACCCTTGCCAAGTGTGCATAGTTGCCCTCATGGTGAGCAGGAGCCCAGCATTTAGGCAGCAAAGGGTGATGCAGATTTTCTGTCAGTGATGTAGATTTTCTGGAAATACTCACTTGAAAAATTATCCCGTAAGAATTAGGGTAACTTGTATCAGGTCATTTGCACCAGAAAAGTTTCTGATGCCCTAACATGGTAGCATTTGTATTTAGTAAACAACAAGCCTAAGCAGTGTTCTGCCCTTTTTTTGGTCCCAGTAATCTCCCAACCTTCATCAGCAAGGTTGGGGAAGGCTGCAGTAAATAATTTTAGGAACCCAATATGCATAACTTAATGAAAATCACCCATCTGTTTCTCTTTCACTGAAGTAACTGAGCTACCTTCAGTTTCACTGTTAACTGCTTATTAGTTTAATTTCAAACTCAGACATATGTATATTTCAATGTAATAAGTATTGTTTTTTACATACTTGCTAGGTATCTGTTACCTGAAAAGTATTAATTACAACTTTGAAACTACCAAACTAGCTTAATATTTTATTTGCAATTGGCATCTATTAATTGTTATTAATGTACTGAGTCAATCAATCACTGCTATCTGCTCAGGCTAGCAGGCTGTCTGCCCCAAGACAACAGCTAAGTTAGGAGACAGGGAGAGAGGCAGGCAGTGGTGGTGGCTGGCTGGCTGGCTGGCTGGCTGGCAGGCAGTGTGAAGAGCCAGGTGGTAGAGGAGGCTGGAACACCATTGCCAGGTATGTTCAGTCCCTTGATAACAAGCAGAACCATTGTGCTAACTGACAAAAGGTGAGCTATTTGCTCTGAATAGTAGCTGCACTGAGAGAACAGCTAGGTTTATTCATTTAATTTTTTGCCTGCCCCATTTGGTATAAGGCTCCCTGGGCAGGTAGATACATGCAACCAATAAAACCATATAAAAGACCATCTAATAATAAAATCACAATATTAAACTCTAATCATAGGAGAGTTAAAAGCACAACAATGTCACAAGTAACAGGAACCATTATTATGTAAAAGGCAAAACCACACTCGCAAAACAACTAAAACCAATCTAACAGTTAAAATACTGGGAAAAGAAAAAAGAAAAGAATATAAGAATGGCACCAGGTGAACCTCTCGGGGGAGCTCATTCCAAAGTGGTATTTATATTTATAAACCACTGCCATAGCCCTCCAGAACAAATACATAATAAGAAATAAACCAGCTTTATTGTATAACATTCATACAATAAAATACAGTAAATGCTCCAACAGATAACTACAGCAGTCAATAAAATTGCCTCAAGCACAGCAGTGATATAAAAAAATTACTAAGAATATAAAATATTTATTCAGCAGTTCATATTCACCTGACATTTTAAGAATTTATTTGCCTGGTGCCAGAAAGATAACAGTGAGGGCACCTGGCCTACTTCTTTAGGGAACATATCCATAGATGGGGTGCAACCACCAAAAAGGCCCCTCTCTTCTTTGCCACACTCCTCATTTCTTTATGGGGCAGTTCCCTGAGAAGAACCTCTGTAGTAGACCTTAGTGGTCAGGTAGGAATATATTGGTGTAGGCATTCCTTCAGGTATTCTGGTCCCAAGCCATTTAAGGCTTTATATGTCAAAACAAGCACTTTAAATTGGGCCCAGGCCTCAACTGGTGGCCAATGTAATTGATAAAGAATTGATGCAATGTGGATACATGAATCAGTCCTTGTTAACAAACGCACAATCCTATTCTGAACCAGTTGAAGCTAGTTGGACTGCCACAGGAGGGAAAGGCAGTTGGTAGAATTTTGCTGGATGGCAGAACAAGGAAGCCAGCAACGACCTTGTGAAGCAGACGAAGTGCCACTGATAGCCAAAAGAAGCACCATGCTAAATGGTAGATGTTCTGCACAGTGGCTTCACTGAGAAAGCAGCTAGCTGAGCAGCTGGTGGCTGAAGTACAAGCAGTTTCTAGATAACTTTGTTAGCACCAAAGAATATTAGGATCTTAACAAAAACTTGTCTCTTTAATTAGAAAAAAGGCAATTGACAACAGTGTCCATTTTCCAGATGTTATCCCAATAAATAAAATTGCACATGCTGTGTACACTAAAACACTTTGTTTTAACAGTTGCTTAGCCAGCTGAAAGGAAACCTGGAAGAAGAAAACAGGCATCTGTTGGACCAAATACAGACATTGATGCTTCAAAACAAAACATTATTAGAGCAGAATATGGAAAGCAAAGACCTTTTCCACGTTGAACAAAGACAATATATGTGAGTATCCAAAAAGGTGTTATGTACAACATAACTGCAGTTGGACCTTCAGATAGAAATTATGAAAATACTAATCAGTACAGTCTATGTACAACAAATGAAGATGTTTATTCTCATTCAGATTTTAATTTTTAATGTTCAATTAAATTTCTGGGATTAAGGAAGAGACAGATATATATTATAACAAATTATAGGCAGTCTTTCTTTTTTCCTGGTTGGAAACATGTTTATGGATATGTTACATAAGTTCTTAAAGATATATCCTTTGAGATACAACATGAATTGGTTAAAGATATAAAACAGATAATATTAGGAAAATTATTGTATATTCATGCATGTACAGCAGACATTTGGTCATAGCAGGAAAAACAACAAATACGCTTTGCTAATACTACACTGATGCCAACCTGATTCTAGTGCTAGTGGCAAGTTTTTATCAGGTATCCATGTAAGAGTACATTTAGATTAAACAGAGAATAGGGACATGCCTTTCATTGCTGGAAAAAGGTAGTGTACAACCTAAAAACAACATACAGAGAGGAAGATTTAAGGTTAATGAAATATGGTGCCTTGCAGAAGTATGTACCTTCCTTTGATTTTTCCACATTCTGTGGAAAACACAACAAAATGTGGAAAAGTAAGGAAGTTACTGTTTCTGCAAGACACTATAGCAGAGTTGCTTTGGGAAAGGAACATCTTATTGTTTGAAACTTTATGTTATGCTATTGGATCCAGAGTTATGCTAGCTCAGCTGCAGTGGTAGAAGTGGAACTCTCCATCTTTTCCTTTCCATTGTAGCCCCTCTAGCTCCCTGAAAATGCTACAGAGAATCAGGAGATCCTGCTGTTGGTGAACTCTGGAAGAAGAGGATCCCTAAGATTGGACAGAAAGATCTCATGGATACCTTATCTGGAATCCAACCTTATTTTTATTTTATATATATATATGAAATATATATATAAAATAATATATATATTCTATATATATATGAAAATGTATAGACAGCTCCAAGGATTCCTGAGCAGTGATTTGCAACTGAATTTTGACATTGTGGATTGTCACCAAATTTCACAATGTTTTCCTTTCATTCAGCAATTTCAAAGCATGTTATGTGGGTTTGTGCTAGCGTTAGTTTGTTAACACTAACACTGTGACAGCACTAGATATTGCTCCTGGAAAGAGACTACTGCAGTTTGAATGTTGGGAAATGTAATGTTTCTGTAACACAAAGGCTACCTTCAGACAAGCTGTGCTGATTTCATGAGGCTTCGGCAAGGGGCGGCATAGAAATATAATAATAATAATAATAATAATAATAATAATAATAATAATAATAATAATGTAACGTGAGTTACAATGGTGCTTTCACTGAATAAAAACTTACACAATTTTGTTGGAACAGACATGCCTTCTGAAATGTATATATACTTTTTTTACAGCGACAAATTAAATGAATTGAGAAGACAGAAAGAGAAATTGGAAGAAAAGATTATGGATCAATATAAATTTTATGAACCATCTCCCCCAAGGAGGTAATGCTTAAGTACAAAGTTAAAGGGATACAACTTTCTTCATATTGGAGGCAATTTTAATCCTATATACCTTGTAGCATGGCCATGTCCACTAGTTGAATACATAAAGTATTCTAAAGATCACAACACCAAAGGACTAACTTGAAATTAAGCATTCCTGCTAAATTTTATTTTCTTCTTTTAATTTCTTCAAAAGGAGAGGGAATTGGATTACTCTGAAAATGAAGAAGTTGATAAAACCTAAGAAAGATCTAAACCGAGAACGCTTCAAGTCTCTGACACTTACACCAACCCGCTCAGAATCTAGTGAAGGATTCCTTCAGCTGCCACATCAAGACAGTCAAGATAGTTCCTCAGTGGGCTCAAATTCACTTGAAGATGGTCAGACTGTTGGGACTAAAAAAAGCAGCAGTGAGTAAATTGTGTCATCTTAGTAAGGAATACTGTCTGGTGTATAAAGTTCAGAATGTACAGGTAAAAGGTTAGGTCAAAGTAATTTTATTATTTTCTTGTGTAATCAAGCACGGGGGAATCAAGCACTACAGCAGAGACATACATTTAAAGGGACAGTTTGCAGGTAATGGCTAATACTGGACTAATTTGCAGTGCATAAGTAGAAATGAGCTGATGCACCGTCAGAAATGAGTGAACTACTACTTCCTGTGCTCTGCTCACTTTCACTCTTAACCAGTCACCTGTTGTAGGTTGTGCATGTGATATCTCAGCCAGGAATGCAGGCTTGTTTAGGGGCTAAACAAGCCGGTGAGGTGGTTTGTTGTTGACCAAACTGTTGTAGGGCTAACCCAAACATTTCTCTCTTAAACAACCCCATGTTCCAGGTTACCACATAATGCTCGCAGCCTAGAATTGGAATAACCATAGGTTCTTTCTTAGAACTGGAAGAGGCAGCCCTTTCACTTTCTCCTCCTCATGTGAAATCCTGAGCAAATTAAGCCATGCTCTGCCATTACATGCAAACTGGGTCAAAGTGCCTTTTAGGGCTACAGTCTTCCAATACAATAAAAAATTAATCAGTTGAAATTTACACCTTCCTTACCTGTAACCTTTGCTTTTTTATACATGTCACTTCTCATCCACTCATAACATTTATGTTTTTTGAGTGTAGAACTTTCTGAACCATGCTTCCCTATTAACATCTGTACAATGCTGATGAATTGATCCTGTTTTTCTGCATGCTCATCAGCATTCCAGTCTTCTAATGGAGTTATGGAGCAATATTGCATCCACATTGCACTGAAGAGATGTCATGCTGGAACAACTGTTTACCAAAGCTTTATAGTGATGCATAAGTCTGGACAACAGTTTAACAAGACATTACCACCATCATCACCCTCATCCATTCTCTGTATCCGTAATTTATTCTTTGAGGAAACAAGTGGCCCAGCACTGTATTACCTCTTTTCCTTCTCCTTAACTCATACCTTTTCATCAATGTCACCATTGTATACCAAGCTACACAGACACACATGAATATATATGCATAGTATTGTGTGCCAGACTTCAGTCACATCATTGCAATAGTTCTTACTTTGTTGACAGGTACTGAATGTATATAAGCTAGCCAAAAAGCCACAAAAATCTTATTGCATGACATTAGGAGTTAACTGCAAGTTAAGCATCTAATCTGAGCCTAAACAAACCCTGCATATTCATTCTTGGAGCAAATGAGGCCCATCTACTGTCTTGTTCCCTAATTAATTAAATAAGCACTGTTAAAACAGTAAGGTAAATTAGAGACAGATTATCTTTTTATTAAATGAATGTAATACCATTCATTTAAACAATAATAAAATACATGTACATTCCTATTGAAAAATAATTAAAACAATATCATTTCTGCTTTGAATTTTTTTTCCTGCAAACATTAGAAATGTTTTTTCTGCCTTAGTACTTTTAAACTTTTAGCTGATTCATTGTTTTTACAGTTTTGGGGCATTAATGATCTCCTAATTATGGAAGATTGAAATTCTGTTTTATCTAATATTACATTTGGAACATTTGGAAATTGCAGCATTTGCTTTATGACTTCTAAGCTACAAGATAGATTATTGTTTTGGAATCTTAAGAAAATGTTTTTATTAGTTGCTGTACGAACCTAAGAGGTTTAATACTCGTTCAGGACTTGCTTTTGAACAGTTGCTTTCTTTAACCACAATGATTTTTACTTTCCTGATTTCAAAAAGGGTTGTTTGTGCTTAGTGATCTAGAGTAGTCAGCATTTATTCTCAGATTCCTCCACAGAGAATTGCACTTCTCAGATATATTTTAACACTGGAACAACAAACATAAGGAAAAGAGTCAAGAGGAGAAAGGATGTGGTTGGTTAGGGTTTGGGGTATTAGAGTGTTCAGGCGAGACTTGCTAGGTTGGCTCTTTCTTAAGCAATCCTACTGAAGAATTGCTTTGTATTTCTTACACAAAATTTTCTTTCAAAAGATTTTAACAGTGAAAAGTGATTGGTGACTTGATTGGTTTCTTGACAAAAGTTTGCTTTCCTTTTATTCAAGTTTACGATTTACAACAAATTTCTCATATACATTTGAAAAACTAAAATATACCTGTTGTGCTTTCACTGGGCTTTAAGTTAGTTTTCAATGTTCAAAGATGAATTTGGCAGAGCTTTTTGCCTATAATAGCAAACCATATAATTTAAGCCACATCTGCTTTGCATAATAACTTTCCAGTCTAAAAATTAGTAATAGTTTAACTTAGAGTTATTCAAACCACAAACTACCCTAGCATAGAAAAGCAAATATTCAGCAAAATATAAAAACAGATAATCCATAGCCCTGTTTAATATAAATCCAGTGAAAACAAATTGGGTCTTCAAAGACCTGCTGCAAACCTGCAAAGAGGATGCCTACAATCCTCTGACAGAAGTTGATTCCAGGTACAGAGGCAGCACTCAAAAGACCCTCTACCTTGTACTAACCCAGTCATAGTGGCAACAGTCAGATGAGCACTTCTACTGATGACTTGACTGTATAGGGGAAGGCGGTCTTCCAAGTAGCTGTGATACTTTACCTGTAATAAAAAAAAGGCCCTGTAGAACTGAGTAGGCATTGTCAGTTTCAACTGAAGAACAGGGTTGCAGTAGAGTGAAGGAAATGGTAGTGCAATGGCCTAGCAGAATGCCCTCTGGGATGGCATCCAGGTCTAGTTGTAGGGCAGTGTTGATCAGCATGAAAAGTACTTAAGGAAGTGATTTTTGTTTGACTAATTGGAAGGAGTGACATACTGAACCTAGGAAAAGCATAATTTGTGAATGGTGTGTTTTTGATAAAATGAGTCAAGATACCCATTCCTATTCCCGAATAATACTTCAGGCTTATATGATTTTGTCTGTTTCTGCATTTCACAACATTCTTCTTTCTATCAGTTAAATTCAGATCCTCCAGTCTGCCTCTAAACTATTCTCCCACCTAAGTACCTAGGTTTAGAGAACTTCAGCCGTTGGGCAGTACAAAAAAGTTTTGCGAAGCTAAGTAAATGTGCAAAATTTGCAAAACATTTGTTGTTGTTCAGTTGCAAAGTCATGCCTGACTTGTCACAACCCCATAGACAACATTCCTCCAGGTTTTTCTGTCCTCCACCATCCCTCTGAGTCCACCCAACTCCACACCCACCTCCACAGTGACCCCATCCAGCCACCTCCTCCAACTTCAATCAACTTCTTGCCAACAGGTCACACTTCCTTAATAGCTAGTATTCCCACTATGCTTGTTTCTTTTGTTAATGATTTCTGCAACACACGTCAAATATTTCTAAGCCAGCCTGATTGGTTTGCATAAGATTAATAAACTATTTTGTTAGAAGGTCATTAAGTCTGTTTGGAAGGAGGGAGAGAGTTACAGCTTCAGCAACTAGATTTTTATATTGAAGGCAATGTAGCCCCATTTATTTAGATACAGTTAAATTGGATAAATGTAAGAACTCTCAAATAGGTCGGAAGTAGGTTGTTGTTGTGTGCACATGTGTGTGTTCAGCATATTCCACTATTAAAAGTAGTTTGGTTATAAAACTGAAGAATAGATCTAAAAGTATTATTTTATCATGTATTACTTCATCTGAAAATCACTATGTTGATAAATACATAAAATTTCCTCAGATCACATCTGATAATTTGTTTCAGTGGGCAGATCAAACAGCCAACGTAGAATTATGTTATAGTCAAGACCACATCTCATTTGCATATTTTGTTACACTTTAACATTTGTATTTATACATATTTACATCCAGTTGATTCAGTGCCTGCACTGCAGCAGATAGACCAGCTGTAAGATTAAAGGTTCACCTTCAATTGGATTCTTTTGTCTTCTATGAGGATATTGTGAAATCATACCTACCAGCAGTATTAAAACTATCCATCTATCCATAGTAGTTTTTTAATATATTATTTTCTTCAGATCTTGCAGATACTTGTTTTTGCATCCCTTGGTGAGAAATAACTTGACAACATTTTTAATGGTACAGAAGTTAAACATTCACAGTGTGATGCAAAATATACTTAGCTGATACTTTATTTTTGCATTTACATGTTTAGGACTGGAATCTTAGGGAGGAATGATTATTTATTTATTTATTTATTTATTTATTAAATTTCTAGCCCGCATTACAAGGGAAACATGGAGTTCTTAGTCCTGTGTCAGTGCTGATATGGGTTTGAAGAAGGTAGGAACACTGTAAGCAAGGAGGTAGTACATAATTTCTTCTCAATCAAACCTATGACTTAATATAAAAGCCCTCCCCAGATTTTTTGAAAAAGCTGCCTCATCAGAAAACTAATTTAGAGGCATGGCGGTGGTGTGCTGTGTGGGTGGAGAATGACAAATAGTGGAAGGTTTAAGTGCTTTTCTCTTGCAAGTGCATTTTTGTAATCCTGTGTTCACCGTAACTCTGCAAATACGAGAGGTTTGGGAATATCTGTTTGCTGTGAACATGTATTTCTGCCCTTCATTTTTGCTAAAGTCATCACTGGTTGAACAGAAAAAAAGCAGATGACACCATAGAGTGCTCCTTCACAAATGTGTGGTAAATGGATGGGAAGTCAAGTCATATGTAAGTGACCACAGTTCCGTGTAAACTTTCCTATAGGGTAAGCATAATTGAACACAGACTTACACATGAGTGAACATGCACAGGATTCTACATGACACTTTTGCTGAAATGAATTGTTTTACATAACTTACATCCTTCTACTTAGACTAACAATAATGCCATATTGAAATGTGAACAGTTGCTAGTTGGAGGGTCCTCTTGCATAGTACTACAACCTTGACACAAGAGAAACATTTGAAATAACATGGGATTCAAAATTCTCATAAGATACTGTACGCTTGATTTTACTGTCCCCACAGTTTTACTACTGTGCTACAGTTACTTCGTTATAGTCCGATGTGACTACCCCTCCTCATCCCTCTCAATAACATTATGGTATATTACTTAATAAAGAATTCTGATTTACTATAATAACCCAAAAGATTATTATGGCTTTCCAGACTACATTCCAAATTGCCTTGGCAAAAAGGGGAAGCTGCTACATATGGCAGTTGAATGAAATAAAATGAGTTCAAATTCACAAAATTTAAAATAAACTATTAATGTCAAAAAAGCTGCTATTTCATAGCAAGAAATTAAGGCAATGCTTACTAGAATACACTGTACTAAATGAGCATTTTTAAAGATATTTTTCATAGTGTCTCCTTGATCATTTCTGATTCCCTTGCCCACAAAATCAGTGTGTGGCTTCAGATTTGGTTTTGCTTTTTTCTTGCTTTTTTCAGGCATTTAGCAATTCTGGGCTGTGAAAGATTTTTATGTTCCTCACACATGATTTCCAGTATCTCCTGGGTTATATTAAAAGTATCATAAAGGCTTCATATTCCATTGTCATTCAGCAGCATGAGGTTGATAGCTTTTAGTAAAGTACACCTAGCGGAAACTCAAGCATTCATTTCTGTCCTTAGTTTCAACATTTAACTTCCATCTGTTCTTCTCCCCTTTTTCTTTCATCTTTCCGTTTCCGTTTTTCCCTATGCTATGACATAAAAGTGGTTGCACTGAAAAGACTGCCCTTTTTGAGGAACAGACCGAAGGAAAAAGACAAAATGAAGGCCTTCTACCGTCGCTCCATGTGTAAGATTTTATGACAGTTCAGCTTCTTTTTAAATGGCTACACTGGCTTCTATTACTAATTTCACTAACCTTTCCCTGGACTGCGCTATTTTTCCTATTTTGCAAAGTGCAAGTCCTGCTGTAATACAAGGAGCTGAAGCAATGTTTCTAAACACCATGATACTCAATACACATAACTATTGCTATGTAGAAATAACACACACACACACCCTATATATATATATTTACACATGCACACATTGAATGTGCATTTCTGTGCTCAAGTTACAGAAATTATATGGATTGAACGTATACACATGTATGTGTATATAAAGATATAGTGCACTCAATTCTTTGTCATCAGTTTTATAACATAAAATAGAAAGACATCTGGGGGAAAAACCAGTACAAAGATAAATAGTAGCCTGCTATTCCTTGCAAATGTCTTGGTGTTTCATGTTGTAGGGCGGTGGGAGGGGGAACGTCCATATTTTTGTCATTTATTCTTCAGTATTGAAATGCTCGTTATAAAGCTGGGGAAGTCAGTCTGTCAGGATATCTTTCATCGGACTCATTTATTTTGGATCTTTTTCTCTAGTGTCATGCAAAATAGTTTATTCCTGCAGAAACCTACACTGAAGGACCCCTTATCATTGCTAACACTGACTTTGTATTAGCACTTCTGCTCACCTATCCTGTTCATTCCATTTTGTCATTGCAAAACATATCAGAGCTTCTAACATACATTTATCTATTGCATAGCATCGCAGCACAAGCATGGCGGTTGTAGCTTATAAAAAGCAGTTACAATAATCTCTACAAGAAGGCTTTGGCTTTTTAACACCTTTCATTCATTCAGCCAATTGCATGTTGCTACATTTATGACCTTGTGGACTGTAGTTTTCAGTATACCCTGATTCTTAGATATGTGTGAAGCATTTTACAGTGCAAATTAAAAATTTAAAAAACATTGAACCATGCTGATTCATTTGCTTTCATTTACATCCCAGCCATGAATGACCTGATGCAGTCCATGGTCCTAGCAGGAGGACAATGGACAGGTAGTTCTGAGCATCTGGAGGGTCCTGATGATTTATCTACGGGTAAAAGGAGAAAAGAATTGGGATCTATGGCCTTCTCTACTACATCCATCAACTTTGCAACTGTCAACTCTGCTGCAGGCTTGAGATCCAAGCAGTTGCTTAATAATAAAGGTATAGGTAGAACCTTTTCACAGTGTGGTGTGATTGTGCTGGTAACAGTAGAATTGTAGTATTGTTGGAATTTGTGCTTCATACTTCACATTCTTTTCCAGCAAATAACTGGGGTAACAGATACAGACCTATGAAGTAATAGGATGGGGAAAGTTTGCTGTGTTTTTAAACTTGTTCGGGGGAACATTAAAAAAAAAAGGATCAGTCAGAAAAATATCTCACAGCATGTTACAGATGATGAATTCAAAATTATGTTTTTGCAATAAAATGGTTTGTTTTCCATCTAGATGCTACATCTTTTGAAGATGTAAGTCCACAAGGAATAAGTGATGATTCTAGTACAGGATCGAGAATTCATGGTAAGATTTCTGCTTTACAAGAGTGCAGAACTGTGGACCTATTGAGGGAATGCTAGTAGTGTTTATTCAGAATTAGAAAAGTCCTCTACTGCAGATGTGCATGCTCTTGTTCTTTCTCGCCTTCCTCCTGCAGCCATCTTGCATCTTACCTTCTCTTTGCATCTTGTTTAATTATGGGGTTTATGCCTCATGTTTTTCACTCTGTCTTTCTTAACCAAAACAAACCAATTGAGTGTGAAGTACACCTGAACAGAATCGAAATTTCTTCTCTCACCCCTAAATCTTCAATATCTTAGAATTCAATTGCTAAGAAATCTGTTTCTCGGAGTCTTACAAATTACTGTATTTTCCTGTATCGATTTTGTATAATTGTAAAAATATGAAATATCTTTCTGGAATGTCCGTTATAGCTAGAATTTGTAATTTTTTTACAAATGAACAAATAAAAATACCTCAAGTTTTTTTTACAAGTTATTTGTTTTTTACAACAACAAAAAAAAAAAACACCTTAAGTCAAAATAATGCAGTATTTTAAAATGTATTAAAGCTGCCCCTGTGCTTGTATTGGTTAGGAGTGCAGGATATTAACTGTGGAGATGCTCTTGCTCCTCCTGTTGGTGGCATTTCTGCAGTGTGCAAAGTTCCATGTCAGATCTGTTGTAAGTGCCTTAATCATGACTAGTTTTCTGCATGTTGCCATATTGTTCCTTTTAAAAATCCTTGGTTCTTCCTACCAACAAACTAATTCCAACCCTAAAAGTGCATCTGATTTTTCTGTTTCTTTCTGTGTGCCATATTTGCTCCTTTCATACCCTTTTCTGAAGGGTTATTTCGTGCTGCCTGGAAACACCATCTTTTCCTTGCCTGTTACAACTACACTTCAATGGTGGGCATGTTCAGCTTGTGCAATATCAGTAGTGCATGATGTCCTGCCTCAGTGCATTCTGTGTGCAGAATGCACCAGGCATAATCTCATCTGCTGTGGTATGTGCTTCATGCTATCTACTGATTTTTTCATTTAGCTTCCAGACCAGCCAGTCTTGATAGTGGCAGAACATCCGCTAGCAATAGCAATAATAATGCTTCACTCCATGAAGTCAAAGGTATGCTTCTAGGCAAATTGAAACGTGCTTCATTCTCTGTATATTTTGGGTTGGGTGGGCGAGAGGTGATTCATGGCATGTGTTTTTTCTTTGACTATTTTGTACATTGCATTTCTTTTTAAATGAAGCTTTGAACTAGAGTGGGCTAAGTATCTGTATAAATCAATTAGGAAAACACAGTGAATACTGCAGATCTTCATCTAGCTTTATGTGTACTTTTGCTACTGCTACTCACTGATCAGCTCCCCAATATAGTTACAAAGTATATTTGGATATATTATCATATGCTGTACAAGTTAGGAAAAAAAATACTTCCAGGTCATCTTGAAACAAACATAAACAAATGTCATGTCAGACAAAAAAGTGATTTGCCATGTATAGCCTTTGGGCACTAATCTCATCTTTTGCATTGTAGTTATTTACAATTTTATTTGTATTTCAAGCATTTAATAACCTGTTCATCTATTTAGACATTTCCAGAACAAGTTGCAGTGTAAAAATAACCCCCTCCCCTTCAAAAAAGTAATAACTCTGTACAGGATAGCAACAGCATAAACTAAACAACAGTTTTTACATTACGAATCTGAACATCCTGGGAATATAAATAGATTATACCTAATACTAAAAAAGTAAAATAGAGCTTGCTTAATCTCTTTAGAGAGCATTTCAGAGCTAAGGTGCCAGCACAATTATCTTAATTGTGGGGAGACCTATAGAAAGGTCTCTGAAGCATATCTGAATGCATGCTTCCAGAATGTTAGCAATTAATTTAGCTTTCAGAGGTAGCATTGGTCTTCAGTGTTCTTCAATAGTGCTACTGGAACAGAAGTCCGTGATGGATATTCCCAATAACCTGTCGTTTAGAAGACAGGCAGTATAGTGGAGCAAGGCATAATCAAAGTCAGTTTGGAGTTGATAGATTTCAGGAAGGGTGAAAAAGCAGCATAAAACCAAGAGTTGTCAGTGGATAATATATAAAGGTAAGAGGGAAAAAAGCAGAAGGCTCTGAGAAGTGGGTCAAATAGACACGGGTCAAAAGAACGAGTTACATTAAAAAATGTGCACAGCCATTGTTGAGGTAGCTGTTACCAAAAGAATAGGAGAAAGGGGAAAAAAAGAAAATAATGAAAATGGGTTCGTAGGAGAGATGGTGGAAGAGAGAGGCTAATGTTCATAAGAAGATAATGGAATGAGCGGGGGAAGAGAACAAAGGAAGTAAAAGAGGAAAAAAATAAGAGCTATTGAATCAAAAGGGGGTGCGAAGAAAAAAGATGGATAAAAATGCTGAAGGATCACTACATAGATAGCTGTAATAAAATTCATGTTATTAGTGTGCCAAGTTTCAAATAGGTGGACCCAAGAGGATAGATGATGCGCTTATTGGCCTTTAGGCACATGTTACAGGATGCTCCTGCTCCTCTTCTGTTGTTAAACCAAATTCTGTGCAAGACAAGACCAAGCCACAATCAACAGTTAGTTACGTGGTTTGCACACAACAGCAAATTTAGGGTAAATTCAGTCATGAATTTGCTATGCACCTAGCAGGACTGAGCAAGCAAGAGTTTTTCCTCTGCATGAACAGAAGTGAGTACACTTGCACATTATTTTCCTCCAACTCCTCCCTTCTACTTTTAATCGGCAACATAAGATAAGTTGTATTAGCTAAGTTGTTAAGCATGACCTGTGGCTCTTGGGTTGCTGGATTGTTTAAGGGCCGTGCAACCTAGCAGATTTTTCTATTTATATCATGATAAATGATATCATGGTTTGCTATTGTCTTAACTGCTGGGTTGTTCAGCCCTTACAAATACCTGCACTGCAAGTTTGCATGTCAAACGCATAACCTAAGACCCAGTCAAGTCTAGGTTGCTTATTAAATGTGGAAGTGAGGTGTGCACTGGAGGCAGAATGCTTGTTTACATCTGTTTGTGTATATAACAAAAACTCATGCTTGCTCATGGCAAATCTTGGGTTAACTTAACTCAGAATTTGCTAATTCATGCAGACTGGCCCACTGTGTCATAACAAATTATTTAAAAAAAAAATTACATTAGATGTTTCAGTAGTATTTGATCAATAGAAAACATGTATAGTAGAAAACTTTATAAAATGTTTGTCATATTCCAATACAAACCATTACTTCCAGTAGCATATGTTGCACATTACATATGGTCAGTAGAATTGGTAGAATATTCTACATGTTTTATTTCAGGTGTAATTCATACTAACACAAAGGAATTTTTAAGAAACCCTGACATTAACTGAATTAGCATTTCTTCTCCCTTCTTTAGCAAGGTAAGGGGTGTTCAGAGTGTTAGAGGAGTCAAGAGCAATGGTAGTATGGTCTTCTGGCAGGGTTGTCCAAGGCAGAATGGTCAGAGTTAAGATACTAGACTAGGACATGTCCACTCTTCAGGAGTAACTGTCACACCAACAAAAGATAATGGATATCTCAAATGATGGGGACTGAGAAACTCCTGGAGGGCAGCTCCTGTGCGCCAGCAGCAGTGGAAGGTAACACTGGCAAGATTCTCTCATAGACAATGGCAGTGAAGTTCAAGCTAACTCTGGTTTATACTGCACAGAAGAAGGCAATGATAAACACATCTGAATCTTGTTACCTTGTAAACCCAGTGAAGAGACTATCCAAAATGAAATGTGATAGTGCTAGAAGATGAGACACTCAGGTTGGAAGCCACTCAGCTACTGGGGAAGAGAGAAGGACGAGTATGAATAGCACTGCTGCTAATTACACTAGTAGACTAAAGCCAAAAGGAAATCTAGTGGCTTACATACAGAAAGGCAAAAGGAAAATCCAACACATACAATTGGCACATGAATCAAGGCAAACTGGACACCACAAAGCAAGGATTAGAATGGTTAAACATGTGAAGGGACATTTACACTCAGACAGACACAAAGTGTTTAACTCTGGAAATCACATACTCAGAAGAAACAGAGTGGCCCTAATTCTGAGGCAAGATGTTGCATGGTCAAAGGGGCTATAATGTAAAATCCAACTGAATCATATCAGTCAGAATTTGTGGGAAACTTGTCAATGTAACTGTTGTTCAATCTCCAACAACAGATGTTGAAGAAGAAGAAATTGAAAATGTCTCGATGACCCACCAAAACAAGACATGCTGATAATCATAGGTGATTGGAATGCAAAGGTAGGAAGCAAAACTGAATCAAAAGTTGTGGGAGAATTTGGCCTAGGGGTCACAAATGAGGCCGAAGAACAACTTGTACAATTCTATGAAGCCAACTGTCTATTTATTGCAAATTCGTATTTCAGTGATCAAATAATGGCAATATAGAAATTGGAGAGAGAAATCAGAAAATTAATTGAAGCAACTCCTGATAAAAGTGAAAGAACAAAGTGCAAAAGCAGGACCACAGCTAAACATTAAGGAAAGGAATCGTGTGTAGAGAAGAATTATGCAATTTTAATATCAGCAGTGAAGAAACTGAAATTGTGAAAGATTTTACATACCTTAGCTCAGTGATTGATGTAAGGGGAGACTGCAGCCATGAAATTAGAAGAAGACTGAGGCTCAACAATGAAGGAAATAGAAAAGTTCATCAAGTATAAGGACTCTTCACTGGTGACCAAGGCCTAGATCATCCACACTATTGTATTCCCCACCACTATGTATGGGTGTAACAGCTGGACAGTGAGGAAGACAATCAGGAAAAAACTTGATGTGTTTGAACCATGATACTGGAGGAGAGCTTTGCAAATACCCTGGACTGACAGAAAGATGAACAAGCAGATCCTAGCTTAAATCCAGGCATAACTTTCACTTGAAGCAAAAACAACAAAATTTCATACTTTGGAGATATCATGAGAAGGCAAGCTCCCTGGAGAAGACAATCATGCTAGGAAAGCCAAAGGAATAAAGGAAGAAGACCGTCTATGAGATGGATCAGTTTTATAAAGGAGGTCACAGCTTTGAGTTTACAAGAGCTGAGCAGAGTTGTTGAGGACAGGACATTCATTTGTACCCTAAGTTGGAGATGACTTGGTGACACATAACAACAATAAACCTTTGTTTTGTACAAAATGTAATGTTTCTCCTTCAAGTCATAGATATGGCAAATTAAAACTGACATTATGTAAAATGCATTTTAAAGAAGTCTTTCTATAAAGATATTTCTTGATAAGATTGAAAATACCTTCTTCATATTCCATGTTTTACATTTAATTTTTGGAGTGTTTCATGGATAATAGTTGATGTCAACATTTTCTCATTATTTCTGAACCTGAACTGAGTCATAAAGATACCTTGTATATATTTGTGTCTTCAGAGCAAATACTCTTGAAAAAGAATAAAAAAATTACTCCTTTTTGGTTGTATGTTTTTAATTGAAAAGATGAAATGTCATATTAAATAGCCATAAAAGTTAAGGCAAGGAAATGGTATTTTTATACAGCTTTTCAATACATCTTTGAGTATCTTAGGACTGTTCAATGTGTTAAAGCACTCCTCAGTGCATTCGATCTCATTCATAACACACTTGTTAACATTTGTTCTGTGTGGTGGGGGGTGGGGGAGAGAGGGAGAGAGAAGAGATTTAACTTACTTAATAAAAATACTGTTTACCCCCAAAGCAGGTGCAGTTAATAACCAAAGCAGGCCTCAGAGCCACAGCAGTGGAGAGTTTAGCTTGCTTCATGATCACGAAGCATGGTCCAGCAGCAGCAGCAGTCCCATCCAGTATCTGAAAAGTCAAACCAGGTCTAGCCCCATGATCCATCATAAAATGACAGAAACTGTAGATAAACAAGGAACACGGAGAATTAAGACTGACTCGCCTGGAAGTGAAGTGGTCACCCTGCAGCAATTCTTGGAAGAAAGTAATAAGGTTACTTCAACTGAGGTAGGCTGAAAAATATTTAACTTTAGGAGACTGAATCTACAGCTAAAGAGCAATATGATTTTTGATTTGCAAGTTACTGGGATTTGAATTCCAATAGAAGAAAACCATGGCAACTTTGAAATGTTAAAACCAGCATTCAAGTTTTAGTTGGGATATTCAGAAGAAAATTACTAACAGACAATGTATGAATTTAATAACGTTCTGAAATGAAGTGTTCAGGAGTGGGGGACTGGCTTCTGAGAGCATACCAGTCCTCTTCAGCTGCACTGGCTGCAGTCTGAGCCCAATTTAAAGTGCTAGTATTAACATTCAAAGCCCTAAACAGCTTTGGACCAAGTTATCTAAAGGAACGCCTCTTGTCCCATATGTACTAAGGTCATCTTCAGGAGTTCTTCTCTGGGAGTCCACTCTGAAGGGAGTAAAGAGAGTGGCTGCCAGCATAAGGACCTTTTTGGTTGCGGCACCTTGGCTATGGAATGAGCTCCCCAAAGAGGGGTGCCTGACGCCTATTCTGTATTCCTTGCAGTGCCAGTGAAAACTGTTATATTTTCCAAGTATTTTAACAGTTAATCTTTTAACTTTAGTTTTATTATTGCATTTTATCATATACTTCTGCTATACCTCTGTGCTGATTCAGTTGCAATTGCTGTGGTTTTAATGTATGATGTTAATGTTTTTCTCTTTCTTGTTTTTCTGTTTTTAACTTTTGTTAACCGCCCAGAGAGCCTCAGCTATTGGATGGTATGAAAATGAAATAAATAAATATTTTGAATTTCTAATATGAAATCTATTCAGCAAAAGTATACATAATCTAACCTATAAATATAGAAGTTCATTAGGATATGGGTGCTTATTCTCTGAAATGTAAGGGGTGAGGTAAAGAGCCATGCATAAAATAGATCTGTATCACTGTAGGGTATATCTCAAAATGCAACTGGATAGGTATTCCCAATCCATAAAGAACTTTTCCAGCATCCTTGCTAGGATACACAAAGCCATTGCCAAAATAACTCAGAAGTAATCTAGGGATGTTTCTATACTGTTTGTGAAAAAACTTTGAGATGTAATTTCATTGCATGTTTTTGCTGGGATGTTAAAATGTGCTTCTTGCCTCTGTAACCAGACCTGGAATAGCACTCATTTTTCATACAGTTGAATCATGTTAAAATAATTTGGATTAATTTCAAAGCTATCAAATTTAGGTGATTTGATTTTCACTGTCCTTTTGCCCACCTGCATTATTTCCCCCCTTGCTCAAAAACTGGAAGGGTTGGGAGCTGGGTTTCCTCCTCCTTCCTTTCAAATAACAGGCAATTCTTTGGGGGGTAGCATTTTATTTTCAATATACAACCAGCAAACTAATAACCAACAAAGGAAGAGTCTCTTAGCATGCACTAAGTGGTTTGTTGAACCCAAACTAGAGACTATTTTTGAGAACTCTTCTTTGCAGTAACCCTGGGCTCCCTCCCTCTGTATGCTCCTCTGGAGGAGTGCAGGCCTTTTAGATCTGCACAAACAGCCCTTCCCTCTCAACACCACGTCATGGAGTCAGGAATCGTAACAGGCATGTCTTTCTCTTTTCCCCTGTCTCCTCTCTGCATTTCCCAACCCTGTCAGTCCTAGGGTCTGTCTGAAGACCTGGAGATGGCAGCCTTGAGATAAGTTCTCCCTCCTCTGCCATCTCTATGTTTGCAGACTTCATTTCCCAGTGCCCACCATCCTCATCCACACTAATCACAGATCTGGGGACTGGCCTACCCTGTATTACTAAGACTTGTGAGGATGAGGCTGGGGGAGCAACTCTTGTTCAGCCTTGTCCACCTGGGTACTTGGTGTGGCAACCACATTATCTCAAAGGCTGGGAAGAAGGGTTGGCCTATAGTTCATTGTGATTATATCACCCTCTCGAGGCTAGAGCTCAGGTGGAGGAGAACTTGAGACAAATCTGACCAAACACAGCTTAGTGCTCATTATTGAGCCTATTTGTGACCATGAAGGTAGCATGGAAGTGTTTTATCGCTGCCAGCATCATGTCCTCATTGTGTCATCCAGCAGAGCCCCTGGTGGCCTGCTGTGATGAATTTGCTCAGCACTTTAAGGATAAGATCACTTGGATCCAAAACAACCTGGACTCTTCAGTTACCCCAGTTCCATTGGTGGGGGTGTCCAGGATGCCATCTAGTTCCATTCTACTGGATAAATTTTAGCTCTTGCCCCCTGAGGATCTGGACAGGGTGTTGACTCTGTCTAGCCTATGATCTGCTCTCTTGATCCTTGCCTGTCTTGGTTGATACAGAGGGGAGTCGAGTCTAGATCCAGAAAGTTGTCAATGCCTCTTTAACAGAAGGGGTGGTGCCACCTGCTTTAACAATTGCACTGAGTGCACTACTCCTAATAAAACCTACCCTGGACTCAGCCAATGTGAACAACTGTTGACCAACTGCTAACATCTCCTATCTGGACAAGGTGATTGAGCAGGTGGTGGCCAGACAGCTCCAGGCTCTCCCAGAGAAAAGTGGGATTCTTCCCAGAGGAAGTGGATTATCTAGATCCATTTCAGTATGGCTTCAGGCCTGGTTTCAGAACAGGTCACCCTGTCTTGGTCGCCCTGTGAGACAACCTCTGCTGGGAGAGAGGGAGGAGGAGTGCAACCCTGTTGATTCCCCTGGAATTCTCAACAGCTTTTGTTACCATCAACCATGATATCCTTTTGGAGATGTTGACTGGGTTGGTAGTTGGTGGCTCTGCTTTGTGGTGGCTCTGCTCCTTCTGGTCAACCATCTCCCTGGGAGACTTTTGCTCAGCACCTTGGTCTTTGTGTCATGGATTCCCACATGGCTCCATTTTGCCCCGCATGCTTTTTAACATCTACATGAAACCACTGGGAGAGGTCATCAGAAGGTTTGGGCTGAAGTGTTATCAGTATGCTGACGACACTCAGCTCTATCTCTTGTTCTCATAAAATCCAGGTGAGGCAGCCTCTGTTCCTGAACAATGCTTGGGCTTGGTAATGAACTGGAAGTGGGCCAGTAAGCTGAAGCTCAGTCCAGATAAGATGGAGGTGCTGTTGGTGGGGAGTGACTGTCCAAATGGAGAATTTTCAACCTATCCTTGACAAGGTTGCGCTCTCCCAAAGAACAAGGTTTGCCACCTTAGAGTGCTCCAGGATCCCAAGTTGTCGCTTGCTGCTTAGGTGGACTTGCTAGCCAGGAGTGCTGTTTAGCAGCTTCGGCTGGTCTAACAGCTGCTTCTCTACTTGGACGAGTGGAGCCTTGCCAGTTACACATGCACCTGGTAACCTTGTGCCTGAATTACTGAAATGCTCTCTATGTGGGGCTGCCCTTGAAAATGGCACAGACATTGCAACTTGTTCAAAACTGGGCAGTGTGCCCATCATGAACACATCACTCCTGTCCTGCACAGGCTACATAGGCTACCAGTTGCTTTCCAGGCCCAATGCAATGTGCTGGCAATAATATACAAGGTCTAAATGGCTTGGGGCCAGGGTATCTGAGGGAACAATCAATTGTATCATTTTTAATTGATGTTAAATGTTGTTCATTATGTTGTGAGAAACCTAGAGATCCTGTGGCTAGTGGGGTAGCATACAAATTAACAACATACATAAAATAGTAAATCTGTGCATTCACACAGCCCACCCTCTTTCCCCTCTGGTGTCACCTGTCAGTGTCTCAGCAGTCCTGAGCCCCATGGACCCCCCCTTCCTCAAATTGAGACCAAAATCCCAGTCTCGTGTCACCTGCACTGAGGATTGAGTGGAAGCCTTCCCACATGCTAGGGCAGGATCAAGGGAGGATTTCACACCAAATACATCTCAGCTACCAAATCTTCCTGAAACAGGCTCCATGCAGGTACACAGCCCATATGTGTGATGCACAGATGATCACTTGACAAATGACCATTACAGACCATTCACTGTATTTTCTTGAATGTTAAAATTCTACCTCAGAAATCCTTTTTATGGTGATTATGTCTAGCTTTAAATTGTGAATATACATAGGATAGTTACCAATATTTTGGTTTTCAAAAAGGTGGTTCTTATTGAAGAAAAACAGTTTTCACACATACTTTAATTGAATAAATTGAGTATTTCTAACAGATAAAATAGTGATTCCTCTATATTTAACCAGGGAGTATAATTGCTTGTTTTCTAATAAAAAGCATTAGATAAATAATGTTGGCGGGTTGGAACTAATTTATTGCCATTTGCATTTTCCAGTTTTTTGAAACAAGGTTGACTAAGAGCACAATTTTATGCACATCTAGACAGAAAAAACCAAGTCTGGCTGGGTCATACAAGGAGCTGTAGTCTTCTCTAAATCTTAGGGCATAAGATTGAGCCCTAATTTTCTCAGCTTATTGATGAGTAGATAGTAGTTGTACAACTTCTTGGACTGAGAACTGTTTCAGAGGCTTCAGCAAATAATGTGTTTGATCTGAATTAAGATATGCAGGTGCGTTTGTGTTCAGGAACTGGCTGTAAAATGAACCTCTTGAAAAGGAAAGGCAGTCTTCTGAGTTTGTTCTCCCATCTTGAATTTTTTCCAAATACATCAAATAGGAATTCCAAATCTGGCAAGTCCACACAATGATATCAGGTTTAGGCTCCCTTGTATGTGATGTTCGGATTGCTTAGTAAGTTTTTCATCAGTTAGTGAGAAGAATATGAGTGAGTTTTGAATGTGAAATGGTCAGGATTGGTTGAACTTTGTGATCTTGGAGAAGTAGTAGTGCTTGTATTAATTTTAAAATAAATTGGAACTGTTTACAGAAATCAAAATGTCAAGGTAAGAATATTTCAGAGAATCATACAATAGTAGACTTGGAAGAGACCAGAGGAGCCCAATCAGTCTATAGAATACTGTATTTGAAGGGAAAAACAAAGTGTACCTTATCCATGAATATGTATACTTGAACAATTAAGAATAACATAGACATAAAACTACTAGAGTAGGATGGCAGCATAAGTATCAACTATTTGCATAAATTGTAACATAGATTATAGTTTTGCATGTTTGCATTGCAGAAGCTATCAAGACTGTTTCCCTTGGCATGTTGAAAAGTAAAAATAGGTACAGAATAAGTTGTTTGGATCTCTTTTACAGATGAAGGCTTCAAACCAAGATAATCTTTTGGATGAAGTAATGAAAATTTTTTCTGAAAATGCTGAATTAACAGGAAGACATAAACTGAGGAAACAGTCATCAGACAGCAGTGGCATTGCCAGATCACAGAGTGTAAGAAGCACAACAGAGTTTTCTGATGGAAAGCTTATAAAGCCCAGTTCATGTAGAATGGAAGATCCCAGCTTCTCAAACTCTTCCAAAACACTTAAAGCGGGTACTAAAGGAAGGACCAAGTCTGTTAAAGAAAACATGCAATCACAGCGACAATCAAAAGATTGTAATCCTTATGCTACATTACCTCGAGCCAGCAATGTGATCTCAACAGCAGAAGGAACTACTCGGAGAACAAGTATCCATGATTTTTTATCTAAGGACACTAGACAGCCAGTATCAATTGACCCAAGTCCACCTACATCTGACAGAAGCATCGCATCAGCTTCTAGTGAGTACAGTCCTCAACAACAGTCCTCTGTTTTTAATTGTACTCCTTATGCTGTGGTTACCATGTCAGAAAATGACTTGGGCAGTATAACTTCATTAGATCATTCTGCATCTAATTCAGAGAAGCTTAGGAATTCAAAAATAGGTGAGAAAGATAGTATTGCTAAAACATTTTCTTGTAATAATATATGTAGTGATAAGGTGGGCACATCAGTGGGCCTTATCAGTAGGTTATCTACAGTCCGTTTGTCCAGACCATTTTTGGCACTGAACACTGAATTAGTTAGCAATGTTAGTGGATTGCCCCAAAGGCCTTTATTAAAAACAGCTGATAAAATGTTTGACCCATCAGTGAAATATCCACAAAAAGATCACAAGTTCCCTTCTCTGGATCAAAAATCTGGTGACAGAAACAAAGATGTGACTCAGACTAGTAGTGAATTTACAACCCTTGCCCAGTCAAAAACTAGTGACAGTGAATCCCCCTTACCAGTTTCTGAAGATACTCAAACTATCTGGTATGAATATGGTTGTGTATGATAAGCATATATACTATTAAGTAATCCTTTCTATACTGTGTGGATGATCTTGTTAATGTTTACTGGTTTAGGCCATGTTTAAATCATTTATTAGCTAGTAGCTAGATGTACCTTTTTCAGAATGGAGATTAAAAAATCACCTTTTTTTTCTTAGCATGTGAATGAATGTATAACTGTAACCATGCCAAAGCTTGCATGAAACATTAACTGTATTTTCTGCATGCCTTTTTAAAGCCTTAATACAAGCTAACTGTATTTTTGTTTTCTATTTGTTACAAATATTTTATTTCATATACATTGCTGGATGCATGCTAACCAGTTGCATGGTGCTGTGCCAGAAACAGCACAAAAAAACCAGGTAAAGTTTATCTTCCTTTCAGATACACCAGTATCATGTGGATTTGGGGCCCAATCCAGCTTTTTAAAAAGGCATTTTAAATCTAACAGAACAACTTGGTTGTGAGTGATTTAAGTCACATGCCTTCATAATTTACCAATACACATAAACATGTTTACTTTGGAAGTAAGCCTTACTTCCTTTGTTGGGAATTATTTCCAAGTAAGTGTGCTTAAGATGTGACTGTCTTCATTCTGATTAAGACTTTTGAGCAAAAAGTGTTGTTCTCCCCTTGTGCTAGTGGAAAATTCAGAAGGGAGTCCACATCTGTAGCTTTTTTAATTTACAGCACATATAAGTTCTGTAAAAGAAAGAAGTGATAGTCAGCATCCTGGGTGACTAAATATGGACATACTGATGAAGCAGTACAGTTGGAGGCCTAATGGTGGTCCCTTTTTGTTTAAAGATAAACAATTAAATGTTATAGTTGCTGGAAAGACCAATATTCTTCATCTCTTTCCTTTTTACATGCTTTTCTGTCCCATGCTTGATGTACTTAACGTGGTCATGAATTGTCTATAGAACTTTATCTGAATTTTTATTATAGAGCTTTATCTGAATTTATACAGTGTATTTAAAATAAAAAATAAAATAGAATGGTGGTATCCTTTTTTCTGTTCAGGAATTAATAGTTCTTTAGGAATAAATACCCTGTGGGAAGGACCCAACAGTGACTTGCACATCAGTTGCACTTGCTCATACATCAGCTGGCATGGTGCAACCTGTCATGCTAGAGAGTGCTATTGATGTGTGCAAGCATTCATTTCTACTACAGCAATATAAAAAGGCCAAGATTCAGTAGATCCAAAAAGCTATTTTAAGCATGCCCAAAAACATGGATTGTCTTTTTTCCTTTGTAGAGAAGGAATCATTTTATGTTTTAAAATGGTATGTAATGTGGGATTGAGCAAATGAGTTGCTGCTGGTGCCTCCAAACAGATCCTTTGCAAAATCTTGAAGAGCTACTCCCAGTCAGTACAGACAGTACTGATCCAGAAGACTACTATCTTGACTTGGGTTACAGTAGCTATGTATATTAATACTATTCAAGAAATACAAGCTTAACACTGTCTTGGATGTGCAGAGCAGCTTGAGAGCCTTAAGGAGTATAAAATGGTGTATCAGAACAAAGTGTCATAGCTAGAGAATCCTTCTGAAACATGACAATCTGTGTCTCTGCTTGAAATTTCATTCAAAAAGTTAATGTGTGCAATTTATATTTCAAAAGGTGGTTGATGCCATCACCATAGAAACATAGAGAGCAAGTCAGAAGTGTCCTCCATCTGACCCCTGACTCCAGCCATCTCCACTCATGACACGCCCACCATGTGTATGTCCAGCCTATCCTTGAACACCCTCACCAATGGGGCTTCAACCACCCCCCGTGGTCCCAACTGTCAGGAAATATTTCCTGGCATCCAAACTAAACCTTGGTCCCCTGAGCTTTGCTCCACTGGAATGTACCCTGCCTTCCTCTGCAGGGGAGAACTAGTTTCTACCCACCTCTGTGTGAAACCCCCTTACATACCTATATGTCACCACAGACTCCCCTTGGAGTCTCCTTTTCTCCAGGCTGAAAAGTCCCAGTCCCCTCAGTCTTGCCTCATACGGCTTTCCCTGCAATCTGGCCACCATCCTTGTGGCCCTATGCTGCACCATGTGGTACAGAAGAATGCTCTTAAGAGAAACAAGACCCATTCCCCCTTCTATGCCCAAAGCTACTTATGTAGTTCTTTGGGTCCTGGCTATGCCATGTTTTAATGAACGGTGAACTACTTTATGGTCCTTATCAAGCCACCATGGGTAAAGAGGCCACAAGCACTACTGCCTGTGGTAGTGGTAATTTTAGCGGGGAATTTGCACCTGTGGGTCACAGTTGCTACCAGTGTAATTATGGGTGAGTAACCTCCCCACAAGCAAGCTAGGGGAGGCCTATCAAGAAAATACTTCTGGGAGCTTCTAAAATCTGGAATCAGGTCTGGTCATGAAGACTGTGAGAAGGATTCTTTCTCAAGTATATAGTACCTAATTCTAGAAGGCTCCAGAGCCCTTAGATTGGACTGCATAGAATATAGCTCAGATAATCACAGAATGGAGTCTGCTTGCTTTTCCTAATTATTTCCTGACTAATTCAGAAAAATGCACGTACAGTTGGATCCACACTTAAATTAATCATGACTAACCCATTTTTCCAGTGGGTCTGGTTTTAAGTATGACTTTGTCTGGATCATGCTTATATTACTTAGGCTACATTTATTGTCATTATAGTAAAAAATATAGCCCAGTGTTTATGGTTATAATATTGAGAAATGTAAAAGGACAATTCCATTACACAATAATAATGAGATTCATTTGGAGGGGGTTGAGTAGTGAAAACAGGATATTTAAAATTGCATATTAAAGTTTGAGAAAGATAGGATATAGAGTTTTTTGAAAGATGGGGTACAGAATTGAGGGGGAAATCATAGTTTCATGTATGCCTACAGTTAACTTACAGCAAAGATAAATCTGGAAATCATTGCTGGCATATAGTAATAATCAGATTTTTAACCAAAGTGAATTCTCACTAGTGTGAGCAGAAGAAAAATTCATTCCAATACCCCTTTCTCTAGTGAAGGATAATAATAAATTGAGCCAGTTAAGCCAGATGTATTGTAGCCCTTTTTGTCTGACCTATATAGTATCTCTTTCAAATATTTCCAGAGCTGCTTCTATACATAGTAAAAATGGTACATTTTTTGCTTCCTCTATTCCTCTTCCACTGGTCTCTTTTGGCCTTTGAAGGGTTATTTGAAAAGCCCATTAAACTAACTGACATACAAAGATGACTCTGTGCATCTGGATGCACATTGAATTAGTTGTGCAGTTGCTTCACTCCATCCATCTCATAAATCATCTTACCACATCACTTGAGAAGTTTTGAAAGGAAGATTGCTAAATAATGAAGAAATCCTGAGCTAACTGGGTGGGAGGCAAAGCAGTCACAGAGCTGATTCTGCACATGGACCCTTCAGTGCATTTCCGCACTTCTTTATTTGATTGTATGGAATGACCCTGTGTTAATTAAATACAGGCCCACTATCCCAAAAGAGGCATGAGGTGCTAGATTAATTGTTCTGCTGAAAATTGGGAGTTTTTTGTTTCCAAGAAAAACATTGCTTGAACATTCACTTTTCAAAGCAAATAGCTAATTTCAGATAATTTGGTTTTGCATGTTCCACCTTATTGCATGTGAGGATAACCCTCTGCTTTACAGATCTGATGGTTAGCATGAATAAATAAATTCTGCTGATGTACTTCAGCACAGCTCCATATATTTCCTTCTTATTTTATTCTTAAGCTTTATATCTACCAGTATTCTCTCCTGTTTGATACATTTGCAATAATAAATGGTGACAAAAAAGCATGAACAGAAAGCATTCATAGAATCATCAGTTGTGTTCCTGTCTTCCCTCCTTGTTCATCTTGATATTTGTAAGCCTGATATCAGTGGTACTTCATAATGTGTGTCACAATGTGAGAACATTTTGTTTTTCTGCTCAACAAGTAATGTGAAATGCTTTTCTTCTGCAGATGTGGAAGCTAAACCAGAAAACAGAAATTCAAAAAGCAGGTCTAGGGAGCAACAAAGCTCCTAGTTCTATTATCCCCCCTACATGAGATGTGGGCCACGTGGTGAGTTTTCCACCCAACATGTAAATGAGATTGCTTTCATTTACAGAGGGGAAAAAACTAACATGATTTACAAAAACGAACAAGTGCACATTGCATTAACAGTTGTCGATATTGCTTGCATTAAATGGCTTGCTATCTTGCTTACTGTTCGAGCCAAACCAGAGTATGACACTTAGTTGTATCCATCCAAGTGAGGAGTGTCCAGTCTTCTTTTCAACCTGTTCACTTTTCCCCATAGACACCTCCAAAAATTAGATCACTGTATATAGAATAGTGAGTTTTTATCTGAAAAGTGATTTACCAATGCTCACTTTGTGCATCTTGAGTGACACTGTGCTGTTATAAAACTTCTATAAACAGAGCTCCTATTTATCTCAGTGTCTGAGAAACCAACAGTTCTAAGTATATATAGAGAGTCATTCTCTCAGGATTTGATTGACATTCCTTAAGAAGAAACTACAGATGAACTCATTGTGTTTAAAATGGCAAAGTGACATATGATCATGAATGGCCGTGAATACCCCACAGTTAAAAATTTAAAAATCCACACCAGGAAATCCAGATTCTTTGCCAAGAAAAGCTGGATCCTACAAACTGTATAAATTAAGTATACTACTACTTATGGCTACCATTTTAGTGCTTATAGCTGTCATTCATTACAGTATTGCATAATATATTCTGGCCTAACTAGTTAGGATAAGGAAACAGAAGCATGCAGGGTATTTTCCTAACATTGGAAAAGTTGTTCAGCCCCTCCTCTTCCACTTTCTCCTTAAAATGCACATGCGTACACCTGCAACTGCATATTCCAATTCTAAGAACTAGTAACTTTAGTTCAAAAGTAATATACAGTGAATTTTCTAGCAACACAATTCTGTCCCCATTATCACCATCTATGCTTTCTTTACATAGAATTGCAACATATGCACAGTCCTGCATATGATGCATATAAAAATATTGGCAGGGAAAGTAAAAGACAGGGTTGCATCCTATTGTATCCATACACTTGTGCAATGCACCATTTGTACAATCAAGATTGTGCTGTTGGAAACAACCTGCAATGAACGAAAGCACTTGTTTCTAGAAAGGGGCAAGTCAGTAGAGGTTGTAGAAGACTGCTCTGCTGTTCTTTCCCAATGCAAAAACCAACATTTCTGCTTTTTTGGGGTTATTTTTAGACGTGTAAAAGCCTTTTTGCACAAGTAGTGAGTCCAGCAAATGCAGATAGAGTGGTTATACTGCCCTTAGGTTCCAGTCCTATACACAAATAAATCACACTGCATACAGTGGCAATCATTTCTGCTTAATCCATGGCAGTGTACTAAGTGGCAGTGTACTAAGTGCTCTGTGATACCTAGAGGATGCCATTTTATAATATTTGCTTCTGGCATTCTGTCTTCTTTCTTATCGTTGCTTAAACCATTTCTATTGTGTCCTGCTAGCTCTTCTAATTACTTTTTATATCTCTCCTATATCTTTATACTTTTCTTATGTTTTCTTTCTTCTCTTTCTACTTTTCAACTGAACACAGAGAGAAAAGTGTCCTTCAGTATCTCAGTGTGAAGCCTTTATTTCTGAAGTAACAAGGAATCCGGCTATAGGAATCATGTTTAAAAAAAAAAGTTGAAATTTTTTACAGGCCTACATGAATAGAGCAATCAAGAAATACACATCTTTCCTTGAATCAAGGAACTGTACTGGCATCTCCTGCTGAATTTTTTAAAAGACAGACTATATTGCACATTGCACTGTTAAGATCTACTGATAAGGGACAATTTTCATCTCTCTAAAGACCAAGGGTTGTGCAGTCTCAAGAATTTCTCCAGGAACCCAATTACTGCTTTCTTCCTTTATCAACTTAGTTGCCATTTGCTTCTGCTGATATTTGATTCTGTAAATCTGAAATGGGAAAAGGCTGTAGTATATTGTGGAATTCGTTGTAAATACAGGTAAAAAAAAGGAGCCTCACAAGCATATTAGCACTTCTCAGCCTTACTGGGTTTGCATAATTTGCATGATGTTACTCTTTGCAAGACAAGACTCTGCTGTTTATTTGGATGCATATTGCAAGACAAAATGGTTAAATACCTGAAAACATAACTGAACTCTTAATTCACACTCCACATTCATCTATGTTTTCTACACAACGATACTACATAACAATACCCCAATTTTTGGCAGAAAAAATGATGGAAAAAGTATTGCTGGAACTTTCTTTGTCAATAAAACCATTTGTGTTTTCAACAAATGCCAACTCTAGAATAAAATGTGTACATTAAACATGTATTTTTAATTTGTAATTTTTGTTTTGAGCTGGTTATGATTTTAGAAGTTTTATGGGGAAAGACCATCATAAATGTCATAATCAGCCTTTTTCAATTCATTCCTTTTATTAGATCTCTTGCACCCTGTTACCCTGTATTTGTTCTTTATAATTTTATAATCATTATGGTTAATGTGGTTGGTACTCGCTAAATCTTTGTGTGTACTTGTGTGTGTGTGTGCGTGTGTGTTAAATTCTTGCAAAGAGCACAAGAAGATAGATTTGGTTAATCCTTAGAAATGTACATGAAGTTCTCCTGGTTTATATTACTTTTTAAACCTTATTTTCTTACATGTCACTAAATATATTAATTATATTTCTACAAGTATCAAATTTAACCTCTTGCGTTTCATTAAACTTTGATAATACATACACATGTAGTTACCTTTAATCCCATCGCACTTTATTTTTATCTTAACAAAGATGTTCTCAAGTAAAGTTATAGTATGTTCAAAATCCTACTGATTTGGACCAACTGCCTGTTAGATCAAACACAGTTTAAAAAAAACATGTTATTTCAAACATGTTATTTCATTCAACATGCAAAATATGCATTAGAAGTCATCAGGCCTTTGATGACCATCACTAATGGGATTTTGAATAAGTCAGAAGTCTGCCTCCTCTGATGGCAAATGGACAGCATGCTGCAAAGTCTTACATGTAAACACACCAGGGACCAGATAGGCAGAGCTGCTTCCAACCCTCTATCCAGTCCTGGGAGCACCACGTGTGGAACCGTGTCACGCCCATAACAGTGACCAGCAGGGCTTGTGCAGTGAGCAATATAACAGATACAGTCGCCACCGAGCTGGCAGTCAGGTGACCCAGGCCTCTGCCCTCCCTCACAAATGGACTAATCACAGCAAGAATATGTGGAGGGCTTGTTCAGCTGCTGCCTACTTCCATCCCCCTGCATGAGATGACCAGGCTGCAACCATAAGTTGATAACTCCTCAGTCTTAATGTACCTATGGTTAAGGTTTTGCCAGAACAACATGTAAACATGAGGCTTGCCGTGTGTGGTACATTTTCATTGATTGTTAAAATGCGGAGAATGGGAGAGAATTGATAATTAGGCATGAGAAGGTCATAGAGAATTTAGTTAACTCTGTTAGAAAATTCTGTTGCATAACATAATCACACCAGCAGCCATTCTTACCTTGGTGTAGCTCACACAGACCACCCCACCCCACCCCACCCCACCCCACCCCATCCCATGTGTATGTTCTACAAAAGTTATGGGATCCTCCCTGGTGGAACAACTCATTCAGGGAAATGGTTTCTGGCTGATCAGATTGGCCAAAGGCAGACACCACAACAGAAGTGGATCTGACCCTAAAAGAACCTTCAGAGAGTGAGTAAAGGTGCAGGCTCATTTTTCATACGTACCCACATAATTATTGATTAGAGTGAAAGACCTGGGAATTTGAAAGCAGTTTCTGGAGTGATGAACACAAAGTAATCTCTCAAGGGCCATGTCCCATGAACTTCTGAGCACCTTCATTTCTCACAAAAGTGCTCTGGAAATTGGGCAGGGTAACCCCTTCACACAATCATATTTTACCAAATTAATAAATTTGAACAAATGTATCTGCATTTTATCATAGGCATCTAGGTGGACATCTACCTAGATCCACCTAGATATCTACCTGTACATCTAGTTGGGCATCATTCTGCTCTTTGAAGAGCTGAAAACTGAGCTAAGGACCAAATCACATGTCTGTGTGGCATGTTATTTGTTTACATCAACTTGTCCTGTGCATCCTTTAGTTTTATTTAGTAGAGGAAATATCCAAAGGCTCCCAGAGAGGCTAGCAATTGTTTGAAGATTATAAAGCAATAAGATAGTAAAAACAGCACAGCAGATGGACAATGGGTAGTATCCAAGTCTGGACCAGCACAAAACAGATTATGTTGTACTAGCAAGGAGACAACTCTTAATAGCATTAGGTGGTATGATGAATTTTGTGGGAAATTACATTGTATCTGCTAATGCTATTAACAATGTACCAGAAATCTCTTAAACCAGTGCAACATAGTTTGTCAGAAGTTGTGTCAGCTTGGATATTGTACCATGTCAGTACCAAACCAGATTAAAGCTTGAATGTACAAAGCCAAGGGTGGCTACATAGTTCAACCAGTGCTGTTAAGAGAGGAACCACCCTGAAAAAGCTTTGCAATGTCAAGGCCTTTTCGTTCGTCTCACCCCACCCTAGGTCACAGCAATCCTTACTTTCTAAGTTAGGGTAACCTGGAAAAGGATAATCCTAATATCTAGGCCTAAAATTGTATACATGCAGATGATACATAGCCAGCACGACAAATCCGCTTGCTTTGTTTGAACTGATCTCAAAGAGCCAATGTCCAGTTCTGCTGTTTTGTCAAGACCTTTCCGGAACAATCATGTACTTTTCATGCATTTACTAGTCTTCTGATTGACCAAACCTATTTTCTTAAGATTTGCACCTTTTTGAGCTTTGCACTTGTCTTAAATACCCATGTGTTTTGGCTTAAGAACTTACTTCAGAGGCATGCTACCTTTCTATGGGCAACTTTGTGAGCATCATCCAGCTAGAACTTCTCTTGAGCAGGTGTACTATTAGGTTAAGTGGAGTTGTGCAACAGCATCACTTTATGCAAAGCTTGCCCTAGAGAAATTAATAGTGGATCATGCCTTTTGTAATGTACCTATATTTGCACATTACATTGCCTGGGTTTAGTACTACAGGTTAAGTTTTCTAGTGTGTGTATATGCTTTAGCATAATTCTCCATGTAAAAAAATTAAATACAATCTTCCCTTAACCAAACCTAAATCATTGATCTTTCTGAAAGGACAAGGCTTATAGGCTGCAAATAATTTGTCTCTGTAGCTCATTCTCCACAAACTTAGTCATTTGTTCTGTGTAAAGCCAGACACTTTTCATGAAAGCTTAATGAAAAACAGACCCTGGATTTTCTGCAGAAGAACCAAACCTCTGTATATTTTTAGCTTCCCTTTCCAGCACTCATTGAAGAATATAAACTGACCTCCATGAACTCCTTTTCTGAATTGAAGAAAACAATTTTTAGCCAATCTCTTTTCATTTCAATTTTCATTACAGTTTACACAGTTTATATATTTACTATTTTTAAAAGATTAATAAAATATCTAACAGTGTCAGGATGTGTCACTTCACCATCCACTATCCCAGCACCTTTAGGACTAAATGCAAGGGCTTTTTCACTGCACATGGCAATATCCTGCAAAATGAAAGTTGCAGTTCTGTTGTGATACAATTAAATATTTTCCACTCTGCTGCTGCTGTTGCTAAGGTTACAATCGCCATTTCCAGAATGTGTCGTTTCTTAAAATGCTTGTGTTCTGAGAGACATTACAGCTCCAGCAGTGGAGCCACTGTAAGTTCTCTGGTGTATGTGTGCGTGTGTGTATGTGTGTAGCTCAAGTATTGTTAAGAATGGAACTGCCTTAAAAGGAAGAGCACCTGGGTGCGACACAATCTTATTTAAACACTGTTTTACAAAAGCTGTTGTTGAAAGCTGTAGTTTTCCTTTCTTATACTTATTAAGGAGTTTTGTAATGTTTGCCATTGTACACTACTTAATTATGTTATTAAAATCCAAGCCAAATAACTAATCAACTTGCTCTGGCTCTTTTTTCCCTTCCCAAGAAGCCTTAATTGGGCTTCCAAGAGATCAGAAACTATTTGAAAACACCTGTGTAGAGTTAGGGGAAGTCAAGTTAATTACCAAGTATTGTGTTCAAACATGTCATTTTTTTTCCATTACTGGAATCCAGAAGCAGTCAAATAGCATTCTTTATTGCTGCCTCAGTGTGTCCTTAATATTTGCACCAGAGGGCTAGGAAATCTTCCAGTGCAGAGTTTCAGGCAGCCCAGAAGGCTGGGGTGGGGGGCCAAAATGAAGAAAGCTCTGCAATACATTAGATTTAACCCTAAGGATCCATATTAGGTAGAAGGTAAATGATCAAATATAGGCAGGATCTTCTTGAACTGGGGTATGTTGAGCCACATGCAGTAGTGAGATACTGTGAATATTTATAATGACCCCCTTTTTAAAAGAATAGCAGAGTAGCTTGAGTGGAGCAATAAAGTGCTTCCTCACATCTTGTGGCAGTGAATATCTTAAGTTGTGCATTGTAGAAATAGCTGCTGGTTTGGGTGGTTTTAAAATGATCAGATGGATAGAAGAGTCTATCAAGTTATTAAGCATGGCATTGAAAGCCTTTCGCTGAGCTACAGAGATGTTTGCAGACAAGCACAAACCATCTTAGACAACTGATGGTTTACCATAGAGTAGGGCTGTGCTTTAGGGGAGACTGAAACACACATGAGCCAGAGTCTCTCCAGGCTTTATTCGTGCAGCCCCAAACAAGGATTTGGAGGTACATTTTGTGCAGGCCCACAATCAACAGATGAATGAAAACTGCCTTGGGAAATCACCATGGCTCACTAAAAGAGGACTGTGGAGAATGGATAATATTGGTGGCTATTTTTAAGGTTTCTGAAGTCTGAAGGCTAATTGCAACAGTGAAAGGATGTACTGAAATAGTTGTTGCTGTACTTGACTGGCAAGACTGAAACTGCAGAAGAAATGACTGCTACCGAAGTACTGCAGCTTGAAGCAAGCCTGCTTAAGGAGTCCTTGACTTGGCACAAAAGTAGCCTTGCTCACCAAGATTCTGGGTTTGGAAGTCACCAGAATCAGGATGCTGCATTTTCAGGCTTAATTATATCAAATCATATTTGATGAAGGACCAATTGGCAAATCTGTAAGTGCATTGCACTACAGTAATTGGATTTGTTTTCAGTCAACGGGTGCCCCAGCTGCTAAGAGAACCTGCTAAGTCAGTTTGCAACATGCATCAAATGGCTTATCATCTGTATATCACTGTTTGGAGCACTAAATAACAGGAACATCTTTCTGTGTGCTTCCAAGTATTCAGTGAGCATCTGTCCATGATAGCTGTGAACCACCCAAAAAGCTTCAGCTATTGAGCTGTATAGAAATATAATGAAATAAAAATGGGACTTTTGAGATTTTAAAGCAAACTGTTCTCAGATGGCAGGTGACCTAGCCCAGCCCATTATTTGATTTGCTGTCTTCTCTCTCCCCCCACTCCCAATTCCTTATGGCAGCGGCTATTAGCAACCAGCAAATTTTGTTACAATGCCACATACGAATACAGCCAGGACTGGAGTTCCAGTAAGGACTGTACTGCACAAAATAGAGGTAAACAAAGGCTTGGAAAGCTGGGAATGAGCTTGTGTATATGAGCAACATTAAGAAATTCAGAATAATCCAAAGAAGAAATTGAACAGGCAGGACATGGTTTAGCTCTACCATAATGACTCTCAAATGGTGGTTTGAGTCCCAGGAGCAGCCTGGTGAAAGGAGCAGTTTGCATAAGCAGGTATATGCAAGTATTCAGTCACTGGTACTAGCAACTGATTTCTCCATCTCAGCTTCATAGAATCATAGTGCTGGAAGGATCCAGGGGGCCCAACCCCCTGCTAAGTGCAGAACTCCTCATTAAACTATCCTTCTCAGATATCTGTCCAATTGCATCTTGAATGCCTCTGGTATGGGAGAGCTCATAATCTCCCTAGATTATTGGTTCCATTGATGCACTGCTCTAGCAGTCAGGAAATTTTTTTCCTGGTATCTAGCCAGAATTTGGCTTCCTGTAACTTGCACCTGTTATTCCGTGTCCTGCAGTCTGGGATGATTGAGGAGATCCTGTCCTTCCTCCTCGTGACACCTTTCAAGTACTTGCAGGCTAAAGGGTGTTGAAAAGTTCATTGATTTATTGCATGCATCCTTCCTTCGTGGTGAATATATTGTAAGGGCAAATGCTTAGAGAAATAATTTTCTCCTCTGTCTCTGTCTAACCTGATAAGCCATTCCAACTCACTGAGTGTGCCCCTATCACTAGGGAAACCTCTCCCAGGGACATCCTTCAGTTTTCATTTAGTGCTAAGGGTGAAAGGAAAGAACTGAATGGGAAGGGGGGACTTTTGTGGGACATGAAGGAACACCAACTCAAATAGTGAGCTCTCTCCCCAATACTGAGTGAGCCAGCCCTCAAGATTGGGATCTTGAAATACATATGTTTCTCTTTCAGACAAACTACACATTAATGATATATTCTTGTTTTGTTCCCTCTGTAATTTGGGGCTTCAATATTCTTTGGCGCATCTGTCAATCCTACTTCCAGCTTAAGTGTCAGAAGAAACAGGCAAATGATTTAGAAGAAATGAAAAATGTGTTTGGTGGGTCTCGAGACAATAAAAAGCTTGGAGGCCTTACACTTGAGTCACAGCACTAGTCCTTCGAATCTCATTTGTGGCTCTCTGGAAGAGAACGTTCCCTCTCCTGTTAGCCAGGTTTCTTTTTCAAGTGGCAGTATCCAGAACCATCTATGTATCTTTCAAATGATGCACTGTATCCCCTTTCTATAAACAGTTGTTGCTTGAGTCAAATTAGCTTTCTCAAGCACAACCTGAAAACAGCAGTAAATTGTCTAACTAAAAGGCAACTAATGTTGGAAAATACTAGACAAGTAATAGTTATCTTTATTGGATACAAAGCACTGAATTTTTTTTTGGATTTTTAACACAACTGCCAAGGCTTGCATATGAAAATGATGCTGTTAACCTACTTGTCATTTTCATCAAAATGTACAATTATAGGTTCATGGCCTGTGGATCTCAGAAATTTTAAGAAGTCATCTGGATGCAATCCCATGGTTGCTGCATTTGTCATTGGGTGAAAATACAGCTTCTCATGACCACCTTCCACAAAGCCAGCATCCAACACAAACTTTACATCTCCCTGATCACAGAAAAGAGCTAAGGGGGTTGCACAACCCTGGGCAACTTTTAGCTTGTCCAACATGGTTGCTTCATCAGCAAAACGTAGATTACCACTTCCAACACCCAGTTTCTTCGCCAAATCATTTAAGTTGACCTGTCTGTCATGCAGAACTGTCACCAACCAGAAACCTTTTTTCTTCTTATCTTTAAGGAAAAGGTTTTTGCTGTGTGCTCCCTTCAAATGCTGTACATAAGGCATCATTTCTTCAACTGTGAACACCTAGAAGAGATAATTGGAACAGCATTACTCTTCCTTGAATGATTTACTTGCTGCCCCATCTTTTTTGATGAAATGTTGGCAGCCATCCGTGGAACTTCGACTATGCAAGCCTCAGTGGAAATTTTCACTATGCAGCAATCTTACGCATTTAATTGGGTACACACAGAAGTTCTGTTCATATTTATATAACATTTATTTTAAAAGCTACTGTCTCACTTTTTCCACCAGTTGGACTCAAGATCTACTAGCAAACTGAGCATCTTAGGCTTCATATTGAAATTCGTGTATGGTAACTAGTTTAATAACTAGTTTATACAGACGCCTCTTGATTCTTTCAGTTTCTCTAGGTAAATTCACATGTGCAATGTCACAGACTAGATGGGGCTGTTGCTCTGTGCTTAGCGAAGCAGAAGAGCCCATTAAAATAGAAAGGCAATGGGAAGGGTGATAAAAGTGGATGCTTTTTTAAAAATCCACAAAAACGCATCAGTGATGGGCATTTCATTTTTGTTTCTTACTTCAGTTTTTGTGAGGGCCAAGAAAAGGTGAAGCAGAAAGGAGCAAAGCTGAAAGAGAAAAGAAAACTCTGTGCATCTTTTTGTATTCTCATACTAGGACTGAAATCTTACACCCACTGGATAGGTAAATAAAGGAAATTATGCAATAAAAAAAGATAAGACAAGCTTCAGAGATTTAATGAGATAAAGACAAGTTTCAGAGATCACAGAAAGCTTCACCCAATAGTTCAGCATGGGTTGTCACTGAACCAAGATGAGTTATCATATTGAACAGGTTCACACGACATTTCAAGCAAGGGTGGGGGGTTCCCATGACTGGTGGTAACTTAACACATGTCCCTCAAATTCCTCAAACTGTGGGGGGGGGGTTGCCCTCCCATCCTCCCTCTCATCACACAGCAGCCCAGCATCTCCCACAAACAAGATCTTCCATTGCTATCTTGTTCCTTATCAGCCTCAGCTGCCTCTTCCTGACTGGTCTGCTAACGTTTTGAGGTGGGTTCCCCTCCTTCCCCTTCTCGCCTCCATCTCTTTAACACTTCCTGGTCAACCCAGACCCCCCTTTTTTAACATAACAGTAAGTGCTCCTGAAGTGACTCCTCTAGTCCCCCTATGTGCATTCACCTGCTTTCCTCCTGTTTCAGAAAGTAACAGGGTGCCAGTCACAGCGCTCAGCCAATAGCAACAAAGCAAATGAGGACATGTGTTGCTAGGATGCTGTGTGTAGTAGAAATCGGTTGCCTAGAGTAACCAATCTGCTCCTTTCATGGAAATCTCCTGCTGCTCTTTTCATGGAAATCTATGGTATCTTTTCATCAGTCATGGTAAGCAGACAGACAATCATAATAAGCAGTAGCCCTACAACAGACCACTGTTTTTCATGGTTTCCAGGTCTGAAACAAACTCTGGTGCTACACCGTGACTGAGTCTGGACAAAACAACAAACCCAAAGTGGTAACCAAGTTCACTTAACATGTCATGCCAACCCACTGCCCTCCTGCAGGATTACTTCTTTATGGCGACATAACCACCTCGACAGGCTACCACTTATTTGTAGTCAAACCTAGATGAGACAATAAGCCCAAGGGAAGCACAAAAGTTTACCAAGCCGTTTGGCAAGAGGGACAGAAAGCCTTGCTGCTCCTGACACATTTCCATGGAGTTTCAATGACAGCTACCCACAGTGCCTAAGTGGTACCTTGAAGAGCTACCAACCGTTTCCTCCATTTCTGCTGCATACTGCCTGCCAGAAGCCCTGTCTGAGGTTGAGGATGTGGAAGGCAGCAGCACCCCAGCCTCACTCCATCTTGTTACAGGCCAGCAGGAAAAAGAAGGTAGCTTCAGTAGCTCCCTCTTCTCACCAATCAAAAACAGCAGGTAGAGCTGGCAGGAAGGGGAGCTAACTTCTCTTCCCCACCAGCTCTGCCTGCATTTCAGGCAGGGGATGAGCTGTGTTCCCCTGTTCCTCCTCTCCAGATCCTAGATAATGCAGCTTGCACCAACAATTGGTGCATCATGCAGAGACGACTCCCTGCGTGCGGGTGCTGAGGTGCCCTTCAGGCAGGCTGCAGGTCAGGCAGTGAGGGAAGAGAGAGGAAGGCCAGGGGCATGTAGCTCAACCTCTCTGCTGGAATCGGCAGCAGGAAGCCTCCGGCAGCTACCTAAAGGTGCTGGCTGGACATTCCCTCAGAAGAGGGGAGGAGGTTCCTAGGGACCCCTGCTGTGTTCTGTATCTGTCAGGTACATTATGGTTCATGGAGCAGTCAAGTCAGTTGGGATCTTCAGAGCAGATGTTGTCTCATTTCCCTTATTGGTCCCCAGGGACAGAGGAAGGGGAAGGAAGCGCCTCAAGATTAACCAGAAAAGTTCATTACATGTAAAGATTTTACTGGACCAAGACGAAGATCATCCAACCCATTGTATTCCCATTCACAATGCACGGGTGTAAAAGCTGGACAGTGAAGAAAGCTGACAGGAAGAAAATGAATGCGTTAGAAGCATGGTGATGAGAGAGAGCTTTGCAAATACTCTGGACAGAGGGACAGATAAGTGGGTCCTAGATCATGCCAGAACTTTCCCTAGAAGCAGAAATGACAAAACTGAGGCAGTCATAGTCTGGACACAACATGAGAAGGTCAAACTCCCTGGAAAAGACAATCATGCCAGGGAAAGTGGAAGGCAGAAGAGATTGACTGACTCCATAAAGGAAGCCAGAGCCTTGAATGTAGAACAGCTAAGCAGGTATATCATGGATAGGCCGTCTGAGGGGGCTGTCATTCATAGGGTCGCCATAAGTTGGAGACAACAAGTCCCATTCAGGGACAGTGAAAAGATCTTGCACTCAAGCCCACAAGACCAAAAGAAAAAAAAGCACAAACTTGTGAAAGAGAATTCACACATGCTCTGAAATCTGAATCCTAAGTCTTTAAAGGGTATCTTCTCCTAAGGATACACCTACTGTTAAAAAGAGAGGTAGAGTCTGGCGAAAGGAGGGCATTTGATTTCATTGAAGCTCAAGCAGAAATATTCGGAGAGGTGTGGGGGGGGGGAGCAGCTGAAGCATATGCGGGCCAAAAGGCGTCTGGCACGCGGTGGGGAGGGAGGTGGCGTGGATCAGATGCAGCAGAGATGCTCAAGGCCCCCGTGCCCCGTGCTGCATTTCCCCAAGGGCCCGGGGGCCGCGGGGTGGTGGGGCAGAGGCCTCCCGGAGATTCGGGGCTCCGACCGAACGGCGCAGGCTCCAGCCTAGTAGGCCCCGCCTGGCCCCGCCCGGGTCCCTGCGGCCGCACCAAAGCTCACTTCGGAGCAGCCTGCCCGGGACCCCGCCGTAAAGGCTCCACGTGGCAGCCCGCCCGCCCGCACTCACTTCGGGGTGCTCCACGCAGAGCGGCTGGATGCCCAGGCCGCGCAGGCGATCCTCCAGCGCCCCGCGCAGCCCCGCGCCCGTCTGCTCCTGCTGGGGCGCGGCCATGGCTCCGCAGGCCCCCGGTCGCCGCCAGCGGGCTCTCCGGCGCGCTCCGGGAGAGGAGGAGGAGGAGCCGCCGCCGCCGCCGCCGCCGCCCTTCCCCTTCGCGGGCTCCCGCCAGCAACGCGAACCCGGAAGAGAACAGGATCGGGAAGCCCTTCGGTTCGCTTTTGGCTCAGCCGAGCGCCTTTAAGATGGGCTCCACTACAACACCCATTATCCCCAGCCGGTGTGGCCACGGGGGTGAAGGAAGCTGCATTGTCACTACTGCTGTTATTTCATCTTTATCGCCCGATAGCCAGCCATCTCTGGACGGTTTACAGCAGCTGTGCTGTGTTTTCTTCAACGCGTTGTAATTTTGTCCCAGGATGCCTTTTAACCATCTTGGCTGGCGCCGGTGACAGCTGAAGTCCAGAGCATTGGAAGAGTAACTAGGCTGTCGGGGGCGGGTAGCTTATCTAAGTGGGCTGCCTCTGCCTCGGTTTTCATTCTTAATCTGGTCAATGGCTGCTTTGGGAGGGTGGTATCAGGGCGGAAGGGTTAAGAAAGCCAGTGTGGTGTAGAGGTTAAGAGCGCAGGACTGGGACTCGTGCGACCTGAGTTCTAGTCCCTGCTCAGCCATGGAGCCACCTGGGTGGCTTTGGGCCAGTCACAGACTCAGCCCAACTCACTTCACAGGGCTGTGATCATGAGAATGCTGTGGAGTAAGCTGTCTTGAGTTCTTTGCAAGGAAAAAGGTGAGATAGAAATACAATAAATAATGCCAATCCCACCCTCCACCCTGTTCTCTATCTGCACCAGGATTCCTCAGATTAAAATGAGCTTAACACCAGATGTTAACTGCTAACTGCAGTCCTGTGCATGTTGGGCAGAAAACAGCTCCTGCAGAAAGGCCCTATAACCAGTAGGGCTTTTTGGCTAAACTCGGTTGCACCCTTACACGGTCCTCTATATGTGAGCTCAAAAGTGAGTCTGATAATTACAGTGGGTCCTATTTGTAACTATAAGGTCTGCCCTCCTGACCACCTCCTGGTCTGTCTGAAATAAGGGTCCAATCCATGGTATGTGTAAGTCCCACTGAAATGAATGGATATGCAGGGGAAATGACCTGATGAATTGGATCCTAAATGTTTTGGGGCTGTCCTGGAATGATGTGAGCTGGGCTTTACAAAAGGCTTCACTGAGCTGTTGAGAGCCACCAACTGTTCCAATGCAGGGCATTAACTGAAAATGGAATATATTAGCATACATTCTAAGGAAAAATGGATGTTAAGTTGAATGGCCTTAATTGTGCATTCACCCTTGTTTGGCAATGGGTGTCTATTTAGACTGCAAAATGAATTGCATTTTAGCTACTTAAGACAACAGCTGCTCTTAGTGTGTTCTATTTAATAAACCAATTATCTAACCAGCAAGCTCATAAGCAGTGGAGGTGTAATTCTAATCCTGTTAAAACATTTCTAGCAAGAAAGAGAGTTTTAGAAATATGAAGGAGGGGAGGCCACGAGGTAGGTTGAACAAAACCCTGCAAGGTAATATTTTAAGCTGACAAGACTGCTGATGTTTTACAGCAAGGCTTCTGGTAGCATAGGAACACAGAGAATAATAAAAGAGCCCTTGTTGTAAATATCTAAGAAAGATCGCTTGCTTCCTGCAGGAAATACAAAGCAAGAATATCTAAAGAGACCGTTGTCTTCCTGTCATCTGACGACCTCCAACAAGGGAGAGCCTGCCATCCCTTTAATTAACATATGCATTGATTTAAAAATATTAGTCTTGCTTCCTGCAGGAAATACAAAGCAAGAATATCTAAAGAGACCGTTGTCTTCCTGTCATCTGACGACCTCCAACAAGGGAGAGCCTGCCATCCCTTTAATTAACACATGCATTGATTTAAAAATATTAGTAAAACTACCAGCCCTATATGAGTTTAGCTTTTGTGACCCTCCAGTTGTTTCATCCTACAGCTCCTTGGTCAGTACAGCAGTGGGGGAACATGGGAGCTGCAAACCGAAAATCTGGAGGGCACAAACTGCCCGTCCCTGCTTTAGGTGAGCTGAGAACTCAAAGAAGCTGTGGCTGGGATTTAGGATTATATGAAGGGCTTGCATGAGCCTAGTGGAAAGAGTTAACTCCCAGTTGGACAGCGGGTGGACAGGGTCTTCACTTGCAGGCTGTGCCCTCTCCATTGTGCTGCTGCCAGTAATCTGGCAGGCATATTTTTCATTGCACCCGTTCCATTGTGTTGTCTCTGAAAGTAGCCTTTCTTAAAATGCCCTGCGGTAGCTGAACTGCACTATGCTAACCCAAGGACAGTTGAAACAGAAAATCTAGACTAGGATATAAAATGTAGGTGAAGGTGGCCCTACAAGCACTCGTAACCCCGGGCAGAAGGAAAATCATAGGTAATGTTGCCTGCCTTTGTTGAAAGTGGCTTTTGCCGCTGTGACATGTCAGTTGTCACCATATGTCTGCCGTCCTCACTGTCTCCCCACCCCATCCTGCTTCGGAGCTGCAGATGGCTGGATCTTTTCAATGAAACCCTTCCTGGCACTCATGACATATAGATTAGGAGGAATTCTAAGGCAGAAGCAGTGGTTTTTTAAATCGCCTTTGAAAACCCTTAATCCTCTCTCCCTCGCACTCACTCTCTCCCCTCCCTTGCTTTTCTTGTTAATGCTGTACTGGAAAACACAGGGCTAATCCCAACAGGCCTAGTGCAAGCAAATTGCCCTTTCACCCGTGGAGAATCAGGGCAATGAGCTGGCAAGCCCTAGAACTCAGTTCCTTGGCAGGAAAACAAATAAAAATAAATTGGGGCTTAAGACCATCCAGCAGGGCAACCCTATGCAAAAGGAAGCCCCAGTTATGCAGGGCTGGCCTCACTATCAAGTTGAGGGGGCTACCATCTCAAGCAGCAGGTTGGGAGAAGGTGCCGATGGACAAAGCCCAGGACCTCCTAATGTGGCCACAGTGGAAGGTGCTGTCTCCTTGGTAGGGCTGAAGCAAGATGTAACTGCCAGTTTGGTTGGCTCAGGACTGAGCAGTGGGGAGTCACCTGGTTCCTTGCTTCCGGAAGCAAAAAGCCCAAAGGGTACAAGGAGACTTGCTCGCAAGGCAGCGTGCCCAGGACCATAGCCCATGCTGTGCTGAATGGCTACATTCGAGTTCTTATTTTTCTTTAGCATATTAAAAATTAACAAATGCAAAAGCCTGAATCAAAATTCCAACAAACAATGAAAACAGCATATCAGCAATGAAGGATCACAAAGAATAGATAATGAAACACAAGTTCTGTGGAGGAGAACAAACGCAGGCTTGACTTGCAGGACAGAACAATCGCCTTGCAGGCAGAGAGCCACAGTGAATTGTCAGATTGTCTGAACACAGGTTTAGGCTGCTTCCTGCAGGGTAGCTCGCTTTTCAGCACAGGAAATCCCATGGCGTGTTCTAGGGGCTGCTCAGTCTGCCATGGGGTGCCCTGTTAGCCAAACCGTTGACGGAAGTGGCACCACCTTGGAGGCAGTAAAGCATCTTGAACAAATTCACCTCCCCACCAGTACCCCACTGGCAGGGGGTTCACACAGAGGCTGAAGAAGCGGTTTGAGATAGTTTTAGTAGATAAGCTAAGGAAGTTGCAAGCAGTGGAAAAGTACAGGAAAATGTAGTTGCAGAGAGGGAGGGGTAAGAAAAAAGTACAAACTATGCGCCAAAGAATAGAAATGGGGGCACAATTTGAGGCTATAGCAATCTCCATGTCTCCCTTTGATGCATCAAATAAAGCTTTTGTAACTGACTTTCATCTTGGTGTGCAAAACGGGGCGATGGCATCCCAGGCCTGACCCAAAGCAGTTGGTGAAAGCAATTTCACTGGGGGCTGCGGGGCACCCCCCTCCCCGCTCTTTGTGATGTTGTCCTTGCTGCTGCCAGCTGCTGCCCCTCCTCCAATACCCAGGCAGCATTTTGGAATGACCACCCTTGTTAAAATAAAAAGTCATTCCCAGAAAATTGTGCAAATACGTTTGCAATTTTAAAAATTATTTTGGCGCTATCCCATATGCGTAGTCCTGTCTGGTCAATTGTATATTTCAACTGTGCTTGTAAGGTCACCTATATATCTGATTTGTAGGCGTGGGATCTACTTTAAAAACCTTCATAGCCTCCTGCCGGCACCTGGTGTTGGACTACAATTCCCAAACCCCTCAGCCAGTAATCTTCGCTTAAGTGGGTATCTTCCCACATGATGGCGCTAAACAGTACAGAGCTCTTAGAATAAATTCTGACTGACTTCAGCAGGATTGCAGGCTCCTTTGAGCAGGCAGCATTGACGAAGAAACTACGATTTTATGTCACACGCAGCTAATTAACGAGGTGCGCTTTATGCGCTTTATGCATTCATTCCTTACTGTGCTGCGGTTTCTCCGCAAGAAAACCAAAGTGGCATACACATTAACCCTCCTCTCTAGTGTATCCTTTTGTTTATAAATTTTGTGAGGATAAAATATTCTTTATTCTATTGTGAAGCAGGATCTCTATTATCGATTTATTCAGTGTATGAGTCGCCCCATTACCGATGCTCTCAAGGCAACACGCACAATAAAAACAAATAGATAACAAATGCAAATCATAAAAAAACATAATTGTTAGAAAAAGAAGACACGAAGCTAGTTTATATTTAGTCAAGCTACCTCTCCCATCAGCCTGACATTGCGTATGCTGGCTGGGGTTGATGGGCTTCGGTGGCCCGCGCAGACTTTTCCATCCCTTCGGCACTGCCCCACCTGAGCGGTGGCTCCTCCCCGGGAGGGCAGAGAAAAGGGCAGGAAGCTTCAGGCGCTGTTACTGAGCATGCGCGGGGAGAATTGCGGGCGCTCAGCGCTGTATTTTGGCATGGGGAGCATGTTGGTTTTGACTTCGGGGCTGCGCGGGCATTTTTGACCTTCAGAGGCTTTTCTGGAGACGCAGGTAAGCCGAAGCGGCAAGGGAGGTGAGCGAGGGAAGTAGGGGTGCGGGCGGATGGAGCGGGCTGCTTTCAAGGCCTGCTCCGCGACGCGGCCGTTGGGCCGGCGGGGGACGAACGAGCGAGAGAGCCGTTCAAGGGCGCCGTGAGCGGGCGGAGAACGCGGGCGCCCCCTTCAGCTGGGGCGGAGGGAGAGCAGCAGAAAGGGTGGGCGGGGCGATCCGTTTCCGCTTTCGAAAGCGGGGGGCGAGACGCGGGTTAGGGGAAGAGCTGGCTGCTTTGGTGTCGCCCTGTGCCGTGTGTGCACAAACCTGCTCTTCCAAGCACCTCCCGCGGATGGATGTTTTATAGTTCTAGTTCGACTTCTTCTCCGACATATTTCCTTGTGATAATATATTTATTTATTAGATTTATATCCCGCCTTTTTCTTTTTTAAAGAACTTAAAGCAGGTTACATAATTCTGCTCTCAATGCTTTCCCCAGCACAACAACCCTGTGAGGTAGGCTGGGCTGAGAATCTGTGACAGGCCAAGAGTCACCCAGTGGACTCCATGGTTGGGCAGGGACTAGAACCCAGATGGCCTGAGTCCCAGTCCCATGCCCTTAGTCCCATGCCCTTAATCACTGCACCACACTGGCTCTAAGCCTGTCAGATGGCAGAAAAAATCCCTCTATGATTCCAAGGTAGAAAAATCCACAGAGGCCCTCATGGCTTAGTCTTAGACACTGAGGGTGCTCCCAGGCAGAGCGGACTTAACACCAAGTATTGAGAGGCATGGGGCAGCTTTTCTGCCCTTTTCCCACAGCAGAAAAAGTGGGAGGAAAATAGGGGAGTGTCACAAATGGAGAGTATTGTCTGGAAGGATCATTTCTGTCATGTCATTGGCCTGCTTCATGCATGGAATGTTATGGGAGTCCAGACATCCATGTCTTCCATTTGGGAACACCCCCCCCCAATATTTTCCCACTGCTCCTTTTTCTTTTCACAAAGGGCACTTCCAGACAGAGAGCTCCTAATGCTACCAGCCAGAAGCAAGATTACAGTTATTCTGTCTCTTTCTTCATAATATATTTCCCCATTGAGAAAAAAGATGGTTGATGTGGTGGGAAAACTCAGCAGGTTACAAGTGAAAGGCTTGTAACTCCTTGAAAATTCCAAGAATGAGGCAAGGCAATAGCACTGCAAGCGCCTCGTCTGGACGTGGATGGGCCAAGGCGATGGAGCATGAAGAAAGGGAATAGTGGCAGAATATTCTTCAGCTGGTAGTAGTTGAAGTTCTTCTGGAAACCCCCTGAGGGTTTAATCTAACTCTTGGGCTGAGCTTGCTGGAGTCGGTTAGCATTTGGCGTAGGTACCCCTGAGCCAGTGAAGAGGACCTCTGCAGGCTGGCAGGGGGGTTGGTTCTGCCTGCAGAAGGCTCCTGCCAGCAGTAGTTGGTGGAAGGCCCCAAAATGGGGCCCTTCCTTCACTCTCTGGCATAAGCACGGATGCAATGATCAGCCCTTCCTGCTGCTTTCCAACCTGACCTTAGGTTGCTTTGCAGCCCTTTTTATTAAGGCATAGGGTTTCAGAGAGGAGAGTCTACTTCATTAGATGCACAGTCCTTTGTTTCTTTACACATGGCTGTAAGGATTTTAATTTTCTTAACAGTGAGGTTAGGTGAGAATGAAATATAGAATACACAGCCTGTGACCATTACATTTTATGCTCTTTCTAACTTTAATGTAATAGCTACAGATAATGAGCTGGACTCTGTCTTGTATTCAGCACAGTTGTGGTCACGCTAGAGGTTGGGACAAAGATAATCTTTGCCATGTTCTCTCTGCAGCTCTCTGTCTTCCTCAAAACGTTCTGGAATTTTAGTGGAGCCTCTGGAATGGTGCGGGTGGTGGTATTGGGGGAACTGGAGAAAACTGACTGTCCTGTGAGACCCATTCAGTCAGCAAGAACCACCGTGCCTGCCTTTTGCAGCACAGAGGTTGTAGTGGATGTTAGTCTGCTGGCACTCTGGAATCACCCTGAAGTATTTGGCATTATTTTTTTCATCTGAGCTCAGTATTAAAGAAATAAAATATATATGGGCACATAGATAAGTGTGTGCCTGCCAGTTTAGGATAACAATTAGTGCCTCTGATGAGGTGGACTCTGCCACACAAATGTTTAAGGCATAATAAATTGGTAGGTCTTTAAGGTGCCACAGAACTCCTTGCTGCGCATCCTACCAAAGCTGTAAGAGGAATGTGTGTATAATAATCTCTGTTTTTGCATGCAATGGCCCTGTTGGGAAAATATTGCCATGTGCAGCAGAAGTCATGTGTGTGGCAGCTTTCACTTTTATGCAGTTCTTAAAAGTACATAAACTCTGTCTTGAAATCTGGGCTTAACAAACTCATTATTTTGCAGTTATGGTGACCAGGAGCAAAAGAGGTTGGGGCCTCTATAGCTTTTTAAAAGTATGCAAAATAGGGGGTTCTAGTGACTGCAGCTTTTCCTTCCCCAGCTGATAAGGGACACCTGCCCTTATTCCTTTTTCCATACCACCATGAAACGTATAAATATTTTAAATAAATACAGCAGCCCTGACCTCCTTTGCACCTCATGGTTCCCTTTGCAGTCATATGTCAGTTCTGATGGTCTGTACAACCTTGAAAGGTGTGTCATTTAAGCCATGTTTTCCCTTGTTTGCTGCCAAGAAATGAATTGGAGAGCGATGCTGATGTTGGAGAACGTGGTCCAGTTGCATCGTTCTTGCAGGCAGCTGCATTCTCTGGCTTATGGGAAAGTACATCGAACACAGTGGAAGCCTGTCCTGTCGTCTGCCTACCCAGTGTGCCCAGTTCATCCGTGCCCCCTGCTCTGGCAGCCAGACACTAACTCACAAATCAGGCTTTTAGCAACCAAGGAGGTAATTAACAGCTACTTTATTCTTGTTTCCAAGAACTCCTGTTGTGTCCTTCTAGCCTTTGAAATGAAAGCCATTGCTGTTTGCAGAGGGAGCTTCACTGAATGCTGTAGAACAGTAGTTCATGCCAAAGAGATGTGTGCAAGCATTCAAACTTTTCTGAACAAATGTGTTTATGCTTTTGGCTTAGCCAGTCTTGAATGCTACAAACCTAGAAGTTAAACCTGTCAGAAACATGGTCTGAAAGGATAATGTAACTTGATGAATTGGCTCATTAAAACTTTTAATGGGGGAGAGGTTCTAAACTCACTTTATGCTGTATTCTACCCACCTTTACCCACAGGAAGCATCAACTCTCTATTCAGTGGAGTGAGTGTGTGGAGATATTTGTGCACAGGTGTGTGTGCACAGCTGTTTGCCAGCACCTGTGGTATGCAGTGTAGTCATGCTGAAATGCTCCCTAGCAGGAGTTACTGACCTACCAACCTAGTCCGGCTTTGGGGAGGAATTGAATTGTTGGGGTAGGAAAGCGGTTAAATTGCCTGATTGCACCTTTGGGGGTGCCTTGTACTTTCTTGTGTCCACCCATTCCCAGCAGCTCTCCACATTCTGTAATATCCTAGTTTCCAGAACAGGAGAGTTATAAAGCATTAATAAAAATATTGTGCTCAACCATGTCATTATTTCTTTATTTTTCCTTATTATTTGATTTATACCCTGCTCTTTTTCCTCTTGCAAGGAGCCCAAAGTGGCTCATATGGTCTTCCTCCTCTTTGTTTTATCCTTACAACAATAGGTTGTGAATAGGTTCAATGAAGAATCAGTGATGAGCCCCAACTTACTAATGCATTTTAGGAAAATGATCATACCTGCTGGGGGAACTGTGTACATACAGAAAGGTATTCTATGCATACATATGTCTTTTTTAATCCAGCTCCTTCCACATTGTAAAAGGCACTCTGCAGGTGTTCGGAGATGCTTTAGTATGAAAAAATGCTTGCACCCATTAAGAAGAAAACACTTTGAACATTCTCTCTGTGCAAGACACTCATGTAGCCTTGCATAGTTCACATATGGCACTTGTAATTTTTTTTTCTGGTGATCTATACTTGAAACACATTGATTTAGTCTTAGGATTATTGAAAGAAAAGCTCCAGGAAAGGGAAATTTTGCTAAAACAATGTGGAGGGTTTCTCTAGCAGCCATCAGCATTGTCAGTTAGGGCAAAGGTTGCTTCCATAAGATATCGGCCTGATCTAAAAGGGAGAGGGAACCTGTGTTACCTGCCTGCACTTCCGTTACCTCCAAAATACAGCTGTGCTTCAGACATGAGGGGGAAATCTGGGAGTAGATGTGTACTAACAATATAATTTTGATTTAAAGATCATGTATAGCTCTTCTTGAAACTGCTTCCTTTCCTTTTAGCCCCATGTACTTCTTAAATTTTTCAGGGGAAGAAACCAAGGAAGGAGAAGCTGAAAACAATAAAACCAAAACCAGAGAAGCAAGAGGTTGAGATAAAGTCCACAATGACTGTAGAAGAACTTGCAAAAGCTATGTGTAAAGACATAGGTGAGCTCTTTTCTTCAGACGATGTATGGAATTTAACAAGGGAAGTCATCCTTTTGAGCTTGCTCTCAGCTGACTCCTACCTGAGAGCTCTGTGGTGCAGCTTGGTGCCTGAATCTCAGTCGGTGATGCATGTTTCCAACTCAGTGCAGTGCTTTTTTTCCTGCCCTCAGCTTCAGCAGAAGCCTATGACACGCAACTTACCCCAAGTCATATCTTCCAGTATTGCAAAAAAAGTGAAAGATTAACTTGACCACATGCAGTGCCTTGCAGAAGTATTTGCCCCTGCTTGACTTTTCAAAATTTTGTTGTGCAACCAACATTGATTTAATCTGTGTTGTTGCCACTTGATATGTGAGGGTGCAAGTGCAAATTTCTGTTGTGGCACAGAAGTAAACAAAAACAGACTGGCTTTTTTGGTTGCACAAGTATTCACCACAGGCCCCAAGATTTGGTAGACGCTCCTTTGGCAGCAATTACAGCTGCAATTCTTCTCCAGTAAGTTTCTGTCAGCTTTGCACACCTGAATCCTGCCATATTTGTCTCTCCTTCCTAGCAGTGATCCTGCAGCTTTCAAACTGGCATGAGCTGGTCTCTTCCCTCTTTCCTTCTGATCATCAAATTCAAGACAATCCCTTGAAGCACAACTCTTTTATTGCAGCTTAGCAGATTACAGAACAGTATGAACTTTAAATAGCCTTCTGTCAGGGTTGAGGGAGAAGCATCTGCCCGTGTAAAGAGCTGCATCCCAACTGGAACCTTCCCCTCTGTCCCTCCCTTTCAGCAAGCTTCAGATGCCACCCTCAGGATGGCTCTTGCGGCTTGCCAGCAAGACTGTAAGAATGCCAGAGACCATCTAACTGGGCAGCATGTTTCTCTGGTTGCCTCTTTACTGGGTCAGGGACTTGGTCTCATATCTGCTTTTGCTCCCAGAGCAGGCTGAGAAACTTCACTAGGGAACCTTGAAACTTGGGCATCTTCCCTAGACCCCTTGCTGCCGCTGCTCCTCAGAATCCACCTGAAAAATCTGCCACGGGTGAGAGATGGACCCACTCTGCACAGATCCTGCCACAGTTTCTCAATTGGGTTGAGGTTTGGGCTTTGACTGGGCCATTCTAAGACCGGCAGGATTTTGCTCCTAAATCACTGCAGTGTTATTTAGGCAGTGTGCTTAGGTTCGTTCTCCTGCTGGAAGCTGAGCCTCTGCCCCAGTCTCAGGCCCCTTGCCAGTTTTCCTCTGGAACTGCCCTGATTCTGGCTCCATTCACCCTGCCCCCCCATCCTGACCTGTTTCCCAGGTCCTGCTGAGGAAGAGCATTCCCATGACATGATGCTTCGTCATGGGGGTGGTGTCCTTGGCAGTGAGCACTGTTGCCTCTGTGCCACACACAGCAGCAAGCCTCAAAGTCCAGTTTTGGTCTCATCAGATCAGATAATCTTTTTCTGCTTTTGCCGTGTCTCCCACCTGCTTTTTTGCTAACTACAAATGGGTTTGATAAGGGTTCATTGCAGCAATGGCTTTCTTCTTCCATGAAGCCCAGCTTTGTGAAATACCCAGGTGACAGTTGTCCTATGGATGGTTTCTCCATCTCAGCTTCAGATCTCTCCAGCTGCTTCAGCATTACCATTGGCCTCTTGGTTGCTTCTCCAACTAATGCCCTCCTTACCCAGTCACTGAATGTTAGCAGGCAGAGTCTGGTTAAGCTGGTTAAGCTGAATTTTTCTAGGTAGAGTCTGGTTAAGCTGTATTATTCCTTTTTCCTATTAATGGATTTAATGGTGTTCCAGCAGATATTTATTGATTTGGATACTTTTTATAGTCCAATCCTGATGCGTGCATCTGTACAACTTGATTCCAGAATTGTTTGGATAGCTTCTTGGCCTTCCAGGTGCTGTCATTTAGACATGCTCTTGAACAAATTCTGGTCTTCCAGAAACAGCTGTATTTAATCTGGGCTCATGTGGCACCCAGTGGATTCTGTTCAGCTGTTTGCAGTATATATGTCATTTCTGGAGGCAACAGAGCATACTTAGGCATGTCGTATTGGGAGGTGAATAATTAACCAACAAGTGCCGATTTGTTTTTGTTTGTTTAACTTCTGTGTCACAATAAACATATTTTGCATTTTCACAATGTTGAGTACCTTGTGTACATCAAGTGGTAACAGTACCAATTAAATCCATTTCACTTCCAGGTTTTAATATAACAAATGTGGAAAAGTTAAAGGAGAGAAATACTTAATGCACTGTCTGTCTCTTCTTTTGCTGTGGTCTCTGTTTTCAAGGACTTGGAATTTGGAGTAGGACTTGCTTGGCCTTGTGAGATACCTGGAACTATGTGCTCTGAGATTGTTGTTGTTGTTAGTCGCGAAGTCGTGTCCGACCCATCACGATCCCATGGACAACATGCTTCCAGGCCTTCCTGTCCTCCACCAGCCCCCGGAGTCCACTCAAGCTCACACCAACTGCTTCAGTGACTCCATCTAACCACCTCATCCTCTGCCGTCCCCTTCTTCTTTTGCCATCTGTTGTTCCCAGCATGAGGCTCTTCTCCAGGGAGTCCTTCCATCTCATCAGGTGGCCAAAGTATTTGAGTTTCATCTTCAGGATCTGTTCTTCTAAAGAGCAGTCAGGGTTGATCTCCTCTAGGACTGACTGGTTTGATCGCCTTGCTGTCCAAGGGACTCACAGGAATCTCTGCCAGCACCACAATTCAAAGGCCTCAATTCTTTGGTGCTCACCCTTCCTTATGGTCTAGCTTTCACAGCCATACATTGCAACTGGGAAAACCATAGCATTGACTATACACACTTTTGTTGGCAGGGTGATGTCTCTGCTTTTTCGTATGCTGGCTCTGAGATTTAACACAAAAAGACACAGCTCTGTTGACTATAAATAACATTTCAGAAACTGTATTAATGCAATATCTTTATTACACCAACCAAAAGATCACTAGCTTTTTATAACATCTTACATGATAAAGAGATCTTGAGATCTTTTGATTGGCCTAATAAAGATATTATACTAATACAGATTTTGGCAGATTGTACCTGAAATAAATAAAACAGCCATCCATACTAGTCTATTATGCTGCTCTGGTGTTTGCTGAATGCAGTAATTCAGCGTCTGTTGGAGAGAATCTGCCCTGAAGCCGTCCAGCATTGTGTTTTTCCCCCTATTGCATGCTACTTCGTTTAGTTTCCTCTTACTTTCACAATATTGCTGGGGACCGGAGACCAAAGTCTCTGATACCTGCTGAATCCAGAGTTCTGTACAGAGCACATGTCACTCATTAGCCCTACTTAATTGTTTCAGAGTTTCCTGCCTTTTCAGCACCATGAAGTTCTGTGAAAAAGATTTGCCTTTCATCCTCTGGTGCATTCTCCAGCCATCTGCTTCCAGTGTGTTTCAGCTACTTTCATCTGAGAAAAGTCTGAATTAAAGGAGTGTGTTGTAGAAAAGTTCCCAGTGTGCATGCATGTGGAAAGCAATCTTTTGTTATAATTCTTCAGCTGACTTCATTTAGATTTTCTTCACAGCATCAAATATATTAACAAAGGTGGTAATAATAATAATGGAATTACAGTATGTGACCTTTACACCAGAAGCTGGCCAAGTATCAGGGTCTGAATCCTGTGACTATAGTTGTGATAGCTACTTTCCTCTTCCATGGATCACCACCTCCATAACAAAACCTGTATCCAGTTAGTTCTCTGCACCATTGAGTTTTCCTAAAGTTAGAACACTGCCCAATTCAGTGTTCTTTTTCTCTACCCAGATCATATATATGAAGCCCTGCTAAACACAGATTTTGACTTACACTCGCTAGAGCCAGATTCAGTCTTAGAGGAAGTGTGGATCAAGGACATTATTAAAAAATCAGGCATGAAATACAAATGGGCCACGCTGAAAGAAGAAAAAGTAAAAGAAAACAAAGATGCTGTAAAGAGGTAATATCTCTGGGTGATTGGTTAGTGCTTGTATATACCATGTTTGTTTGTTTGATTGATTGGTTAGTGGGCACCTCAAAGAAGGCCTAACTTGCCACAGGGACCAAAGCAAGTAGCTGTTGGGAAGGGGAGTAGATCATTGGCAGAGCCCATGTGTTGCATGCTGAAAATCCTTGGTTCAGTCCCCCGGCAACCCCAAGGAGGGCTGGGGAAGACAGTAATCTCGACAAGTTGCTATAAGGCAGCTTCCTGTGTTCCTGATCATAATCCCAGAGAAATTCATAGGAATTCTGAAACTTTTATGTGAACATAGACTTTGACATGAAAACCTGTTGCCGATCTGATACCTCTTTTCACTTGCTAAATTGACAAATCATCAAGGGCAATAAAACGTATTGCTATAACGAGGGCACATGCTTCATTTAGCCATAAACTCACGCTTCCCCCTTCTTCTGTACTAAGAAGAGCTCTTGACAGGACTCTTGCTTCGAGCTGTTACTAGTTACTGGTAGTCACAGGCATTCTAAGGGATCTGCTAAAATGAGAAAGTTAAAGAGAAGCGCAAGAAAGGTTTCTTTCATACCTGAAGCAGATGTGTTGCTGTTTGCTGTAGGCCTCCTGCAGATCCTGCTTCCCTGACCCCAAGGCCTCCAGTTGTTACCATTCTGGGCCACGTTGACCATGGAAAAACCACTCTGCTTGACAGCTTGCGAAAAACTCAAGTGGCCGCAATGGAGGCAGGAGGCATCACCCAACATATTGGTGCCTTTCTTGGTATGGTTTATTAAGTAATTTCACGTGGGCCAGAAGTAACGCTTCCTTGACTTGAGACCTGGGGTGACAACCTGCCACTGTCAGCTGAGGATGGACTGCAACTCCTATCACCTTTGACAGTGATTCTTGCTGTCTGATGGGCATTGGATCCCCAGGCTTGCTTTAGATTTACTCTGCCAACTGAACATTGTCCGGTACAAAACTTCTTCACTTTTAAAGCAGTTGTACAGCAGCTTAACATGCACTGTGTGCTGCCTAACATGTATTGCGCTAGTGGAGGCTAGTGGCTAAAAGCTTGACCTATGAATCAGGAAGTCTTTGGCTAGGACCTTGCTTCTGCCATGAACTCATACAATAGCCTGAGGCAAGCGACTGCCCTCTCATAACCTGAGGCTCCCACCTGTGTCTGGGAATTATACTGATGAGGTAACCCCCAGGGTGGTGGTAAGGATTGCAGAAGATTGTATGTTGAATGCTGAGTACACGCAATATCTATAAACACGCACAAATACATAAGAGAAGAAAAGCACGAAGATGCTGAAGGAGACCTGCGTGCCACTATAATGTTCACCATATTGTATGTGGTCAAGCCAAGACATTTAAGTACCTGATGCGCAAAACCCAGATGGCAGCCTTCTCTCTCAAGGTGGAACAGCAGGCACAGCACAGTAGAGTTCGTGCAAAGGATCTTCCTGGTGTTGCACCGCCATGGAGTAGATTGGACGGTCTCCCACCCTTTGACCTTTAATCGTGCTACCAGTCCTGGGATAAAGTTGCTTCTTGAATTCAGGATTCAGATGCTCAGTCATCTGTGATCTGAAGAAAAGCAACTACTTCTCAACTCAGTCTATTTCCTATGGTGTTCTAGCTTCAAAAAGTAGTTCTGAACCTTAAGGGCCCATTTCTCAGGGGCTTGGATTTCAACCAAAGGATAGTATCCAATTTAAATATTTGTAGCAAACATCTCTGCTAGAAATTAAGAGTTTAATTCATCCTCCCACCACTTGGTGGCCTCCAGATGGGTGGACTACCTAATCCATGGCCAGTATGACCAGCACCAGACTGGGAGAGGGTGGTTTGTGAGGAAGTGTGACTTGGACAGAAACAGTCCTCGTACAGGATGTTCTATGGCGATGGCACAGAGAACGCAGAATTCAGGAGATGGTGTGCATTTTTGTTCTTGCAGTGCGTTTGCCTTCTGGAGACAAGATAACATTTCTGGATACTCCTGGCCATGCTGCCTTTTCAGCTATGAGGGCAAGAGGCGCCCACGTCACTGATATTGTTATACTGGTGGTAGCTGCAGAGGACGGCGTGCTGAAGCAGACTGTGGAATCTATTCAACATGCTAAGAATGCCAATGGTACAGCAGCCTCCCCTCCCCTCCCCTCCCTGGTCTGGAGAGAGGGTACAGGGTGGAAATAAGTATAGCCTTTCATGTATTGTTTATTTATTTATTTTCTGATTTCTATCCTGCCTTTTTCTGACAAAGGGCTCAAGGCAGCTTACATCATTCTCCTCCTCGTCTTATCCCCACAACAACAACCCTGTGAGGTAGGTTGGGCTGAGAGTCTGTGACTGGCCCAAAGTCACCCAGTTGGCTCCATGGCTGAGCGGGGACTCGAACCTGGATCGTCTGAATCCCAGTCCCATGCTCTTAACCACTGCGCCACACTGGCTCTCTACTTGTATATTTGTTCATATACTGCACATGGCCATTGAATGCCTCCTCTTTCCCAGGCCCATAGTTCCTCCATACATTCCTCACCCCCGGTGCACAAATCAGATTATCTTTTGAGCTGCTTCCTTTGAAATGATGAAAATGAAACACCTTAAAAGACCTTCCACCCCATAGAGCTGCAGGTCTGGAGAACATCCTGAGCTGTGTTTTGACCCCCCCCCCCACACCATTCTTCTCCCATTTTCCTTTATCAGTTCCAATTATTGTTGCCATCAACAAATGTGACAAGCCTGAAGCTGATCCTGACAGGGTGAAGAAAGAACTGCTGGCTCATGATGTGGTTTGTGAAGAGTTTGGAGGAGATGTTCAGACAGTCAATATCTCTGCCCTAAAGGTAATGCAAGGCAGCCCAAGAGCTGACTAACCTGACTTTTCAGAGCTAAAGCAAAAGTCTCACTAAAGCTTTCCATTGCAATAATTAGCTATTAGCCTGTGTAGCCCTACAATTAACAGATCACATTGTAGTTCCTTGGTAGGAATCAGTTCACGAACATCACAACAGAAGACCCAACTATTTCTGCATTTAATACATAGAATAAGACCCAGTGAGTTCCCAATTCCAGAGAGAGCAGAGAGTCTTTCAGGTTAGCAATACACTGGCTGTGTTCACATGGCAAGCAACATGTCACCATGGTTCAGTTTTTTTACTATGATCTACCAAACAGACAGTCCAGTGCTTTCTGTTTTATCGTGGTTTCCATGCTTCCCACTCAATCCTTGCACTATTAGTATGTATCTCATCAAGCCGCTGCACCTGAAATTCAGTCCTAAGGTGCATTGCTCCCTGTATATGTTGATCCGTACAAGGAGGCTGGATGGCCGAAGCAGCTCCTGCAGCTGCCACTCTTTCCAGGGAACGCTGCGGTAGTTGCACGCCAGGGTCACTGAAACCATGATCCTGTGTACAGACAACATGGCAAGCCATGGTTCACAGAAACCATAGAAAAAATGTTTCTTATGTTTTCTAAAGACCAAGCTTACCATGGCGAAATATCAAGACTGAGTTCAGGCAATGCAACAGACCAACAATAGTAAAAAAAACCCCACCATAGCTTGCCATGTTGTCTGAACCCAGCCAGCTTCCACTGTCAGCTGACATTCTGCCCCTGTGTGGTGATAATGAATAATAAAACATGGTTCAAAGGGATTGGCAAGGGTAACAGAACTTGTACAAGTTTAGCCTCTGATCCAAAGCATGTTTCATTTTCCCATAAGCAGGTTCCAGGTAAAATTTCTGCTAGAAAGTATCATTTCATGATGTAAAACAAGATGGTGTCCATCTGCTCATTGGATGTCTCTTTATAAGTATAAACCCACAGCCTAATTAATCAACTAATCCTGTAGCTTATTGGTCTGTGAGTATTAGTGAGGGCAAATCGTGATTTTGCTAAGGTTGATTCATCCAGTTAAGGAAATGTGAGCTGGCACGGAATCACAGCAGCCGTACCATGGCCATTTTAAATGGCTGTTTGTGGAGTCTGTTGCAATGAGAAGGAAATGACTCTCACATTCACCATTGGGAAGCACCTTTATTAGGATCAACTAATGTATGCAATTTGCAATGTATGGCTGTGAAAGCTTGGCCATAAGGAAGGCTGAGCGCTGAAGCATTGAGGCCTTTGAATTGTGGTGCTGGAGGAGACTCCTGTGAATCCCTTGGACCACAAGGCAATCAAACCAGTCAGTCCTAGAGGAGATCAACCCTGACCGCTCTTTAGAAGGCCAGATACTGAAGATGAAGCTCAAATACTTTGGCCACCTAATGAGAAGGAAGGACTCCCTGGAGAAGAGCCCAATGCTGGGAATGATAGAAGGCAAAAGGAGAAGGGGACGGCAGAGGATGAGGTGGCTGGATGGAGTCACTGAAGCAGTTGGCATGAGCTTAGGTGGACTCTGGGGGATGGTGGAGGACAGGAAGGCCTGGAGGAATGTTGTCCATGGGGTCGCGATGGATCGGACACGACTTCACGACTAACAACAACACCAACAAAGTATGCAATACTTCCGGCTAAATGATGCAAATAGCAGGGGGTGGAGAAAGAAACAAAAAGAAAATTAGGTGAGATGGTTTGGGCAGTCATTCAGTTTAGATTTTTTTCCCCTTGCTATTACAAATTGCTCAAAAGTTCCTCTATACCAACAAGCCAATAGATCAGAGTAAAGAAAACTGCCATGATGATGCGTGTTACGAGTTGCCAAACACACATTCCTGGCTACAGGATGGCTGTCTCTTCCATGCAGAGTAATTTAATTTAGCCCCCTAAATTGTCTTCTATACATCAATTTAGACATAAAACCTACAAATTCCCTGAAATAACACAATGCTTAATTTCCATGATTAGAATTACTGTTAATACTATTTTGGACTGTTGTTTCCTGTAGGGTGACAACTTGATGGCTTTAGCAGAGGCAACTGTCGCTCTTGCTGAGATGCTGGAACTGAAGGCAGACTACAGCGGCCTAGTGGAAGGTACCGTAGTGGAGTCTCGCACAGATAAAGGAAAAGGGTAAGCTGCAGGCCACTTATCTGAGAGGGATGGTTTAACCTAGGGTCCTGCACTGAGCAGCGGGGTTACCTGATGGCCCTCTGGTCCCTTCCAGCTCAGACCCATTTTGCTTTCTTGCATTTTTTTTTCTTTGCAATGGTTTTAGTTGCTACCTCTTGTACAATGTTGTGAATCTCCATCTGTAGTTCTTCAGGCACTCTGTCCATCAGATCTAATTCTTTAAATCCATTTGTCACCTCTACTGAATATTCATCAGGGATATGATTTAGGTCATACCTGAGTGGCCTAGTGCTTTTCCCTACTTTCTTCAATTTGAGCCTAAATTTTGCAACCAGAAGCTCATGATCTGAGCCACAGTCAGCTCCTGGTCTTGTTTTTACTGACTATATAGAGCTTCTCCATCTTTGGCTGCAGAGCACATAGTCAATCTGATTTCTGTGTTGACCGTCTGGTGATGTCCATGTGTAGAGTCATCTCTTGGGTTGTTGGAAAAGAGTGTTTGCTCTGACCATCGTATTCTCTTGACAAACTTCTACCAGCCTGTGCCCTGCTTCATTTTGTACTCCAAGGCCAAACTTGCATG